ATAATAAATAAAAGAAAAATTAGTTTATTTAATCATCTATATTCCATATTAATATTGTAGTATAATCATTCCATATAATCATATTTTCAGGAGTAGCTCCTTTGTTACTTCTAGGTCCAAAATCTATGACTAACTTTTGCATGGTTTTTCACTGAACACGTTAAAGTTTTCAGTTGCCAATGTTATCATTGAATTTTACTTTTAAAAGACCGTGCGATTGCCCCTAAGGTACAGTCTCTCTTACGTGAATATGATAATAAAACCTGTTCGGCTACCTAGACTGTCTAACGCTCTATAGTCTGGAGTCCTAAATGATATAATACTATTGGTCATCCTGATATATCTGGACAGTGATTTCAACCTGATACGATAGTGTACAGACTGTTAAAGTACAGCACAACACACATTGCAAACATTTCCAAAGAGGTCTCGGTCTGTGACTATGTTGAAGGATATTAGATAATAATATCGTCTATTTTTCGTCGCTCCTCTGCTTCCGAACTTGATAATATCTCCACCCTCATGCTAAAAAACCTACCTCCTAACGCACTTGAAGTTCTACTTCGTATCTTAAATAATATTCTTTCTACTCAATGTCTTTATCCTGGTCTTCTTACCGCGTTATTCCTATACTTAAATTCAACTTTTTCACTTCTTTTCGTCCTATCACCTTATCGTTTGCTTTATCTAAAATTTTCGAACATATACTCAAAACGCGCCTGAGTGGTGGCTTGAATCAAAAGAAATTTTATCTAATAATTTGTTTGCCTTCCGCAAAGGTAAGGGTACACTCAATTGTCTCTCGGTTTTCTCTGGTCATATTTACCGTGCCTTCAATGAAAAAAAATGTTTGGTAGCCACCTTTATTGATATTCGGGGTGCGTTCGATTCTATTCATATTCCTACTCTAATTTCTCATCTTTCCTCTTTAGAAATTCCACCTGCTTTTTGCAATTTAATCCGTTCTCTTTTCTCCTGTCGTTCTCTCTCTTTCTCCTCTTCTTTTGGTTCTTACAATACTCGATCTACTTTTATCGGTCTACCGCAAGGTAGCTGTCTAAGTCCTATTCTTTTTAATATCTACATGAATTTTATCGCCAAAAATCTCTCTTCATGAGATTATCTGTTTCTCATTTACGCTGATGACATTGTAATATTCTCAACTAATAAATCACTTAATCTCGCTATTGAGGAATTAAACATTGCTCTTAATGATCTCAATTACTTTCTCAACCGTTCTTTCTTTACAATCGCTCCTGAAAAATGCAAATCTGTTATTTTTACTCGCCATCGTTATCTTCATCCTCCCAATGTTTTCTTGACAATACTTTCATTCCTTTTGTTCCTGATGTCACCTACCTCGGATTAACTTTGGATCCTAAACTTCGTTGGGCTCCCCATATAGCCTCACTATCAAAATTCCTTGCTAAATTGTCTAATTTCCTCAGATCCGTTGCTGGCACCTGATGGAGATAACATCCTTCTTCATTACTTTCAGTTTATGTTTCTATTATCCGATCAAAAATCGACTATGGATGTTTTCTTTTTGGATCAGCGTCATTCTCCGTCTTTAATAAACTCAATAAACTTCAATCATCATGTCTCAGAACGATTATGGGTTATCTCAGATCCACTCCTATTCCTGCTATTGAAGTTGAAACTGTCTGTCCTCCATTCAATATCAGATGTTGTTGGTTAGCTGGAAAGTTCCTCCTAAAATCCTTTTCTAATTCCAATTCTACAATTTTTGATACATTTTTCTCCCTATTTCTTAACTGGCGATACGTTAAAAAATCTCTTCCTGTTCTTTCACTCACTACCAATTCGTTATCCTCCTTTCCCGAGTATATTCTCAACTTAAATTTACTCCCTTGCTTTGATCTTCCTTATGAATCTCTTCTATATTTACCCTCCATTAGTATTGATCCTTGCTTCCTAGGTCTCTCCTCTGATACATTCAAATCTCTCCCCCTTCCACTGTTAACAACCTTTTTCTCGATTACATTAATGATAATTTTCCTCTATTCATTTTAGTTTATACTGATGGTTCAGTTTCTCCTCTTTCTGTTGGCAATTCCTTTGCGATCCCAAAATTATCTATTTCCTTTTCTAACAATCCCCCCCCCCCCAATTCTTCATAATTTTCTGCCGAACGTTTCGCTATCATTGAAGCCCTCACACTCATCTCTTCCTTACCTCCCAACAGATTTTTAATTGTAATTGACTCAATGTCAAGTATTCAATCGTTAGTTAGTTATCCTTTCAATCCCTGCTTTTTTCCTATTATTCTCCACATTAAAAATATTCTTTTCTCTCTCAATCAAGCTAACATCACTATTAAATTCCTCTGGGCTCCCAGCCACTCTGACATCCTCGGCAACAAGATCGCAGACAACTTAGCTAGGTCCACTTCTACCATCTTTCTGCCCTCTCCTTGTAAAATCCCTTCTTCTGAATTCATCCCAAGTCTGCGACATCATATCAATTATCTTTGGTCTTCCTATTGGAATAGTCTTCCGGCCAATTTCGCCTTAAATTATAAAAGTGTTGTTCTCATCATTTTAAAAAAAACCTGGTTCTCTAATCTAAATTTATCCAGGTCTTCGATTATACAATTTAGCCGCTTACGGGTCGGTCATTATCTACTTCCTTTTCATTCCTATAAACTCTCTCTAAATGATTTCCCTTACTATACTAAATACTCTGAAGAGATAATTTGCGACCTCTCCCATATCATCTTTAGCTGCCCCTCATTATTCACTAATCATTTAACTCTTTTTAAATTTTTAAAATCTCAAAACATCCAACTAACTCTACCTTCTATTCTTAATCTCAATTCTGAAATTGTTATCATCCAAATATTATCCTACATCCGTGAGACTGGTCTATCCGTTTAATTATATCTATTATTTCATATGTAAAATATAAATGTAATTGTAAATATAAATGTAAATGTTGAAATGAATTGAAAAATCACAAATTTTCAATAAAAAAAAAAAAAATAATAATAATAATTAAAAAAAACGTCTATTTTTATAGTTAAAAAATTGACTGTTATATTTAAACACAAAATTAATATTAATTATTAAAATCATAAAAAGTATTTGTAAATTTAAAGATCTAGATTGTAAGCTTGATTAGTTAACTAGTTAACTACTTTCCAATAGGAAAGAAAACGTGGTTATCAATGACTATACCTTTAAAAAAATTAAAGTGTTCAAGTATCTTGGAACAATGATTACTAATAACGATTGGAGTCTCGAGATAATAAGTCATATACGAAAGGCAGAGAGGGCGAATTTCGCGTTACATATATTTTTTTAAATCAAAATTATTTTCCAGAAGAACCAAGATCAGATTGTTCATGACCATAATAAGACCAATGGTAACTTATGGAAGTGAAATATGGTCCATTACTATACAGTTAGAAAAAAAGCTGGTAGTTTTTGAAAATAAAATACTCGGAAGATTTGTGGTCTAGTGTTTGATAGTGAGCTAAACAGATGGCGCAGAAGAAAAAATACTGAACTGAGAGAAATCACTGAAGTTCCGTTGTTAACAAGCCACATTATGTGTCAAATACTCAGATGGTTTGGTCATGCTATGCAGAAAACAGAAACCACTAGTGCGAGAGCAGCAACTGAATGGCAATCGACGGGGAAAAGACTAAAAGGAAGACCAAGAATGCGATGGATTAGGAAAATAGAGTCCAGGTCGTAATTATTGAAGAACGGTGACGGTGACAGCCAAAATTTTTAAAGCATTGTAAAGCTAAGAGAGAGAGAGAGAGAGAGATTGTAAGCTGTATTAGTATAGTAATAGCATAATATAATAATAATAAAAAAAAACTGTATAGTAATAGCTATAACCAGCTGTTTTGTACTTATTTTAAAACAAGATATGTTAAATAACAGAAGGGGCACAGCCCTCCTAAATTATTCTAGAGAGGGGGAATAACCCCTTGCCCCCCAGTTTATTCCTATGTTAATATAAATATAGAAAATACTATAAAACAACTATTAAACTTAACTATATAATATGTCATTTCATCATTTAATAAAAAAAATAAAATAATAATAATGTATGTAATATGTCCTTCACATTTTTACTAAATTAAAGAAGGAGAATTTTAAGGGGCTGACATTTTTGAACCTGAAATTTTAAATTTAGTATAAGAAGATGTAAAGAGAAAATCATGAGTAAATTAAGTTAATCCGGGTTACTCCAACACTGATGGATGAAATTTACTTTCAATAATCTATTATTTATTATGTTATTATATTTATTATTATTTTTTATAGCTATCATACTCTGGACCGTTTCAAGCACAGAATTTGTCACTGTTGAAAATAAATATTTAAATATATGTATACACATATGTGGCTTGGTACAACAAAAGGAAAATGGCTCTTTTGATGTAATTTAGATAATTGGGCTAATCTTATTGTAGTGAAACACATAATGAGTCTTTCAATAAAAAAAACCCCATTTTAATTAAGTAACTATTATTATAGTTTACAACATACAATTTCAAAATTGGCCAATTTAATTTTTTTTATTCCTTAAATTTGTCTTAAGATGACATTGGCCCTTCTTGCACATATATATGTATATGCTGTGAAAGAGTCGAAGGACAATTCGTGTTAATTAGAAGAATATTATAAATGTGATAGTCAACAAAGATGGAAACTAGTAAGGACTAATGGGTAATATTAAAATATTTTGTATTAACCATGAATAATAATATTTCATTATATCTTCTAGTAAATATGTAAAAAAATAACCGAATCTTAGGAGCAAATTAGCAGTTCAAGTTGGTAGACAAGATAACATATATAGTAAATGTTTATTTTTAAAAAGCACTTAATAAGGTATCTAATAATAATGTAAGTATAACAAATTAACAAAAATAAATTTATTTTTATTTATGTGGTCACACTTATATATCACAGATAAATTAGATAACATTTATCTTTTATCATCACTTAACTTGTTTTTAGTCAGGGTTTGATTTCATTTTTTTCATTTTAATTTTGTTAATGGCGGATCTCACCAACTTAAATTAAATCTTAATTATGGGCATTGAGAAATCTAGTATGCATACAATATTTATTAATCTAACTCATTTTAACAACATTTTTGTATCCATTTATAATATATTTATATATTAAGGTATAATATTTTATTTGTATTTTGTTATGTTTAGATAAAGCAAGAAATCGCCGAGCATTTCAAAAATGGAGAAAAGATTAGTTAATTTCTCATACAGAATAAATCAAATGAATATATGTGTTTTAAAACATGTTTTAAATATAATTTAATAACAATTTGAGTATATTGAGCAAGAGCAGATCTAGAAATATGAAATGGGGGGGGGAGGGCTAATTTGTAATTACAGAAAGACAAAGAATATAATTCTAACAAATACATATGTATATTAATTATAATACATTTTAAAAAGATAAAATATAAGAAATTAATAAGTTCATTAGCCTTTTGCCCTATTTTCAATTAAATACATACCTATAAAGTATTTATTACACACTTACAAAATATATAACACGTCTAAAAGGGAGGAAGGCTAAAGCCTCTTAGCCTCTAATCTTACCTAATCTGACCCTCCCTTTAGATCTGCGCCTGATATTGAGCTTATACAATAACTCTTTAATACGGCAATTCATGAAGTTATGTCAAATAAATTTATGTATGGGTATATGGTTTAAAATACCATTAATCTTATTACTGATAAATAAATTATAATAGTTACTGTCTAAAGCAGCGGTTCTCAAGATATTTTTTTCGTATACCACTTGAGTATATTATCAATCTGTCACATACCACTAATGATTAAAAATAGAAACATACAAACTTTTCAAAGTTAAATACATTTATTATAAATAAAAAGACAGTCAAATTATTATTTGTTTATTAATACAAATTTATTATTGTTTTTAAATTAATATATGAATTAAATATAACATTTTTAATTTTCATTCTACCATTTTGAGAACTGCTGGTCTAGTGTCATTTACAATTAATTATTTCATTTTTTGATTAATTTTATTCTAAATATGTCATTTTAGTTTAATAATTAAATTTATGTTTATAGAAAAAACATTAGAATCTAAACGTGCTGCAAACAATCAGAAAGCTCCTGAACCTAAAACATCTGAAAATAAAACAGCATCAATTCCTTCTTTAGGTCAAAGTTTAGCAGATTTTGTAAAAAAATCAGAATCAAAGCAAGCTAAATTTGTTGAAGTTGAAAATGATGAAGAAGAGTTGGGTTATAAAAATGTTGTGAAATTGGATAACAAGGGTTTCAAAGATGAATTTAGAAAAGTATTATACTTTTATAGAAGTTGAGTAGTATATTTACTATAATAAATAAATATTTAAACTTTTTAGGTGATTAGTGCTGCTGATGTAGTTCTAGAAGTAGTTGATGCACGTGATCCATTAGGAACCAGATGTAAACAAGTAGAAGAATCGTCACAGGAATTAGGAAAAAAACTTGTTGTAGTGTTAAATAAAACAGATTTAGTACCAGCTGAAGTAGTTCGCAATTGGCTGTCTTATTTTAGAGGACGTTTAGGAATCCCAGCTTTACCATTTAAAGCTAGTACCCAACAGGCTGGTTCACGTATTGGTCACAGAAAAATGAACAAGTGTAAAAAAGATACAGAAAAAGCTATTAGCTTGTGTGTTGGTGCAGAATTAATTATGACACTTTTAGCGAACTACTGTCGTAGTGAAAAAATGAAAACTTCGATTGTAGTTGGTGTTGTAGGTAAATTAACATATTATGTAAACTGTTATTCTACATTTTTGTAGTTAATATCTTAAAATTAAAAAAGTAAATATTTGTTTTAGGGATGCCAAATGTTGGTAAAAGTAGTTTAATCAACAGTTTGAAAAGAGCAAGAGCATGTCAAGTTGGAGCTGTTCCTGGAGTTACAAAGTATAATATCTTAAGTTAATTTTTAATTACATAAGAACATTGATTACCTAGGTTAATGGGGAGGGGAGTCACATAGGTAAATAAAAATTAAGTTTAAATGAGACTTTTTATTTAACAAAGTTTAATTTAATTTTTTTACTTATTATTACATTTTATTTAATATATAATATATAATTAAATGTTGTTAAATTTTAAAATTATTAAGGTTTGACATTTGAAGTTATCAACCTTTGGTTTTTTTTAGTTTTTTCTTACTTATAATTTTTTTTGAATTCATGACATCAAGGAACTTAAAACTGTCCTGCTCGCAAAAGTTCAGGAAGATATCAACTGCTTCCATAAATCTGTGTATATAATATAGTCTACATCAGTGTTTCCTAAACTTTTTGCAATGGCGACCCATAAGCTTAATCATTTTTTGGGTACACGATCCCTTACTAAAAAAAAAAATCAAGTTAGACTTCACATTATTATACAATATAGACTTTATGTTATAGAACAGTGGTTCTCAACCTTTTTTTGTTCACGGCACATCATTATACATCACAAGTTTTCGCGGCACACTCATGCATTTGACAACAACAAATATTTTGGCTTAGATATCCAGTTGGGTTAAAACCGTACAGTTTACCTATACCTATATGTATCGTCTTATCTGCACAATTAATTGACATTTAGATTTCATAGTTTCATAAATTGGTATTTTCAAATTTTACGGCACACCTAGTCGATCTCGCAACACGGTAGTGTGTCGCGGCACACCGGTTGAGAACCACTGTTATAGAGGTATAATTTTACGGCTAAAGCAACCGTAATCGTAACCACGAGTGGCGACCCATCAAAAAAATTTCGCGACCTATGGTTTGGGAAACACTGGTCTACATATTGTTTGTTAAATTAATAATATTTATCCTCTTTAATCTACCTATAACATACTGCTTATGTGTTAACGCATAGGTGCTATACCTTTTGGTACATACACATTTTTGGAAAAATTTGGACAGATGGTTAATCAATGTTCTACTGTATTTTAAATTTAATTTAAAAAATGAAATGTGTGAAATAATGTTATAATATTTATGTTTAATAAAATATATAACTATTTATGTATTTTAAATGTTTACAGTTAATGTATTCATATAGTTATTGTCTCAACTTATGAGTTTTATTATTTTATTAATAATATTTATTTTACTTAAGAAACATGCAAGAAATTCAATTGGATAAACACATAAAATTATTGGATTGTCCCGGTGTAGTTCTAGACAAAACTTCTACTACAAATAGTGTAGCATTGAAAAATGTTGTAAGTTCCGGAAATATTGAAGATCCTATTGCTTGTGCTTCTGTAATTGTGGGACGTGTTACTAAAGATCAGGTAAACATAATAAAGTAATGATGAGCATGATTCTCTAAAAAAAATTTTTTTTATTGTTAATCCTTTATACTGTAAGATAAAATTCACGAACATTATATGTTGTATTTAATTTAAGTTTCATGTATTGAATTGTATTAAATTTAGATGCAAAAGTTATATGGAATCGGACAGTATGATTCTTGTGAACATTTCTTATATTTGAAAGCTAGAAGATTTGGTAATATTGGTCGTGGTGGTATTCCTGATATATTTACATCAGCTCGTAGTTTGGTTGAGGATTGGAATAGGTTTATTTTATAATGAATACTAATTTCTTATATTAATAGCATGTTACTGATTTAATATTTTTGTTTAGGGGTAAAATAAGGTACCATACACTTCCACCGGAGGATGAAACAATGCACTTAAGTGCTAAAATTGTTAGTGATGTAACTGATGTTTTTAATTTGGACAATGTGCAGCGAGTTGAAACAGAATTCATGGAAGAACTTGCCAAACTTCAGCCAGAATCTTCAGGTAAAGAAGTAAAAACTGATTCAATGGAGGTAGATGGCAAAACCATGGTAGTGGTTGATGATGGTGTTCAAACCAAAAAATCAGGAAAACTGCGGTGGAGAAAAAAAAAGAAACCTGAATCAATGGAAACAAAAATTGATATCCAACCGGGAGTTATAAAATTAAAAAAATTACAAAAGTTCAATGCTAAAAAACAACGTAAGACTGCAGCAAGATTGATAAAATGTCAAAATCTATTGGATAATTTTGATTTACTATAGAATGTATTTTAAAATATTAAAAAATATATTCCTATATTTTAGTTTTTATGTTTTTTATTTAATACTTTTTAAATGTTGGTGTTTTCAATTCATAATCTACTTTTCAAGAATGGATCAAATTTGTTTTTAATACATTTATTTTTGATACGAAAATTTATAAAAAATCAGACTACTTTAAACTAATGTATTTCATTATTTTTTATTTAACTTTACTTGGAGTACAACCAATGCAATTTTTTATTTACAAGTTTATGGCTTAGACTAGTCACTTTATCTCTTAATTCATTTTTAGTAATTAATATTAATACTTAGAATTTTTTTTTAACGTCTAAAATACCATAATATTTTCAACACAAAAAAAATTAAACCCTTAAACCAGGAGTCTTCAACCTGCAGCATATCTCGTCCTTCTATGAAACCCACGGTCACATTTTAGACTTAAGTTTAGCATGTACTATTATTATCAAATTTGAATAACTAAGACATCGCGATTAAAAATCGTAGAGTGCATCGTACTTGACAATAAACAAAAAAATAAAGAAAAATGTATAAGATTGAATACATTTGTGTACATTATAATATTTTATGTGACTATTTGATAGAAATTTGGTTGGTGTCTGAAAAGTAGAAAAACTAGTTGGTAATCAGTCACTCAGATCTTAGTTGTTTATACATAAATGTTATAATTTATGTTAAAATCATAAAACTTAATTTTTTTTAAAGTATATTTTTAATGACTAATGCGGTCTATGAGTTTTTTTTTAAACAATGGATGACTTGTTACAAAAAATGGTTGAAGTCCCTGTCTTAAATGATGGATGTCTACTGCACAAAATATTAACCCAGTAAACTGGGTTAAATAGAATAAAAATAAAAATAAAACAAAATTATTTATTATAATTTAGGAAATTAGATCATTCTAAAGAAATTAAAACTACTAATATCACGAGTTTTAAGTCATTTTTTTTTTGTGATCAACGTACTAATTAAAAAAAATAGATTAACTTTTTTTGAAACTGAGTTAAGTTAATATTTTTTTCCTTATTAACTTTGAACTTATTCAGTTAAATTTATGAATTGTTAACTTTTAACTCATCGATCCTATGTACTCTTAACTAAACTTAACTCGAGTTAATTATTTTCATGCCTAATTTGTCCACCTTTGTAAATTACCATATATTAAATAATAAGTAGTACCTATTCAGAGGCCAATTACATTTTTTTATGGCTATAGGCATTAAACATTTACTGTCCCAATTATTAAGTCTAATAGTACTTATGTTAATCCATGTGAATTTTTAAACAGTGTTTTCTCGCTTTTAATTATTTAGAATTTATTTGAAAACATTCTAATGAATATCCACCTAAATTTTAAAGAAAACGTGTATTGATCATTTTTATAAACTACCATTATTAAAACAATTGTTTGGACTATTAAGTAAACATTACATAATTTTTCATAAATATAAAATAAGGAATTTTCTATTTTTTTATACGAATGATGTAGTTTTAATAAAGCACTACAAAATTGTTCATCCAGAGCAGCTGCCTACTCTGCCTATTGGGAATTCTGTTATTATACCATTGATAATAAATAGTACTATTTATAATCAATGACTGTACTTATTCCTATAAATGAGTTAATGATTGTTCGGTTAAAAAGTTTCGGAAAAAATGAATTATCTTTTCTGCGACTGTGAATCGTAATTTGGCGGATTCGTGTGTGCTTGCAGCCGTCTTAACTTTGCTCAATGTTCCAAGGCAGTAATAATTACTATTATTGTTCTACGATGTCAGTAAGTGGGCGTAGTGTGTTTGGAGCATATACGTTCGATTGTCCCGGCACTCCTACCGAAACGTCATCTGTACGAATTCGTATGAACATAACCTAGAAAACGGGTATTCCGACCGTCACCGTTCAGCTTCTGTTCTTATTGGTACGGCTCGTTGAGTTGCTCACCATATCCATTTTCTTTTCACACGAGTATTGCAAATATAAATGTCGGCGAATTGTTGTGAATCATTTAATTGAACACTTAGTGGCGCAATAGAGGAACGTGAACCATGTCTTTCATACCAGGTTCATTGGGTTTTGACGAGTTCGGAACGCCGTTCATCATCATTAAAGATCAGCACAAACAGCGAAGACTCACAGGCATCGATGCGCTGAAGGTTTGTGGTTATTTACGGTTATCTTGACAAATTCTGTGACTCGTCTTGTTGCCCATGCTCTTTCATCATTTTGACGAGCCACGACCTGACAATTCGCGTTCGTCGATTGTCTGTGTGACAGTGTGCTCTTACGTTTCTTCAGCACATGGTCGTTGTACCGCATGTTAAAATCATTCCTTAGTCATCAGGTTCACGATTTATTGTTCCATAAGATTTTTTCAATGTTAAACGACATATTTCTTTTCTTTCAGTCACATATTTTGGCCGCACGCGCGGTTGCCAAAACGTTGTATACGTCATTGGGTCCAAAAGGTTTAGACAAAATGATGGTGTCATCTGATGGAGAAGTTACTGTTACCAATGATGGCGCTACCATTTTAAACATGATGGATGTCGATCACGAAATAGCCAAACTCATGGTTCAGTTATCCCAATCTCAAGATAATGAAATTGGTGATGGTACTACTGGTGTTGTAGGTATGTATAACAAGTTCATAATTTTTTTGTGGATCAAGTTCAATTTGATAACTTAAATTTTCTTACAGTCATTGCTGGAGCTTTACTTGAACAAGCTGAACATTTGCTTGATCAGGGTATACATCCGATCAGAATTGCTGATGGTTTTGAATTAGCTGCTCAAAGTGCTTGCAAGCATTTAGATTCTATTGCTGATTCATTCCCAGTTGATATCAATAACTTGGAACCACTTATTAAAACAGCAATGACAACTTTAGGATCAAAAATGTAAGAAATTTTTTTGTTAAGTTTTCCCATGGATATTTAAATAATAATTGACCTAATTGTACTCATTAGGTATCCCTCAAAAATAAATTCATAGTGATATATCATAAGATAGTAAAGATAGTCAAATTTGTTTTACTTTTTTACTTCTTGGAAGTAAAGATTCTAATTCTTTATATATTTTTTGTTTTTATGTAAAATTTTCAAGAAGTACATTATTATTTTTATAAAATTTGTCAGTAACTCTTATAGAGTTTATTATGTTATTGAGTTTACAGATAAATAGTGTTTTAGTATTATTTTGTCTCATTTGTTGATAATTACAAAATACTAATATATAAAAATATTGAATAGTGCTATATTTTTTCTCTAAACTAAAATAATATTATAGGCTTATGAATATAAAAAGTTAAAACTACAAAATTTTCATAATTATCCCTGTACAATTATTGTTCCAAATATTCAAAAATATTTAAATAAAAAATTATTTTTTATAAATATTGAGAAGGCTAATAAGAATTGTTAGCATTAATTCAGCAGTTAAAAAAATAAAAATATATTAAAACATAATTTATAGCAATTTACAGTCACAAAGCATAGCATTTATATAACAAGTTAATTTCTTTTATAACATACTTTTGATTAATAAATATTTTATTTAATAATTAACTATGAAAAAATAAAAATATGTATACCTATAATATTAATATATTTGGCGTAATTTTTTTTAAATAAGGTAGTCAATAACTAAATATTATATTTTTAATTCTTTTTAGTGTAAATAAGTGTCATCGTCAAATGGCTGAAATAGCTGTGAACGCTGTTATAGCTGTTGCAGATTTTGATAAACGTGATGTCAATTTTGAGTTGATCAAAGTTCAAGGAAAAGAAGGTGGTAGATTAGAAGATACTATGTTAGTTAAAGGAGTGGTTGTTGATAAAGACTTTTCACATCCTCAAATGCCAAAAGTAAGTTGCAGCTCAGTTCTTGATCATGTGATTTTATACAGATTATTCAACTTTTGTTTTATAAACTTTTAGGAACTGAAGGATGTCCACCTTGCCATCCTCACCTGTCCGTTTGAACCTCCTAAGCCAAAGACTAAGCATAAGTTAGATGTAGCTTCAGTTGAAGATTATAGAGCATTGCGAAAATATGAACAAGATACATTTAATGATATGGTTAAAAAGGTTAAAGATGCTGGTGCTACTTTAGCAATATGCCAATGGGGATTTGATGATGAAGCCAATCATTTATTACTGAAACATGAATTACCTGCTGTACGTTGGGTTGGTGGACCAGAGATTGAAGTAAGAATAATAACATCTCGTTTAAAGTATTAGCATTTATTGACTTTAAAATATTCAAAATTGATTTTTCTATATTTTTCAGTCAATACTTTTTACTTTTTGAATGCTAAATTTTATATTTATTACAGTTAATTGCAATTGCTACTGGAGGTAGAATCATTCCTCGTTTTGAAGAAGTTTCTAAAGAAAAATTAGGTTATGCCGGTAAAGTTAGTGAACTTTCTTTTGGTACAACAAAAGACAAAATGTTGTTAATTGAAGAATGTAAGAATTCTCGTGCTGTAACTATTTTTATACGCGGTGGAAATAAAATGGTTTGTTTTACTTTATATTGTTGATTATTTTGACCAATTAATTTTATAAACATGTGGTTTATTTAGATTATTGAAGAAGCCAAACGTAGTATTCATGATGCTTTATGTGTTGTTCGTAACTTGGTGCAAGACAACCGTATTGTGTATGGTGGTGGTGCAGCTGAAATTTCTTGTGGTATTGCTGTTTCCTCTGAAGCCGATAAGATTTCTTCCATTGAGCAGTATGCATACCGTGCATTTGCTGATGCCTTAGAAAGTGTTCCATTAGCTTTGGCTGAAAACAGTGGGTTGTCACCTATTGATACTTTAACTCAAGTTCGAGCTAGGCAGATCAAAGAAAAGAATCCAGCTCTTGGCATTGACTGTATGCTTGTTGGAACTAATGGTAAATATTTTACATAAAAAGTTTTTATTTTGTTTTAATTTATAAATTTCTATTATTTATGTAGACATGAAAGAACAAAATGTTATTGAGACTCTTCACAGTAAGAAACAGCAAATTATTTTGGCCGCTCAATTGGTAAAAATGATTTTGAAAATTGATGATGTCAGAGTTCCAGGAGAAAATTTTGATTAGATTTTATATTTATAAAACTATCTATTGATCGTGCTTACTTGTTTTCCTAAAATCAGTCCTTTTTTTTATGTTCAAAATTTACATTAATTGTGTAAGTTATAATACATTTTCTAATAATAAAATATATTACTAATCTATTAAAATTGGACGTATATTTAACTTCAAAACTAAAATGCTAACAATACTTCAACATTCTTCACAAGAACTATTTTATTGAAGCACACAAAACGGCACTTTTCGTTCTTTCATGTCAAACTCATCATTGCCATCTTTCAGCCCATCAGCAGACATGCCTGTGCCCCCCAACATGCCAGGAGGGCACACGGTCTGTCATCTCATTGCTAGAGTTGAAACCATTGGAGGTCGAATTGGTTTATTGTCCAGTATACGTTCCAATTCGGCCATTACGTTTGAGTTGAGTTTTGGCAACAACTGTATACAAGAAAATAAAAATAAATCAATTTTACTAAGTATGTTTAAATAACAGATTGCATTTTAATATGTTCTATATTATTTTTATAGAGTAATAACATTTTGGAATAAATACTTTTTTTAATATAATATCAATTTGTATCTGTCTTTTCTCATACCTGTAGTCCGTGTAAAGCGTGATAAAATTGATGTGTTGTTGCTGCTCCAAGTAAAAGACACTGAACGCTTTCATTTTTTAATGTCCACGCTATACATAGTTGTACCAAGCTACAGCCAAGACGGTCGGCTACTAATGAAATTGAAAACAGTATTTCCTTGGTATTTCTTGCTGTCAGCGGTTCATTATTCTGAATTAAAAATGCAGACAATACATTTAAGTCAATAGACAAACAATAATTTATGTGTATATAATTTTGTTGGAATTACATGATATGCAATATTAATAATTGAATCATTTTAAATTATGATTTTAATAATATGCTAGATTAAAGTAAATAAAAAACTTGATCATTAAGTTATTTTTTTTACTAATAAATTATTCTTGAAAAAAGTTTAAAAATATTAGATATAGAGTGACATCTATAAAAAATTAAATTACATTTTGCTGAAAACTCTGAAAATGGAGTTTCATTAGGAAAGATAGATTTGAAAAAAAAAAAATCACTTAATTTTTACCTTTCTTTTATTATCATAACTTTTATTTTAACCAACAAGAAATAATTACCAACATAATAATTTTATTTTGAGGGGAGGGAAGGAAGAAAAACGCTATAAGATTTCTCGACTGTCTTTACATCATCAGAGAAATAAGAAACTCAATTTTTTTAATGGTTTATAATTTTAAAAATATATAAAACTAGATTGTAATAAACATATTTTGTAAATATAAAATTTTAAATTATCGCATAAGCAACGTTCTCAGTTTCGTAACAAATGTTCAGAATAACTCCCAGCCTTAAGACATATCCATGTCAAAAATAACAATTTTTAACAATGATGTTTTTCATTTTGAGGGGCAGGGGTGGATAGGCCCATAGAGAAAAAGGGATTTTCCCTGTGGGCCCTCGCCCTATATTATGTCGGTGGCCCCCTCGATCCCATTAATTTTTTCATTGAAATGAAATTATTTTTCTTTTATAGTTAAATTATTTAAATTAAATTAGGATGAGTAAATATAATAAATATAATACATTTTTAAAAAGCAATTTTTTTTTTCATTTTAGTGGCCCCATTAAAATATTTACCTGTAGCAAAAAAACCACATATCCACCTTTGTCGAGGGGGACTCGCCCTCCCCATGAATACGTTCCTGTCCTCATTCATGCAATACAACATTAATCGTTATATTAAGGTTTTTCATTTTTTCAAATTTACATCCACAGATTGTCATTTATTATCATAATTAAATAACCGTTATAATGAATAATAATAAAAATAATCTTGTGATAATTAAATATTACTTTTTGTGCTGTAAACGTTAATGTTTTAATAATTATTTAGTTTTAATAACAAAATATTTAAAATAACGTATAATAGGTACATTTAATTTGTTGATAAGAAAAAATGTTGTTAGATCAAGTGGTTCGTGATATTTTTTGAAATGTACAAGTGGTAATACGTGGGTATAAAAATATTGAGAATCGCTGCTCAAAGGAGTTCTGTCACTGGTAACTGTCTGAACTGGTTTTTAATAATACTTTATTCGAATAATAATTCATTATTTCCAAATTTCAATTGTGTATGAGGTTGGTAATAATGCAGAAAAAAACGCAAGCCGTATGTACACGTACCTCTTTAGTTGGAGGTTTTCGATCGTCTTGGTTCCAACTGATACTCGAAGCTTTCGTCTGAAACATACAAAGCCGGATATACCGGGTGTTTAGTAACTACTTTTAACACTATACCCTCTATGGAGTAGGTCGGTGCTAGAGCGCAACTCAGTTTTGCGCTGTCAAAAGCGGTGGCGTGCAGACATGGCACATAGACACCACTTAAAAGTCGGATAGGTGCAGTGGTATATTCAATGGCGGATTAACCACTAGGCTCGTGAGACTTGAGCCTAGGGCGGCAAATTTTTTGTTTTAGTTTTTTTATTCTCAAACAAAAATGAAAAAAAAATATATATATTAATGACATTCAAAAACTCATTATTTTTGATATCAGAAAATTCAAAATTCAATAATTTAAATCTCTGGAGGGAGTCTATTCTTGAAACGTCGATTTGTGTGAACAACTGCGGCAGTTCAAAAACACGTGATGACAACCCGCCTGATGAGAAATTATTGGTTACCTACTTGTTTTTAGTAATATGCATTATTATGCATTACACGTAACGAATGAGAAATACGCGGCTACTAAATAAGAATAAGCAAAAATCATCGTGTTTTTCACACTAATAAGACGACTGAGAATATTAAATATAAACTGACGATAATATTGTTTGCGAGTTCGCGATTAAATATAAATCAATTTATCGGTGAAAATGTTTGTATGTTCAACCGTTCGACGAAAATATTTGATTATTTTCAATGCATATACAATATTATACAATATACGTATATACTAATTGACACAGTGACGGTCGTAATCGTAATGACATTATTTGGGTTTATTATTATGACTATAAATCAGTAGCGAAGATACAATTTTTTTCGGGGGGGGTGGGAGGATTGTTAAGAATAAGTTTTCAAGTGTTCTTATTATATCTTAAAACGAGGTCATATGTAATAATATTACATTTAAAATGGTATTATTATGTCCCTATTTAATGAAAATTATTTATTACTCAATTTTTAATATATACTTACTCATAATAAAATCAAAATATTTTACCTACTATAATATGTAAATATTAATAAATAATAATCAAATATCATTAAAAAAAAATCCGTAGAGGGGGGGTGGAAACCCCTTACATCCTCTCCGTAACTACGCCACTGCTATAAATTGATTATGTGTGTAAACACATAAATACCCATCATATTTAGTGATGGGCGGAAATAAATTATTTGTACTATCGATTTTTATTCGTGTATTCATATATACTATCGACTGAATAATTAAAACTATCAAATAATTGTTCAACAAATCTATACTATTGAATAATATTATTAAATAATTAAAACTATCGAATAATCGATACCATTGAATAACTCAAATTATTTATAGTCTGTACTCTGTACTGTCGATAATTGTTCGTCTATGCTTGCGGGCGGTCATACTTTATCCATACGCCAAGTGTATTTTTCTAAATTATTCACCAGTTTTCTCTTGTTTATATTAATATATTGGGCTAAAAATATAAATCGTACGTTTTTCCAACAAATAATAATACAAAAATATATAAATTTAAAATATTTTATTAAAATTAGCTTAGATTTTTAAATAATAATATTTTTAAAAGTTAATAACTACAAACATATTTTTGTGTAAAAAAAATAAGAGTATCTAAATTATAGTATAGATTATTAAGTATATAATTATACCCGGTATTCACTATTCATACCCAGTGCTTAACTTGAGAGAGGACGCAGGGGGACGGAGTACCCCAACTAATTTTCAGAAATTTTAACATCCCCTTACTATTATTACGTTATAAATATAACGCTTAACAAGTCTTGGAGACGCTATTTTCTTTAAACTAAACAGAGTCCTCCTTCTTTATTTTTGCTAAATCAAGCACTGTTCATACCCACTATTGTATCCAATGAATCTCAATAGTACAGCTGTTGTGTAGTCGCGCACTGTAATAACGCGGCTTTTTATTCCAATGTTTAATAAAATACTGATAAAATTACTCTACATTTCTAAACATTTAATAATAATATTAAATAATAAAATTATACTCAATTAAAAATTAAATAATTATTCGAATAATCGATAACGATTATTCGAATAAATAACTGCAAGTTTACTGTCGAATATTATCGAATAATTTGATAGTTATTATATAATATTGAATATTCAATAAAGTCCATCATATTATTTTTCAATTTATTTTGCTGTGAACATCTGAACATATTGGCAGGGCCGTCCCGAAGGGGGGTCTTGGGGGGTGCTTCATCCCCCCAACGAAAACATCAGTCGGCAGTCGGACTTGTTTCATTATAACCTAGAAGGACCTAATTTTACTTATGGAAAACAAACATTACATATTTCGTAATACAGTGTATACACGAATAAAATTTATATAACTACTTATTATACAATATAAATTATTATATATATATATAATTAAACTGTCAATTTTAAAAACGCACGACATTGACACATATATAAATATTAAAAAATAAAAATACGACTACATATAGTTAATTATACTAAATACATTGAGTAAAAAACTGTAGTCAGCATTTTTCATATTATTCACCCACCCCCTTGATTTTCATCTTCGGGACGGCCCTGCACATTGGTCACCCTTGCCTTTTGTAGTTTTGTATACTTAATAAAGACTGGCTGTTTCTCTGCAGCGTAGTTCGAACATCGCAAGTACAACTTTATTTCTTGAAGGTCTATTCAATTATTCGTAAGTATATATTATGATATTATTGTAATCAACCTATATTGTATTGTACTTATTAGGTACGTATAAGTACTTGTACTTATTAAAATAAAATAAATATTATAAAAATAATAATGTATATAATATATTTTACTGCATATTTTTACGTAAGCAGTGGCGTACAAATAATGGAATGGTTCGGGATAATCTTCCCCCAGGACAAAAAAAAATGTTATCCAGTTTTTAAATTATTAGTATAGAATTAAAAATATACATGTCACGAAAATAACACATAACATGTATATAAAATCTAGTAGTCATCAATTCATGGGTGTGTTTTAAGGGGGGCGAAGAAGCGATCACCCTTCCTGAATTCGTATTTAAGGAATTGATTATATGTGAGATACACATCTTAAATTTTTTTAATGTGGATCATTTTATAACAAAATCAAATTACGCATGGCTATGAATATTGAATTGGGCTTTTTGTCGGGTCCATACTTAGTGAAAAATCAAATAAAACACATGCGTAACTTTCTAAATACAGGTGTTAAAAAATAACTGTACAAAAGTCGATTCTAAGTGGATCCGGCATTAGATTAAAAAAAAAAAAAAATTCACAAATATTAAGGATTCACCTGATTTAAATATCACCAAACATTATACTTAAATTTTGAGCCTGAATTAAAGAAAAAATTTAATTTTCCCCCTCCCTTAAAAGTAAGTAATAAGCCCCTGCATCCAGTATTTATTTCAGACCTTCTATCTCGGGAGGGAATCGTAAATTTCCAAGAGGGTATGCCTTAGAAGTAAATAATTAAGGAAAGTAATAGTATCTTTTTAAGCTCAATTTATAGATATTAGATAGATACCTACGAATATCTATGAATACGTAGATTCTTAAAAATCTAACTTTAGTTAATTATATGTATACAATATTTGAAATAGTGTAGAGTAATAATTAGTTAACCATAATTCTTTTGAACCATTTCTCACTCCCTGGACGGCCATACCCAATTACCGATGTTTGGGTTGTTACAGTATTTAAAAAAGGGGACGGTAAATACTAAGCGTGCCTCAGGGCGCCGAGAAGGTTAATCTACCACTGGGTGAAATGGATGATACACGGCGTGTACCCATTTTCTAATTTTATAGTTATACGTGTACCCTCAATGAAAATCGTGGTACGCAGACAGGGCCGTATTAACGCATAGGCACTATAAGCACTGTGCCTAGGGCCTACGAACTTTTTTGGGCATACGAAAATGTGTGACTACGATTTTTTGTAGTATGTAAATTAGATAAAAAAATTTTTTATGATTTTTGACAATTTATATTATATATGTTTTGGATTAAAATGAATTTTTTTTTAACATTTGTTAAAACTTTTATCGTATAAAAATGTATAATAGTTATCATATAAAAATTTAGATTTGAGCTTAACACTGCATGAGATTCAAACACTTCCTCTACCAAAGAGAAGGCTTCATGATAATTTGCATACTGGACAACGGCCCTGCAAGAACTAGGGGCCTAGAGCTTACGATAGTGTTAATCCGGGCCTGTACGCACGTAAACGGACCGTGAACAAAACGTATTAACGTTACCCAGTAAATATTTATATTGGATAATATTTGTTAAATTTTGATATCCAACGATTAAAAAAAGATAAACGTGATTTTTTCACTTCACTGATTAAGAAAATATCTTGGAAGTCCGTGGTTTACTTATACCACAGCTATAGATAGTATTATCTTTAATCATAATTACGAATTAAGATATCTTTATTCGTGATCATGACATGTACAGAGACCGTTTGTACACAGATCTATTTTTAAACAATTTAGTAATGTACACAATATTGTGTATATATTTTTTTTGCAATGATTCAAGCGTGTACCCATACACTTTTTTAGGACTACATCACTGAATAGGTGGATAGTATTTTTCGCAAAGTATATGTTACAAAAGCTCCAGTGAAACGTCTGTGATTGCCGCGTTCACCTACAGCGAATCGAATGTTCTCCACGTGCTCATAAACATAAAACGTACGCCACTCATCGGGTACGGGTGGGCGATTTAAGTAATCGGATTTAGGTTTCCTCCCTCCCCATATGGAGAATAAAGGGTGCTGCCCGTCACCGGTAAAATATGTCACTAAGCACACTCACCCTGTTGGACGATCGGCTGCGGAGGGAGTCTTTGAACGAGGGCAAAAGCCCCATGGCCAACGGCGACCAAGCCATCAAACCGACGCCTGAAACATACCAACAGCGATTGAAAACGGGACGGAAAAAAATGCGCGTGCAAAAACGACCGTCGCAGTCATTTTCGTACCACTCACCGATCTTGTTGTACAATTCGGGCATGTAGATCTCGACCTTTTCCCTGCACAGCATGTGATATTCCGATTGTTCAAGTATGGGCGTCGAACAGTTCAACTGTCTGCACGCCGTGTACATCTCTGTGACGTCGATGGGCGACCACTTGGCCGTGCCCCAATACATTATCAGACCCTCCGACACGAGAAAGTCCATCGCTCTGACCACTTCTGTAATATGCACATCATATGGTCGTAATTAATATTTTGAAACGGTATTGTCAAGCGTATTGTTTTTCTACGCTCGGTGGTCCTAAAACTCATATCGAGACGATTTACAACGCTGCAAGTTAACGTTACCAGCCTAACCGAATAATTTCTCTTCCGAATAAGAAAATTATTTCTCTGTTGGGATTAGAGCTCTTAATACACGTGAATTCACGAAATTCACGTGTCACGTGTCACGTATAAAATCCAAAATAAAAACGTATATCCTTAACTTAATACTGTACTATTAATATTTTATTAAAACTTCAAGTGTATAACATAAAATTACTAATTTTACCATTGTAAAAATGGATATATATTTTGGATAAACATGTATTTCACGTGTACACGTGAATTCCGTGACACGTGTTTTAAGAGCTCTAGTTGGGATGAAAATGGATATTTGGCTATTTAATTTTATTTTCTTTTTTTTTTTTTTAAATACATTTAAATTTTAAACGTATACTTACAATTACATTTGTAGAACCATTACCATTATTCTACATCGAAATTGGGTTAATTGTCTACGTTTGGCCATTTTGACGTACGATTATAATAGAATATGTTATTGAAATATATTGCAATTTTAATAATAATCAATATCATGTCATCGTGTTACTGTATAAGATAAATTAAATAAAATCATATATGTGCTGAGCAATAGCTAAACTGTGGTATTCAAAAGCACACATATGATAAAATGCATTTCGATAACAAAGAAATCGAAATAATGAAATTTAGTTTTGCATTTTAGAGGGAATTTTTATAATTTTTTTATTACATCAGCATTCGGGTCTTAATAATAATACAAATATAATTATTCAACAAATGTTAAGTAAGAGAGGATAAAAATTTAGTACAACATACTCTGTAATTTAGTTGATGTTACTAGGTGTTAAACAGTGTTCTACAAACAAAACTAACTATTATTAAATATAAATTATAAATTATATAGTAATATAAACTTATATAAACGATTTTTTAATTGTAATTATTTTATTAAAATATATTTTCAATATACTATTTAAAACAGTAAGAAAGTAATTTACAAGTTTATACATTTTTACAGCACATGAATAGTTTGTGTATGAAATGTTCACCAACATCTCATAATATATACATATATAAAACTATAATTAATTGCATATTAATGAGCTAATGTCAAACAGTGTGATATCTAACAAAACATTTTGTCTCTACAGAAATATTCTTCTGTGAACATTCTTATTTTTTGTAGTATACAATGAAGATGAAAACAAATAGTTATATCAAAAACCTTCCTAAAAGGAAGAAAATAATTGCGGATTTAACAATGAACATTTTTGGAAAGTTAAGGAGTAAAAGGAAGTATGAAGGAGGTAGAGTATAACAGATAAAAAGCTTGTCAAGAATTCAACGCTTATATCCTAAGGAGCAAGGCAGTATGAAAAATAATGAGAGGAATCATCACATTTAAAAGGGCCATCATGATGTCTACAACAGAGAAAGTTGTTCAGGGAAAAATGAAAATAACGACGGAATAATCGATTGTGCGTCTTACGCGGTGACGCGAGTGAATAATATTGCCATGAAGTAGGGTAAGTTTTTATGAAACAAAGCTATAGATAAGAATTAAAATTTGAAAAGCAAAACGAAATTCTTATAAGGTTATAAAGAAAGAGAAAATCGCCCCCCGTAAAATAAGAACAGCATAATTCAAAAGAGTTATGACTGAGAAAATGCAATTAAAGATTTTGAGAATTTTCAAAACAATCATCGTCTGATAATAATTATTACAAACAATTATTGTTCCTTGTGATAATTTGACTTTTTCTTTTTAATACTTCTGTTATTTATCATGAGTTACAATTTTTTTAAGGGTTTCAAGAATTCCCGAATTTCCTAACACCAAAAAATAAGTTATTTTTATTATTTTCAAGTTATACTGTCTTTATTTTTTTTGATCATCTTTTATTATTAATTGTGTTTTTCGTATTAGGGAAATTTTGAAATGTGCTATCATATCGCTATTTTCCCCTAAATATTCAAATTTACGATTAAAAATTTTAGGTTTATTCATTGAATAGTAGTATATTTTTGAATTAGCCTTAAAAAAATTGAGTGTTGACAATGAGGTATAATAATAAAAAAACTATTATTAAACTTAATGGAAGATTTAATTTTAACTATGAGCAATCTAACAAATAAATATATATACTTTTCATTATAATCTATTTTAACTTGATCGTAAAATTATAATATACTTATCACAAAATAAAGGTAGACATTTTGACTTAGTGGAAATATATTAAAAACTACTTTGTACGAGTTACAAATTAAAATGTAATGGGTGAAACTAAAGATTATAATAATCCTCCTATTGACTTAAAACCTATATATATTTTTCCTTTAAGCTTCAAAAGCCAATTAATAGTTGATTATTATGGTGATCAATGGGTATCAAGTGGAGATTCTAAATTTTATGTTGGTGAAAAAAACCATATTTGAAAATTATAGGTCACAAATAAAATATTTTTGTTATTAATTTATTTTAATTTATCATGATTTTCGGACCATATTTAGCAGTTGTAATGTAAATTATTTAAATAAAAAATTGTTAGTCTAAAAATTAAATAAGCTAAGTAAAATTGTTATTTTATGGAGTTATTGTTATTTTGTGTAGTGGCTTGTAATTTCGGGATTTTTTTTTTAAACATTTTCTTTCTAATTTGATTGACTATAAGTACACCACTTTAGCACGTTCGTGTTTTATTATAATATTGGGCATAAGATACTTTTTTTATATTATAATACCTTCAAGTGGGCACATTGGATCGGCTTTTTGTATCAGGACTATATCTATGTAGTCGAGTTGAAGTCTTGCGACGGATGATCGGACCGACTCGATGATGTGTTTACGCGACAATCCTCGTTCTTCGGACCTGCGTTAAAAATAATATACCTTAGTATACCTATACACAGTACCGGATTACCCATTAGGCGGAGTAGGCGCCTGCCTTAGGGCCTCACTCATTTAAGGGGCCCTGTGAAAACGAAAAACTATATATATTTTTTTTTTAATAATACCTGTATTTTATTTACGAATTTACGGGACAAAATTTAATATGAAATATAATATATATTAAGTTGTAGGTATTATATGAAGTAATAATAATATAATTATTCCGAAAAAGATATAAATAATTTATTAATTTTTTTTGCAAATAAAAAAATGTAATAAACATGATTTTATTTGTTAATGATAGTTGGTTATCATTAAAGCTGTAGATTTTAATTATTCCATAGTAGTGTAAAAGATGTACGTGAAAAATAATTTTGTAGGACCCAAAATCTTAATGGCTTAGGGGTCCACAAATGTTTAATCCGGCACTGCCTATTCAGATATATTTTTAATTCTTAAGCGATAAAACAATCATGCGCGTATGACCCAATTTCCGTGTAATATCATAGTCTAGCTGGTAAGCTTGAACGGGTCTACAGCAGTTTATGTACTCGTATACATAAGGCTAGACGTAAAAGAGTTAAATAGTTATTCCAAAAATAAATTATTCTCGACAAAATTACCTATCGAAATTATTTTCTTCAAAAAAAATTTTAATTTTTTTTTATTTCTTTTTTTTATTATAATGTACAATATGTATTATTTTTTTACAACAGATAATTTTGCTTACATATTTTATTGGTAAACTTATCCAGCCTTGCTTAAAATATGTATAGAAAGTACCGTATCTCTGTGGATCATATTAAAACACATGAAGTTATTTTTTCTACTTCTTCCGGAAAAAAACACGAATAAATTGTACGTGATTTCTTGTGCAGTTGGGGTAGGTACACTTTTAATTAGATGACAAATGTAGTGGTGTCGATATTGGACGAAAAAAAAAATGAATAAAAAAACGGTATTTTCAAAAACTATTGAGAAAAATCAACGCGATCGGATCTTCCGGTGTCAGCGAAAGCGAACAAAACGCGTACTTGTAGTGCCAACGTATTTTGGTGATGAGGCTGTATGACACGCGCTTCCAGTTCTTTTTCTTGAGTATGATGCCGAGCTGCGTCTCGGCCTGTTCGCTGCTCTGCGGCCCCTCGGTCAGGTCGAACAGGTTGATTCCCGCGTTGTACGCGGCCGTCACCACGGCATCCAACTGCTCCTCGTTTATGGCCGTGTTGAACGTTGTCCACGTAGCCAGCCCGATGTTGGACACTCGCAGGCCGCTCTTGCCCAGGTTTCGGTACCGGAGCCCGGACGTCACGCTGGGCGATTGCGCGGACGACGCACGCTCCACCGACTCCTTGGCCGCAGCCGCCTGCAGTTTGGCGCACAGTTGTTCCGTGGTGCTACCCAGGTCGGCCATGCAGTCCAGGCTGGCTATCGGCGCCTTGCATCTGCGAAAAAAAAAAAAAACAAAACGATACACTTCGTCAAAATGTTGGCCATACGAATCAAATTATTTTAAATCAACTATTCACTATAAAATACATTTTTCGAATAGCTGCACGTACATCCGATTATTATAGATTCTATAAGCCGATACGTAAACAAAAGTTTAGTACGAGTTGTGGGCTGAAATCGAGGAGACTATAGGTATGCTTTTTCTTCACTACGTTCACTGCATTATAATATGTATTTCATAGGCGTGCCTACGGGGGAGGCAGGGTGGGCACCGGCCTCCCCAGCGACGTTCTTGGCCTCTTGGCTTATGATGATGAAACCACGAATATATAGTATCTACCATATATCCGTGGCTGAAACAGTAACAGTAGGTAATTTTAAGTAGAAGGTGAATTTAAATTTTAAATTTATTGAATTTTATTATTTATAATATTTTAATAAATTACTTGTTTAACCAAACTAATAAATAACTGTTTATTGTGTAATAACTGTAATAAGATGTATATAGAAGGTTAATGTATAGTTGATAAAATATTTATTAAAAATAAATAAGTAGCACATTAGTTAATAGGCCTAATTTATTAGTTCATAGTTGTAATAGCATAGGAAACCAATTTTAAGATAGAGGAAACCTTTAACTTGACGGGGTGAAAAAATTCCAGGTGCTATATAATTTCCATACAACAAAAGTAAGTCGTAAATATAGGTATAGATTATAGATCGCTGTAGTAAGTAAAAAATTTAAATTCTATAACTGGCCTCCCCAGCCATGGAGGTCTGGACATGCCTATGATGTATTTTAATAATACATGCTATATGATATATGATTATCCGTACGAAAGTGACTGCTGCAGAGTACAATTTTCGTATTATGTTAATGCCAATAGGTAAAAAAAAGATTATGGAAGTATTTGTTCCTATACTTATTGAAGGGAAAAAGTTACGTCTGAAATTTCCATTATAACTCTATCCCTCACCCACCATCATCAGAAAACCTTAACCTTAAACTCTGCGCTTAACGTTATGATTTGAAAGCGAACATAACGGTTTTTTATACAAGTGCGCCTTAATCATAATTTATTTTAAGTACATATTTATTTAGTTTTTATTTATTATTTATGATTTTGCATTTACAAGTTATAATAGGTAACAGAAATTTATACATTTCTGAAGTTTTTTGTTATAATTCGTATACCATTTAAAAATCGAATCCTTATACTGACTGCAGTCATATGTAAGAAAGAAAGTATTTAATACAATAACTAGTTTTGTAACCTTGAGGTGTTTATCCTTTGTATATAAAAAAAAACTAATTGTATCTTCGTCCACAGGGCTTCTTATACGTATAAGTAAATTTAATTGAATATAAAAAAAAAAATTTTATATTAAAAATTTTGAACATAATGTGACCGACTGCAGCATAAATATTCAAGCATAATATGTCAACCTCGGTCCTCTGAAGTATCGTTATCATTGAAATAATGATATACGTTGGAGTACTAATGTATAGATTTCACGAAGACGAATGAAATATTATCATTACGAGTATATGCAATACAAAACGTTTGGAAAATTTGGACATGTTTTTTTACATCAACGAATGTTTGCACAGAACTTGTCCAACCTTCTAGACATGCACATTGTCTTACAACTCGTAGTAGATGTATAGATTTATTGTTTTTTAGTATAAAACATCAGTAGGGGTTTTTTATTATATTACAATTTATTTTAACGTTTTTATTTTTTTTCAGTCATTATGAAATTCAAATATGTAAATATCCAATAGCTATTTAAAACTTAAATTTGCGGTTTTTATTTATTTATTTTTTATTTTTTTATTAAATTTGATTGTGAATTACATAATTATTTCAATTTAATATACTTATAACGTCTGAAAATACCACCTATTTGCTGCTAACTCCTAATCAATTGTGGAAACACATTTAGGAAATAATTTTATTTAAAATTTTCAAATCATAAAAACGGGTTTTCAATATTACCTTAACTCAGTAAAATACATAATGAAAATTATCTTATAGCTTTACAACCGAAATGTTGTTTGCTTTACATTTTTAGGTAATTTCATAAATTGTCAGTAAGTCTTTATAGTTTTGAGATTGATAAAATTCACTGAATGGTTGACAGTTAAATGATTTAAGCCAGTTTGTTCAAGTGATAATACATGTTCATTACTCAGTTAAAAAATTCAGTTTCAGTTTATTATGGTAGAATAAAAAATTATAATTTATTGTGTATTTTACATTAAAAATAGTATTTGATTTTTATTTTGCTTAGTACCGAATTTTCGTTAGTGTAACAAAAGGGATTTGAAACAAAAAGACTTATTATCTACTTAAGATTGATTTTGTCAATAAGATTTTAGTGGTGTAAATATATTAGTTAAAGAAAATCGAGAATATTTATGAGACACGAGAAAAAAGTATTTGTATTTGAATAATTTTATTTTTCATATTTATAAAATAAATTTACTGTTATTTCATTTTTAGTTCGAAAAAAGGTCAAATAGAAATTTTGAAAGTAGTGCTGAAAAATAAAGAAGAAAATGTATATATATTATATATATACTATGTATAAAATTGTGTATATATAAATGTTTATATAGTTTCTTAATTTACTTAAAAATGTTGTTGTTATAATTTTTCCTTTATAATATTTCATTAAATTTGTTTTATAAAATTGGACTACTTGTATTTTTAGCTGAATCTTAGTCTTTCTGAATCGTGATCCGAGACAAATTTCACGTTTAATCTCAACTTTTTTATGTACAAATCTTGTTAAATCTGATAATGTATTCTATGATCTCAATATCACTAAAAATAAGTATTTTAATAAACAGGTGACAAGTTGATACATAAGTTAATATTTTATTATATTACGGTCTGCAATCTGATCTGCATCAAAAACAGTATTTATCATTATTTTTTTATTTTTATTTTATTAATTTTATTATTTTAAGTAGAGACTGTTGTTTTTTTAATACTTCATGTCTGTGATAGACGTTTATTTAATAATAACTAAACAAAAGATGTGTTAAATCTAATTTTTTTTTTGTTCTCAATTTGTTTCATTATACAATCTGTAAATATATTATTTTTACAATTAGCATAAGTGTTGATAAGATAGAAATAGAATAAAAATAAAATAAAATAAAATAAAAGGGACTGATGATTTGAGCGAAGAATCCATCCAACGATGGAACTTCTTAAAATCTAATTTAAATATATATTTTTATATTCAATTTTAATCCATTACGTACCATGATGATATATGATAGAAGTATATTATTTATTTTTAAAAAATGTATACTTTTAAGTTATTTAAAAAAATGAAAAATAACGAAACATTGTGAGGTCCAACATTGCTATTACAAACTTTTTCAATTCTTATTTATCATACACAAAATCTAACTAGCTCTGTTTGAAATATTTTTAGGTCTTTCATGATAAAATCCTTTCACTAATTTAATTTATTAATATTTGTTGGTTGTGCAAAATGTAGTCGTATTAGTCGACTAATATTAAAGATTAAAAATAGTTGGTCACGAAAATTATAGTCGAATATTTAGTCGGTAGTATGTGATGAAAACATTTGATAGTAACAAATAGTTACTTCTGGCCATTACTATTATAACTACTTAAGGTAACATTTTTTTTATTGCGAAAGTTGTATACAATTCATTTTTATTATTAGATAAAAACTTCCAGATAAAATGATGCAAACTCGTAAATCTAAACATATACTACAAACCAGCTTTTAGTACAAAACGTAATACAGAATCTTTCAAACTGTTGTTTACCAAATTTTAAGACAGAATATCATTAATGGTTTTCTAATATACATAGGTTCTCGTAAAAAATCTAGATCAACGTGCGGATTTTCCAAAAAGTCCAAATTAATTTTACAAAAGAAAAAAAAAATGATCAACTCAATGCTTTCAGTTTTTATTATTTTAATAGGTAATAATAATTATTTCAAAATTAATTTTCCAACGATTTTATAATTATTATTCATATTTGTAATAATTTCAAAGACTGTAGTCATGCATAAAATTTACATGCGCACTAGTTGTGAAAGTCTTAGAATAAAACCAATAACCATTGAAATATTTTTTACAGCAATTCGTAAGGATGTCGAAATGTTGGATACACCTAATACCTTTATGAAATATTCAAATTAGGAAAAACTACATATTCCAGGTTAAAATCATTAATTTTTAATTATATTCCTTTTATAGAAAATTATCAAAAAATATCACATACAGACACAAATCATCATTTATACTATCGAAGGAGGAGACTTTTCAAACACCATAAAATTAATAAAAATATGCATCGCATATTATAACCGCGAATAAGATCGTATATTGTAAAAATATATAATAAAATACATTAAAATAAGATTGATTTTTAGCAACTTAATAATAATGTAGAAGTTAAAATAGATCGATAGAAGGTTATTACAATGGTTAGTTTTTATTTTATCAAATGCATTAGAAACAATATACATAAGTAAACGTTAGTAGTAAGTACTAACGGTTGAACTCCTGACCCAATTTTTAATACACCAAGTCAAATATTCCGAATGAACATGAATGAAATCCTTTTTCGATTACTCAGCATGTTTCGTCAAAAGAGCACATATAAAATTTCAGCCCTGGGGCCCAATGGTGCTTAATCCGGCCTTGATTACCTGTACTCATAAACGTAAAGTAACAAGAACGGTGTATGTAGTTTTTATTTTTTTACATTGATATATCAAATTCAAAAGATAGTATAGTGTACACATTGTACGGTAAACCAATGATTTTTTAATTTTGCATATTAAAAAATCATTGGTTTATGCCGTCCTATTGTTACAAACAATTCGTAACGCGTACACGTCAGAAATTAATTAGGTAATTACGTGGTTGCAGCCACTAGACCAGGGATCAATAAGTAATTTCTATAGAATGGACTCCAATAGAAATTTCTCGTCCACCCGGGAAGATTAAAATAATAAATAAAGAGTTTCGAAGAAGAAAAATTATTTTGTTATGAAACAACTGTAATCTGAGTCGTATAAAATCAAATTAACCATAGTAAAAATTATCAAAAAAATGTAATTGACTCATTTAAGTAAAATATGTTGACGGTCCAGTTATCTGCGTTCCTCGGTCCTCTAGCCTTCAACCGCTGTAATTACCATTACCAACATTACCAAGCACTAGACGTAGTCGCTGTAATTAGCATTTGCATTCAATTGGATAAACAGAAAATGATAGCCGTTGTTTTTATTGTTGGAAGCCAGTTTTTATCGAATGTAAACGCCGATCATAGCGACGTCTGGTGGCTGCGTCCACGTGGTAGACGTTATCAATTTCAACAATAGAGCGACCCGTATCTACATAAAACGCCAATGGCGATGACAATGTGCACGCATCTAAATTACGATTAATAAGGCGGCAGCGGACGGGTTCTCATTGGGTGAATTACGTTTTAAAATTTTAAAATTTACTAGAAATATTTATTATAATATTAAAAATACATTAATTTTCATTAAGATGTTTGAATAATACATTTCTGCCAATTCTTCCTAACACTAGAAACAAAATAAAAATATTAATATAATTTAATAAAATAACGACAAATGACTTTGAAAAAAGTGTTTTTGTGTTTTTTCTTCTCCTTTTTCAACTATATACATTGGAACATTGTTTCAAGCATTCCAAATGGATAACGAATTATGTGTTCATAAGTATATTGTTTTGTATTTTCAAATTAATTCAAACATTTAAAAAGATAATTAGAAAACATTGGAAATCGATAATCTTATAACGCATTATTGGAAACGTAATTTAGTCAACGAGATCCATCGATATGCTATGGGTTTCTTGCAATGTATGGTATGCTTGTATACCATACGGATATGTTACTTGAATACATATATATGTGTGTGTATACATGACGGCGTCAGGAGAGTAGTAGTTATAAAGGTTTTTATTGATTTTCCGTTACAGCTGTAGAGACTGCTTGACGCCTTCGCTGCAGCCACGGGCAGTGCGCGTATCATACTCACTACGCTAACGCAGTAGCTTACAGTCAACCCCCTCCCCCCCGCTAGCTTTTTAAACGGCAACACCATACATCTGAAATTGTCCAAACATCGTGCACGCACGTTCGGAAAACTTAAGACCGAACGGTGTTCGCTTAAATACAATTTTAATAACATGCGCATGCACGTGCAGGGTTTAATTATTTTAATCGCTCGAATCGCCGCAAATCCGGAAAAATATCCTCGTAATGATTGTATAATGGTAGCATATTTTCATCGGCCGAACAAACGATTTTATTATGTACTTGTAGCACTATTGTGGGAGGTAGTGGAGAATACCGTACATCCGTATAGTTTTTACGTTTTTCGTGATACCACTTTTCTTCCATTAATCGTTATAATGTATGTGTGTGTGTGTGTGTGCGTTCATGAGTGTAACGATCGCAACTTCAATGAGAATAAAATGCAAATTTCTCGTATTTTCATATTACATATGAGTAGCAGGGCCGGATCTAGGGGGGTTCAGGGTGTCAGCTGACCCACAGTTAATATTTGTTGACAAAATTGGCCTCTTGAAAATATTTTCTCTTTTTAGTCCTTGATTTGGACTCTTGGACAGTTGGCCCATCGGAGTTAATTGAAAAATGAATGCCATGTATATTCAAAATTTAAAATTTTTCAATTCATAAATTATATTTTAAATTATATCGTTTTAGTAGAAAGTTAAGTAAATCATATTTTATTCCGTACGTTTATTGCGCTGATAAAATTAGATTATATTTATTAATCGTAAATAATTCATTATCGGTAGTATCACTAATTCTAAAATTTAATATAAATATACTTATACACTTTTATGAGCATATTGTGTTTTTTTTTACAAGGTATTTATTTCTAATTCAGTTTCATTTCTAATAAATGGTCTATTGAGATGACTTGACCCACAGTTCCCCGACTCTGGATCCGCCCCTGATGAGTAGTATGGTTTTCGATAAAAGAAACAACTTGCGGTTTGTAAGATAGCTCTCTATGTAATCGTTAATGATCGATTAATGAAATATTAAATATCATTATCGTTGAACGCTAAAATTGTACCTTACTATTTTAGCGTTTAACAAAAATAATATTCGGATTCCATGTGACACAGTACGATCTATATTTGTAAACATTTGTTCAACAAATGTTTCAGGTCCATGCTTCAGCTTCGATATACAATATTATCAGCAGTCACTGCGATGTAAAGAACCTAACGCGTTACTACGACGTTTACGCACGTGTTGTTATTATTTATAAAATAATATTTCACGCGTATTCTTCTGTCCAAGCAAGTGTACGTGTACATCAATGGCATAACCAAGGGGGTGGGGGTTTGGGGCCGGACATTGCAATTTCTACATACTCAACGATTTAATAATATAATAATTGTAAAGAGTATATTTTAATTTCCCATTATCTTAAATATACAAAGTTTATAGATTATATAATATACCTGTAATGAATAAATCATACAATAGTATACTCGTATTAACAGTAATTTGTTGGTATTGAGTTAAACTATAATTATAATTAGAGAACAGATAAAATAAAAATTTTGGATCATCCCCATAAAAAATTCCTGGGTACGCTTATGGGTACATATTATATCATCATAGCTTACTTATACAGAGGCGACTGTTGCGAGTCGTCTTTGTTACTGGAGCTGCTGGTCCTCTGAGGACCACCCCCGTCGTTAACGGGAAACTGAAACAACATGTTGCGAACGGAGGAGGAATAGAAAACTTGGACAAGAGTAGAGTCAAAAATGATATAGAGAGTAAGCGTGTGTAAGCGAGTGAAATAAAGATAAATAGAGAAAGAGAAGAAAAACAGAGAACGAGAACCGCGTCGCACGTATGCAATTCACATTGTAGCCGTCGTCGTCTTCATCGCAGAAGAAGCGGCAGCAGCAAAGACAGCAGTACAAGCAGCAACGCCAACAAGATTCACGTTACGGCGTGTACGACGAACGGAATCGTCAAGGCGATGTATTAACGACATCGCGGCTACGTACACAAGAGTACACTTTTGCGTTGGTTTTTTCATCAGATTTTTTCGTGTCCGTTCAGCGCCCGGTACAACTAATTGGTATTGGTATTTTCACAACAAAGCATACAACAACAACAACAACAACAACAACAACAATAGCGGTAAAAGCTGCAATATATGCACGGCGATCGTCAACGTTCCTCCATCGCTACCCTGAACCTACGTCGCTTGTAGTGCGCCCGGACGTCATCAACGGCGGAACCCATGTCGCGTCGCGTGTGCGGACCGCCGCCGCACGTTTCGCACGTACAACGATACTGGAGCAACGGCACGTACACAGCAACGTACACACCGCGTATGGGCACGTATGCGCGTCGGTGTCGCAGTCCGGGAGAGCCGCACCGTGCGTGTGTGCGTAGCGTACTGCTGCTGAGAGTGCCGCGGCCGCGCCATAACCTAAGCCGCCCTGCCGTCGGGGGTCGGCGCGCGCGCTCTCGTCCTCTTCCCGTTCCCCGTCCACGCGGGTGCGACGGGTGCCTCGCCAACTTTCGGGATTGATCGCGTGCCGATGTGACCGCCGATGGCCGTGCCACGGTCGAACTTTCGCGACCGCCGTCGACGACGACTACGCGGACCAACGCAGGCGCAACAGCTCCGTCGCCGTTTTCCGGAATAATATATTATACACGCAGTGTTGTCCGTACATCGGTGTTTCCCAAAGTCGGCTAATACAACATCGCGTCCGGATAACAGGCGATATCGATAGACCGGTCGTGCACGGTGCAGAACGCAAGAACGGATAATGCGAGGGAAATAGGTTTCGTGTGCACGGAATGAGAATCCGACACGAACCCGTTGCAACGTGTACACTCATGATTTGTCGTACGAAGTTGTACGCAGTGATTGTGATAGATTCCCACTGAACAACAGAGCACGTTGGACATGAGCAATAATCAGGGACGGACTGAGTCCTCGAAGGCCTTATAAGTTTAACAAACTAGCAAACGACAGACTCGTGTTACAGGAGAAATTATAGCTATTGTCTCAAACATACAATTTTTGGAGGGCCTGGGTGGGTTTGGCCACCTATCCGCCCCACCGGTGCCCCTGGCAATGAGCTTGTTGCAATTATACATTGTTGCACTTCTATCAAGGTAGTGGGATTTTCCCCCTCTTTCTACCCAAGCGGACGAAAAAATAATTTATTTTAGGAACCACTGCGTTCTATTTATATTTGATGTAAATCATATGTACAAGCGCGCACATCTTGTCCGTGCTAAATACACCGCGCATGTACGAATAAAAAAATAAGTGATAACTCGTGAAAGGAAAACATCCCGAATACAATACCAGTAAATGAGTGTTAACGATAATAGTTACGACACTACGACAACGGCTGAGGTACACCGCGTGATGATAAACATGAACTATACGATAATTGGACGTTTGACTTATCGTACGCTTCGTAGCGGTCCCGACTTGGACACGTATGTGCAATTAAATTGTATATAATGCATAAATTACGAATTAATGAATATTTTAACTAGAATACGTTGTTAAGAAAACGTGCTTACATGGATTGCACGGAGCCGGACAGGCTGTCGACGTAATGGAGCTCGGCCAGGGACTCGGACGCCGCGGCCGAAGCGGCTTGCGCCTGTATCTCCCTCTCCAGTCTCTCGGCGTTCCGCTCGGCACGTTCGGCCCGCTGGTGGGCCCACTGCTGTTGCGTGTACAGCTCGTGCCGGGCCGCCGCCTCGGCCATCTCCTTTTTCTCCTTCTTCTCCTCGTCCGTCTGCGCGCGGCACGAGCCCGAGCCCGAACCCCAACCGAGCCAAAACTGATGGGCCAGCTTGGAAGGTTCGATCACTCCGCCGCCCGTCCGATATGTGTACTAACTATATACCGCGCAACCGGCGCGTATGGTTATAGAAACCGTAGACGCTCCGCCGCCGTCGCCTCCTTCTACTATTCGTGTTCTCGTGTTCCGCTTCCGTCCGTCCGCCGGTGACGGCACGATCCAGCGCAACGTAAATACGTCGCTCGTGCGTTTTCCGGTGCTGCGCGAACGCGCACGTATATAAATATAGATATAATGTCCTAACACGCGTGCACGTAAATATCACGTCGTGGCACGCGTGCGCCCCGGACCGGGGTGTTGGTTACGTGCGAACGCGGCAGTGTTACCCATGTGCTGTGCGTGTTTCGCAACGATGTTAGGTGTACCGCCGTCGACTCCTGTCGCACGGTAATGGTCTAACCCCGCCACGATGATTGTTACGACAACGATGTCGGGCGGACGGTGCGTCGTCCGTATCGTTATTGAAACGTAATATTAACGTATGCATATATGTACGGGTGGTATTACATCGGGTACCGCGGTTACGCGCCGGGGCGAAGACGAACGCGTTTAATAATAGAACGCGGTCAAGCGGTAGCAGCGCGTGCGACGCGTTCACGCCATGGTGGCCGGTGGCTTTTCGATCGACAACGCACAAATCGACCGGCGGCGGCACCGCGTGCACTGGTCGCACACGACAAATCCGACGACGACGTCCACTGCGGAGTCCACTCGGGTCACGAAATCGGAGCCGAACGAACGACGGGCACACGAGCGTCGCAAGAGAGAACGGAAAGCGCTACGGACGCCGTTTTGTTTTTCAAAAACCGACCACCGTCGTCGGGACGACGGTTAATCGCGCGACCAACAGGCGTCGGTTCGCGAGGGACGTATGGGGGATTTTATTTTCGTAATCCGTTCGGCGGCGGCCTCTGGTTGCTCGTGTTTTGACACACAAACGTACACACTCACGCACAAGCATATATACTTCAGTTGTCTCTCGCGCGCGCACACACGTACACTTAAGCACTGACCTACACACGCGCGCGCGCGCGCGCGCGCCCGCGCCCGCGCCCCGTCCAGGAAACGATGGCACACGATCGTTCACGGGCCACGAAACCCAATGTGTACGCCCCCGACGTCGTTCTACCGCTTGAGCGCTTCGGCAACGTCTTCCGCGCACCGCTGCCGCTGTCTCCACTGAAATGTGCACGTACGTCAAAGTTGTATACATAGTGCTTGAAATGGCAAACGAAGCAGTGCGGTTACATAGCGTACACAGAAACACGTTATACAGAGGCAATATCATGTTTCGGACCCAGGTTCGTACTGCCAACTGTCGGCAACAAGTATTTGTACATAATTTAAAAGATTATAAAATGTACTAAACAAGAAAAAAAAATGTAATTACATTTTATGGGATTTCAATTTAAGAAAAAAATTACACCCATTTAAATATTTTTGTGCACTCAAATGTTTACTTTGGATTTGTTATTACCACCCCGTGTGTACACCACTATTTTGCTCGTGAACACATTTCTTACCGCGAGAGTTGCCTACGATAAGACGTGATCCACAGAGTTCGTTGGCTATAAATGCATACAATAATAAGCGTTGTAGCGAGCACGATAGTCCTCGGTCCAAAATGTTCACCACATGTGACCCATAAACTACGAATGGTGCCTCGGTTAAAACCAACAGGCATTTAAGTTTAGACATATTATGGCCAATTCGATATGAAAGCAAGTCAATATCAACGGAAGTGATAGTGATCGAGGTATAAAGACATAATACATATTATGTTCTGTAAGTTTTTAGTGATCTGCAATTTATTTGGAAAACAAAAAAGATGATGCCATGTGTTTTTACATTAAAAAAAAATTTTGTGTACGATAAAACATTTTGAAAGGACAGTCAAGTTTTGATTCACTCATCCGTGTTATTTTCTAATTCGAGCACTGTGTGTGCAAACGTGCATGCGCCTCACGGCCTTTTAGACGAAAACAAAAGCCGCCAAAGGGTGCGGTAGAAGCGGGTCGGGCGAATACACACACACACACACACACACACACACACACACACCAGGGGCGGATCTGAAGCTTGGTTTAGGGGGTGGCGAATAGGAATAAATAAAACACAATGAATACTTTACCGTAATTTCAGTAATTATTTAAGGAAAAATAAGTACAACGTTTATATTCACTGTAGGTATATATTTACTTATAATTATAAAAATTTTAATACTGAAAAATATTTATTACAATAATAATTTAACATTTCTTTTTTTTTTCATTTGCAAATCTATTAATAATATTTTCTATATTTACAACTATATCTTTATGCGTGTGCAATAAAGCCAAGCCAGTCGACTTTCACCCATCCGTGATCTTAACAATGTTTTTAATATAATAAGTAATAACAATAGAAATAAGCAAACATGCAAAGCCTCATCACACCCACGATGGATAAAATATATATGTATATATATAATATAATATTGTAGATGTGGGATCACTCGGTCGTCGGTGCGATAAGTACGCGACGATCACCGAATAGCGTACATAGAAAATACTAAAATACTAATAATAAGAATAATAATATCATAGATACACAACTTAATGTTTGATACTTTGGTTAATGATTATAGGCTATAGACATGAATTAATTTAATATTATTATTAGTCTTCATGGTTATGGCTAATATAGTCAACTATTATTTAATATCATGATACTTTCTGCTATGGTCACAAACTAAAATAGTATCTATAGCTACTTAAACAATGATAAACATAATTATAATTATATTTTATTTATTTTTATTATGTATATAAAAATATTAAATAAATCTGTAATAAAAAAAAAATCCCGAGGGAGGGGGCGAACGCCACATCGCCCCCCCATAAATCCGCCCCTGATACACACACACAAACGTGCGCGCTCTAACTTACCCACTCGCGGATAGTAAAAATACGATTTGCGTTTGCATTGTACGCGATTCACGTGTGCGCGCGCGCCATATGCTTTTGTCATCGAGAGCGCGTATCATAATTAACTCACCCCCGCCTGTTCGAAGAGTCCTATGTTATAAATTCTGCTAATAACGACGTCGTGTTTTAGTCGCAGCTGTGCCTTTACGTATGTCAGGTATCACCAAATGAATTATGATTTTCATTGCGCGAATGCACTGCACGAAACCCATTTACCGGTGGAAAACAGTTCATCAAAATTCCTCACGTACAACAATGAACCAAGCCCGAAATATGGGGGGTAGGTCCAGGGAGAGCCATGGCCTCTGGGCCCCGATATTTGGAATTTATCAAGGGGCCTCAGATTTGTCTGTTACTTTCTTCATAAAGAAAGGTTATAAGCCTAAAGGCTATAAAATTGTATTAATAACCTAAAAAATATCGATAATAATAATTATTACTGACGACAAAACATCTGTCAATTAAGTCGGATAAACCTCTTATAATTATTCATAATAATATGTAATGCACTACTAAAGTGAATAATGTGTTCAATACTTTAGTACCCATCCATTTATTTTTACACAACTTATCAGTAATCACTAATCGTTTACAGTCACCCATCAATCGAACGGGAAAAGATATTTTTGTACATCAATACACAAGTACACAACACGTTAACACCAAATTTGGTTTGTCTTCTGTTATTGTTTATGTATTAATTACTATATTGTAAACATCATTATATATTTCAACGTTTTAAGATTATAATAAATCATGACCTATAGCAAAAATATATTTTTTCTCATTTTTATGAGTTTGTGTGTTCTTTTAATATCACCTATAAAATACAATTCTTGGCACACGAATGATGATATTATGGTAGTTATTTAAAGTTATACAATTTTTATGTGGTTTGAAAATTCAACATAGTTTTTTCTTTGTCGGATGATAAAAAACATTTCTTAAGCTGTTCAATGAACTTTTAAGATGTTGAAGCTTTGAGAAAGTAGACTGAATGGCTAACCGAAGAAATTTTCTTAAACAAAAAAAAAAGTTTGTAATAAAAAATACACGCCTCATTTCACTCAGAATCTAAAGCATAGTACTTATACAATTATATTATGTATTTATTTTACGGACGTGTTTTAAATTTATAATTATCTATAGTAATACACAAATATATATTTTTAAGGCGGTCCCCCACACGACTGATGTACTTGGTAAATATTTGTCACTAGTGACAACACACCAGTCATATAGGAGAGTTCACAAGTATAATTGTTGGTTACTGGCTCGTATCGGTGGATTGTCGGTAAAACTGACACAAGTCAAAGGATCACTAATTTTTAGATTCAACTTGGCGTTTGCTCCCTCACGGTATGATGACTGGCTTTGACTGGTCGTGCAAGTTTTTTTTTTAAATAATTTATTATTAAAAGAAATAATATATATAATAATTTGTATACACATATATGATATATATATATATATATATGATATATATGATTGTGGTATAGGACATATTATTTTGACAATGCTAGTATACGAGTTAAAAAAGTCAAACATTTTATTGAAGTTAAAAAAAATTGGGAGAATATACAATTACCATGACAAATTTACCAGTGCTGGGCATTGATAATACTTGTAAATGTACACCAGTCGTGTAGGAGCAAAGACCAATGTTGGTCATATATCACCAGTGACAAATATTGGCCAAGTACACTAGTCGTGTGGGACCGCCTTTAGAATTGTGTCTGGTTGTAAGAAATTTAAATATAAGTAACTATATTGACTATAGCCAGTGTTGGGATTATCTAGATAAAAAAACTGTTTGTTATCTTTATCTTATTTAGACAATAAAAAATGAACCGTTGAAAATTATTGAAAATATTATCCAATATAAAAAAATCACTTATCTAGATAGTTAGATAAATTATTCGTGATTGTAAAGATATTTTTCAGTTTTCCAAAAATTGTCCATACTAGTGCTAAACAGTAGACATATTTGTTCGTTGTTATTATATTTGTTTTACACAATAATCACTATTCGCTAATCGGTATAATTCGTGGTATATAAAATAATATTACCAAAAATAGTGTTTATTTGAGTACCTTTATCATTGATGTGTTTACTATTACCAGGGGGTGGACACAACACGGCGGCAACGAAATCAGCGGCCATTTTAATTGAGGTACTTTTGTTATCAAATTATAATCAGTGATAACTGATATTCGTTATTAATTGCAATTTCAATTATGGTAATTGTTCAATATGTGATCTACCAAATAGTGTGAAACATGGTGACCTACTGGGTACCAAGAAGTTTTTACTTGTGGATCATTTTTTAGATAGTATGTTGTACCATAATACAGGCCCATGTGCAGGGTTTCAGAATGGGAAGTGTTTAAAAAAAAATGTATAAAATAGATTCATCGATGATTAAATAGTATTATACAGGTATTTATATAAATTTTTTAAGTATATTAAAAACGTGTATATCGATATAATACTATAAAATGCAAATCATTGTTCAAGTAAATTTACAAATAAAATTGTAATATATTTACAAAAACATAATTTATATTTTTTTGGTAATGATGGGAGTTGACCCATGGTTATACCATAGCATAAGACTTACAAGCCCCCCAAATCTCAAACTTTTATTGCACCTAATACCTTGAAAAATAATACTAATATTAGTAACATTTGAAAATGCGCAGAAGCTTATAAAGAATATTACTACCGTTTCATGATGGAATAAAATGTTACTAACTTCCTACTGTACCTCAAATAAAATGGCTGACTGATTTCATTATTGTCCTATGCTGCACATTTAATTTGTTATCAGTATCCATTCTGTTTTATTCTGTGCTATTACTTGTTCCGAATAATAGCTTATCGATAGTTGGCGATTATTGTTCTAAAAATAAAATATTTGTTCATTTAGACATGGAAATAATTAAATAACATGATATTATGAAATATGATACTGATATATATATATATATATATACTAATACCTCCTGGCTACTGCACTATACCGATCGGCAATACCGATTAGTTAAGCTGCACTAATGTGGACGTAACTGTCGGCTTCGTTATCAAGCCGAATACGTTGCCGATCGTAACCCGCGCGCTGGCAGTCTACATCAAAGGAAACCGAAACTTCATGCCTAGTGGAGACGCGTTTCGGCTTAATCTCAGTCGGCATTTGGTGTTAATAAGTACCAAAACTTTTATTGTAGTTATAGTTATATTGTAGTAACCTAACCTAACCCACGAGTGTCCTCTGTTATGGAATAGTCATTTGACGGATTATAAGAATAAAAATAAACGTCATGATGCTTTGCTTGAAATAAGCGTATCTTTTGGAACTGATAAAGATGAAATAGAAAAAAAGATTAAGTACCTGTTAAGTCATTTTGCAAGAGAAATTAAGAAAGAAAAAGAATTTGCTAAAAGTAGTACTTCAACCTTCGAAACTTACCAGAGTAAATGGTTTGCGTACAAGAGTCTGTTATTTCTCAAAGACAAGAATAAACCAACACCCACACTAGACACTGAGGTAATTTAATATAATAATAACATATTGATTTTAAATGTGTTTATTTTTCTGATTTCTATTATTATTAGTCGAGCAAACGTATTATGCTAAAACAAAGCTAGTTTCGAAATTTTATTTTCCATACAAATTAATATTACGAGTATTTTTTGGTTTTAGGGCATATATATTTCTTCCAATCTATACTTTTAGATGCATATTTTTTACAAATGCATTGTTTTTCAATAATTTTGTGTTAACGTTTTTATTTAAATAATGCTGAATTTATAATTATTTTAAATTTTGCTTTTATAATATTATATACCTAGCCCCAGACGCACGTTTTTCCTAAAAACATACCTGGAGGATTGCCGATTATTTTCTGATTAAATAAAATTAAATTAAAAATCGGGTTATTTTCTGGTTATTAATTTTATTTATAGATAGATAAGATAATAGTGTCACTGCAAAAAATATTATAGATACGGACCACGGGTAGGTTTTTTATTTGTATTTTGTTGGGAACCCGACGGTTTTCATTAACCTTCATTTAACCTTCATCGTAACGTTTAATAACGTTTGAACACGTATAAAATCCGTGATTTCGATACGGAAATTAATACGACACGCGGGGAATTAAATCGCATGCTGCAGATCACGCGATGGAACCTACTCAATACGCATGATCGACCGTTATCGTAGTTTGTGCGGAATTTATATTAATATAATACTGCAATTTTTAATTTTATAAATAATTACTCATCAAGCGTTGATTTGCGTCAATGAGCATATTTTTTTTTTTTTTTTGGACAATACTAGTATTCTTCCGATCATAACTACTAGGTTAACTTGAAAAACATAAAAAAATATTGAAATCGGATGATTGAAATCGAAACAAGTCTATTTTAACAATGATTCTTATGTTGTAATGAACATTACGATTTACAAATACAATAATTATTTACAAAATATGCCATAACCTCAAAAAACGTCAGTAAGGCAGCGCTCAATTTTACAGTGGTTAGTTGATAAGTTGGTTGAAATAGGTGAAGCCGATGGAGGGAGGGTAAATATTTGAAATAAGTAGTTGGTATTTAATTAAATGAAATAAATATTTTTTAAATTTGACCTTTACCTAATTTTTATTTATTATTGTGCCATTAATACGATTACCTATTTGCATTATTGATACTATACGAATATGGTTGTAGTATAATGTATGAATGTTTTCGTTAAAAACGTATGTATTCAACATACTGTATTGTACTTATACATATTGTACTTAATTTTAAACAAAATAAACAATTTAAAATAAAGGCTGGAAACATTAAGTTGATTGTTTTTTGTACATATTTTGTAGTATTTGCAATTACTACATGTAGTTATTATTATCCGATCCAGTTGCATCTTTACTTTCCAACCGGGTATCTTTATACAAATATAAGTATATATTATAAATACCAAATAAAGTCAGTGACGGATATTGTTGCCGTCTGCACGCAGATTTGCTGCCTCTTCATACATTTTTCAAGTAAGCTATTTTTTTATTGACTAACCTGAAATTTAGTTTGTAAGAGAGAAAAATGGCTGAACGTAAAGAATATGAAGAAGATGAACGTAAAGTGTTAGAAATCGCTTGTAAAAAAAAGGAGAAAGTCAGATGTTTGTTGTCCAATATAAAGGAAAAATTCAAGCAAATAGTAGCTGATAGTAAGTTATTAACACAACCGTTTCCTAGAGATTATTTTCAGGTCAATGAGAAGTTCGGCGTTTTACCGAAAAGAAACACGGTCTGAAGCTAAAAATTTACGTTTGAATTTGAAGTTGGAACAAGAAAAGAGCCTGTTAGGTCTACAACAAGTCAATTATTTTGTTGATCAAGGCATAATACCTAAATTGAAAGTCAAGGGAATTTTGTAAGTATAATTTTGATATGTGTATAGTTTATAAATAATTAAAAAACAAAAAATAACGATAACATAAGTGGTAAACAAGTCTAAAACGTTTCGTTCGTAGAGAAGACAAATTTGTAAAAACATTGGTAAACCGCGAATCGCATCGAAGCATATTCCGTGGTTTATTGGACGAATTATTGTCTAAAACGCATCCGAAACAACAGTAAGTATTTAATAACAATCATAATAAGATGACAACCGCATTTGAATGCTAAATTCGATCATATCGTGTTCAATGCGGCGATTCGTGAAATGTATAAGTGCAGATTTACATAAATCCACCGCGGAAGCGAAAGTAACGAATACACAGCGGCAGCCGTTACGCGTCTACGACTTTATTTTGCAGGCAACAGAAATCGTCGATCACAAATATGGAAGCCGACGTGCTTCAAAAACCGAACGAAACCGAAATGTTTCTCATCAGAGTGAATAAAATATACTCTCCCCGGCAATTCAACGCGCCATAGACAAATTAAGAAACCGTGTGAATTTCAAAAAAAATATAACAACGACTATCGAAAACATACGTCAAGAAAAACTCACGAGTTTTGCTACCGACGACGATCCCACGTTGAAGAACTATAAGGAATCTTCTAACCTGCCTGACGAACAAACGATTTCGATGGAAGATAAATTTGAAGCGTACATGCGCGTCATAGACAAGGTTCGCAGACTTGAATTGTTTTGAACGTACAGTTGATGTTGCGCTGATTACTTATGTTTTTCATTTGATGATAAATAGATGGATAACTCGATATCGGCTTTTAACGAAATGGTTGTTCATCTGAGAGAACGGAAAATGAGTGTGATACGCGATTATAAATATTTCAACTTGGACGTTGCATTGATAAACCATGAACTGACGATCCAAAAATAATGACCCCGTCAGATTTTCCTGTTCAGCTGTTAGAGGAAGCCTTTACTGTAAGAAAAGAGTTTGTATTTTAGCGTCGAATCGCGTGTTTTGCATAGTTCTAGTAAATTATTCTTAGATGTACACACGTCATGGAACTGTACTCTGGAAAATACTAATTATTCAACCCACAAATGTCATTAATTTTATTATTGTTATTATTATTATTATTATTACTATCATTATGATTATAGTAATTGTTAGTATTATTTCACTATAAACAATTGCATATTGATAAAAATAATTATAATACTAATAATAAACCGTCCGGAAAGTCGACGCACATTTTGCGCTGTGGGAAGACATGTTGAAAAAACCCACTGGCTGACTCACGTTCAATTAATAACTGCGGGTACCTACTAATAAAGTGTTTTGACATAATTTCGATTTTCCTTATAATTATTTTAAGATATTTAATCAGACCCTACAGATTAATTTAATTAAAATACGTGAATGAACTTAAATCGAATACAATATTTAACTAGGTTTTCTGTTGTCTAGTCAGCACTTGATGTAACCCGTCGAAAAATTGAAGAGCCCACAGGATCGAAAAAAGGTTATTTGTTTTTCGTAATTTTCAAATTCATCAATTAATTTTATTTAAATTTAACTAGTTGTACAACTTAATATGACATAAGAAACAAAAGACATAATCGATGGTTCTTTTAAATAATATTACAAATATTATAGAGAATGTACACTATTATTTTTTAGTCCGTTTACATATACATTTGATCTAGAACAGCGTCTCTCATCCTTTTTTTCATTCACATAACTTCTTGACCTCTTGCCATTGTATTATGTACCCCCAATGGTCAATTCGTCAATTTTAACATAAGATTAATAAGAAATTACATTAGATCAGTTTTGCTGTGGCAATAAATAAATCACAAGGTCGAAACTCGAAAATTACAGCGATCGATGTAAGAAAAGATTGTTATGCACGTGGACAATTTTATGTGGCATGCTCCAGAGTCAGTACGCACACAAGTTTAGTTATTTTGGCACCAAAAGGTAATACATCAAATGTAGTTTATACAGAAGTTTTATAGTAAAATTGTTATTTTTTATTATATACCTATTAAAGTTTTGTGGGTACACACGTTATACAATATATGATAAAAGTACGTATGTATCGATTTCATATCATAGTCGACACAGCAGCACAGCTCCTTCTCCTTGATTTCTCTATGGACGTCGACAACTTAAAAAGTCTTAAAAAGTTTGATTCCTCAGCAAGTTCCACTCAAAGGAGTTCAACACTCACAATTTCTTTTCCGAGCAATGCCGAACAATTCAGTTGATATATATAGTCTAATGGAATAGGGTTTCACACGCAACGTAGTTTTTATGGATCCAGTTTTACTATAGGTTGACTACGGAATGTCTGATAATGATCCATCGCTGACACTTAAGGAGCTAGAGTTGATCTTGCTGACAAATAATTCATTACCTTGGCGTCCATTAACTATTTATTAATTTTATTATTAATTGGCTATCATTTGTCGAACACGCGTGCATCATATCGGCTGATGCCAAGAAAAGTGCTGTTGCCTTAAACAAGCTGATATCAAATGTCGATATCCCGTCTTAACATAGACTTGAATGACTCATGGTTGTAGTCCATAATGGGCTACTCTGCGGAGCTCAAGTGTGGGAAAATGGTTTAAGCAAAACCAAGAAATTAAAGAGGCTCCTATTACAGGCATAGATTGCGCTACCCTTAGAGTAGCACGGTGTTATCGAATATTGTCGGACATGGCAGTCCTAGTTCTGGCATGGATGCCGCCAGATTTTCTCCTCATACTTGATCGAAGAAAAATTTGCTAGTTGAGAAATATGTTAATCGTATGCAAATTGACGGAACGCCAAGTGATACTCAGACAATGGCAGTAAGTTTGGGAAACAACAACAAAGATATTATGAACTATACGGCTAATCCTGGATCTGATTAAGTGGTGGTATCGAGGTCCTAAAAACATCAGCTTTCATGTAACGCAGGCCATTACTGGACATAGCTGCTTCTAAAAATATCTATGGTTCAAGGCCAGAGCAGAGGCGTTCTCATGTGTTCACTTCGAGGCACCTATCGATACCGTAGAACACACTTTCGATTGTCCATTTGGGGTGACTCAAGAGCTGAGCTGGCGTCATCGATTGGCAGAAAACCGCATCCAGTTGATGTACCCGATATTCTTTACCTACCATTAACGGAAGGACTACTGAATGATCCAGTATTGTGGCAGAGCTACATACAATAAGAAGCGCTTTTGCGCCGTGGTAGAAATCATGGGGCAAAAAGAGCTCTCAGAGTGCAAAAGCCAAAATGCAAACCAAAACCAGCGAGACTGACTGTGCAGTTGCAATTTAAAATTCATTAGTTTAGCTGTTGGTTGATGGTCGCAAAATGTATAATCTTTTATTATCAAAATTTAATGTACATTTGTCCGTCGATAAACGAAGTGTTTAAGGAGGCAGCCATGGTATGTCATATTTTCCTATCTGTTCATAATACAAATCAGAATAAAGGCAGCTATATTATAAAAACGTTGAAAAAAAAATTAATGCAATTTCAAAGTTACCGTGATTTCAAAATATAAATTGGCTTCATAAGACTCATTAAAATATCAAATCTCATTCAGTTATTAAATTAAAATATTATATCTAATATATGTATATATATCTAATATGTATGTTTATTATGATAACTTGGATATTTTGATAAAATTAAAACAATTATTAGTTTTAATAATTGAATGTTTATTGGATATTATCTCACAATCCATAACTAACTTTGCATGACGACCTTCGTAAAACATTTATTTACTTACATTTTTTATCTCATAAATGTCTGTCAAAATATTCAGAACAAAAATCGATGCATAATAATTATAAAATAGAAACAAGCATTAATTTAAGATTAGTGTTATTAGGTCTCGGGGGCAATTGTAAACTCAGCCCGTGTTTTTTTTAGGTAAAAATTATTTAGGTGTAAACTCGGCCCGGATAAAAATGTACACATGTATACTTTTCTTTTGAGAACCATTTAGCATTACCTAGAGGACACCACGAGGAGGTGTTGTATATATTCCTTTTAACATACTGAATATCACTTACTTGTAGATCTTATGCGTCAGGTACTTGTTTACTACACTACAAAAAAATTTGTTTGGCCTACTGCAGATATCCTCAGTTCCTTTACGTTTGACCACGGTGGTAACACATTGACGTTGAAGTACTTGGTCCCTGATGATCATGATTTTTCTCCGTAATATCATTATTTATTCCAAATGTTTTTAAAAAAGCTGTACATTTGTGGTTTATACATAGCCATTTTATTTCACCTATAAATATTATCAGGCCGAGATTACGACCGACCTTTTTTTATTACCTGAAATTTCCGGGCCGAGTTTACAATCTACCTACTTTATTATCTAAAATTTTCGAGGCCAAATTTACAACAAAAAAGGTAATCGCGGGCCAAGTTTACATTTGCTCGGTCTCGGTGAACTTTACAAAGTAAAATTTTAGGTCACGTATTAGTTTAATACCATACATCACAATTAAACAAGAGTATGTACACATAAATATAAAGGTCAATGCCTCAGGAGTGTCGTCAGTGAGCGGCTTCTCTAACAAACCTTACTCCGCCAGCTCTTCAAGTGTAATAGTCATACTAAACTACATACTCATACTATTATGTAAATATTCTCTATATAATTTATCCTATTTACTTATTGTACATATGGTACAGATTGTAAATTTTTTATTTTAATAAAAAATATATTTATATAATTATTTATGGTAATTCATGGTAATTCTGGTAATTCATCATTATTTATTTATTATAGCACCACTAAATATAAATTAAAACATTACATTTGAATATTAGCATTTATAACAATTAAAATTATGAGAAATATTATTTAAAATTTTACCTATGGGAACATTTTTTTCATTTGAACATAAGTATATTACATATATTATATACACGCGTAGTCAATCACTATGGTAACATTTTACAACGGTCATAGTATCACTAATCATAGATCACTCTTTCAAGTCGAAATCGTGTACAAAAAACATTATGGTAAGACCAAGTATTCTTCATTTCACTTAGAATCGAAAAAAGCTTTAACTAATGAGTAAAGGATGATAAAATTGCTGAAAATTATTTAATAACTCAAGTTGGTATTTTAAACATTCATGTACACATTCATAATATAAACAAAATATTATATATTATATATACACACACACACATACAATTTAAAAGTATATTTGAACAATTGTAATTTATAGTAAAAAAAAAATTAACACTACTTTTAAGTTTTAGGCTCATTTATTTTTTCCAACGAATTGATAAATCCAATGGTTGGTCAATGATATCGGATATTGAATACGCCGAACGACTAGGGGTTACAAAGACTGACGACGAACAACATTGATTTGGATCTTCTTCTAAAAATATATACATTAACATTTGATAGACACATAATTTTGAACAAAATATGTATAGGTCAGTTAATATAATGAATTTTGGTAGGTTTCAATTCGTGGTGGAGCGAACTGTTATTTCACGAGGCTGTTGTTCTACAACCAATGTCATATTATTTATGTGTGTGATCCAAATGGGAAAATTTAAAAGGTTGCAAACAAGTTGTGTCCCAAATACGAAGTAGTGTCCAGTGTATTTTTTCGGGTTGCACAAATTCTGTCTCGAAAAATAAAATGTACAGGTAACCTATATAATTTGTATAAACAAATTGATAAATTTATCAATTACAATATGATACATATATTATGTATATATATAACATTTTACACGAGAATAAAAATTGTTCCGTTATATTAATTTTTAAGAATAATAATAAGAGTGTCTACCAGTGGCGTATCCATGGGGGAGGGTTTGGGAGTCAAAATCCCTCCATGAACCTGAGATGGTAAATTAACTTTTACATGAAACACGGTTTTTTCTTTAACATTTTTATATTTTAGAATTTTGACTTAGAAATCATATTAATAGTTTGTATAAACACTATAAACGTATTATACACATGCTGCACATACACAAACATACACGTCATAATATTATGATCATATTTAGATACTTTACTACTACTTTGATAATTTTTGATTGAGAATATATTATTTAGGTTTTCTTTAACGGGTGATTCTAAATCGGTCGTCTGGTCCCGATAACTGAGATAAAAGCGATATCATTGTCTGTATTCAAAGTTTATTTTGGGTATACCTATTGCATTCACGGCTCGCCGATCATTTAACACAAGCACCTTATTGTGTAAAACTAATAGTTATTAGTTAATAGTTGGTCGTTGCCCGTTGGTGTCTCACCGTTTTACTTACTACTCGTTTATTCGTTTATATTTGACATTTGTATTCCATTATATTTGTTTTATTTTAATTGGACATCATTCTAAGACGTCTAAACATTCCATTATGGTAAGATGTTTTTAAAATTTAATTTTAAGTATACCTCAGTGATTGGACAGAAAATATTATAATATCTAATATTTATGTGTTCCTATATTAGTTCATAGTTCCTAAATTGTTATTATTATTATTATTATTTATTATTATAGGCAAATTATGTAACAAATAAGCAGACTAGAAAAATTAATTATTTTTTTTTTACCCGAGTCAAAAAAACTAATGTCAATCAGACTTAAAAATACCGAGATTAATATAAATAGTACTTAAAATGATAGTGATAAGATTAAATATATATCAATTTGCTGAACCCCCCCCCCCCCCCATAAATAGAAGTCTAGCTACGCTACTGGTGTCTACATATAATAATAATAGTATTTGCAAAAAAAAATAATATCAAAAAATGTAAGTATTTGTAAATAATAATAATCAATGTTACGAATATATAATGCACACCATAAAATAAAACTAATTTAAAACATGATAATAAGTTAATAAAATAATACATTTTGTGAAAAAATTGAGATAAAACTACTAAAAATGAAAATCAAGACATTTGTCCATTATATTAGTATATACTCGTATTATTATTACAAACATCTATACACAGTTGAATAAATTTTGAAAAAAAAAAATTCAATAAAACGTAATATTATCATACTTAAAATTCATATAAATAAAATATAAAAATAATTACATATTCAGCTAAAATGTAAATGATAATGTTTTTATAAACTAAAACCTAGAAATTTGTCTATTTGTATATGCATTTAATTTTTAACTAATAGTTTTTTTTCGCACGTCATCTTTGATATTGTTCTAGTACTTCTAATTTTAATATAAATACCACATTGAAATTTCTTTAGGACTTAAATAAATTAAAAATATTGAGATGACTTGAGTAGAACATTTAATTAAATTTAAAGTGAAAATTTTCACAGCTCATAGTTATATTTTCATCGGAACACAACTCATTAACTGCTGTTTAAAATTAATACTTACAATAATTAAAGGTATAGAAAAAACGGTGACTGTTAACTTGAGCTAATAATTTCAAAGATTATAATTTTAATAAGTCATCCAACTAAAAAAACTATACTTAAATTTTTATTTTTGCGTAGTGATAATGAAATGATAAGTATGTTAATTTTATTTACCAATATATCAATATACAATATAGAGGTAATTGTTTTAAAAACGTTAAAGTAAAAATCCGAGTTTTAGTAAAAAAATTCTAGGAATCAAGAATAAATTATTAAAAATAGGTATTTGATTATTAATATACAGTTTAGGACAAAGCAGAATCAACATTCTAACAATTTGTACTAACTTAACATTATTAAAAATATTATTTTAAACTATTAAATAGGTTTAAATGAGAATATGAGGCCATAGTAATTATAAATACGAAACAGTATGTAAATATCAAAAAATTCTTATTCTAATTAATTAACATGAACTGTTTTTGATTTCGAAAAAGAGCGAAATTAAGTTTATAATATTAGTAGGTATAAGAGCTAATAAGGTACGAAAATATTAAAGTTCAAGAAACGTTTATCGGCTAATATATAAATATAAAAGTAAATTATCTACAAGACATTATAAAGTACTGATAAAACAAATAATTAAATAAATGATAAACTGGGACTTTTATTACAACTAAATATGAATTTTTAATAGGAGAAAACTGAAGAAGTAAACAAATCATAGGGAAAACTTTGTGATGATAACAAGGACATTTATATTTTGCTCGTAAAAATTACCTCTGCTAACAATGTTTTTATTAGTTATATTAATATTTTCCATCATTTAAATACTAAATAGTTTTTATAAGATTTATATAATTATCTAAATAATCACTAAAATGTTACGTTACGAATTGGTTACGTCACGAGAATCAAGATAAAAATTAAATATAGCTATTTAAAAAAAAAAAAATAGTAATAAATAAAAAACTATTTATGTAAAGATAAAAACATCTCATTTAATATAAAGTCGTTTTACCTAAAATATTAAACTATTAATATGAAAAAAATATGATGTAATGTTGAAAAGTATTACCTCCCATATTTATAAATACAGTGACAAAATATTTGTTTACCACATCAAAACATAGTGTAATATTAAATTTTTTATAGTGTTCAAAAGAAAGCTAATCTATAAAAATCAAAATGATAATAATAAATTTGAATTATTATTAAATATGACAATACTTAAATTATATAAAAAATGTCAAAGAACTTATAAAATTAAAGGTTATTTTTGTAAGTATTAAAAACATTTTCATTCATTATAAAAAGTAATCACAGTAACAATATATTTAAAAAGTTATAAACTATTCATACAAGTTAGATCTAGCTGATTAAAAGTTGTAAAATTAATATATTCGTTTTTATTTTATAAAATGTATTATTTAAGATTATTCTATAAATCAATAAATTAAATTTATAAATTTTATTCTTGTTCGAAGTATTGAATATCATAACAACATGGACAGAAAAATTCTAAGCTCCTAAATTCACTGTGGCTATCAACCAGAATCCGAATTAACTTTCCAGCACAATCAAATTCATCGTCACAGTAGATTTAACAAACAAAATATAAACATATCAACTTCATACGTTTACATTTTTACTTAATACCATATACTTATATTTATTTACATTAATTTAAATTTATTGTGATATTATTAATACCACTTAATGTCGAGGGTTTTTTTGTGAATAAAAAAAAAAAAAAAAATTAAAAAATATAGTTAATATATTTAAAGCTTATGATTCATTTTTAAATAATAATCAGCATTAATTGTTCTGGGTTTTAATATTTGAAGAAAAAAAAGCAACGAAGAATTTTTATATTGTTGTTAGTTATTTTTTTATGTATTTGTAAGTTGCGGGTATTATTTAATATATATGTCTACATTAATATTATTTGAGAATTTGAGATAACCAACATACCCCTTATCATTTTTACTTGATGATTAAAACTTTTAACATGTTTTCTCAACGAACTTGGGTCTGTATACCTTTTCAGGCAGCTTTTCATTCGACAAGCGTACGGCTTTTCGATGAAGTGCGTTCGGGTGTGCTTGAAGCGATCACTTGTATTAGAATACGCCTTGTTGCATCCATTCACTGAACAAACATACGGTTTCTCGCCTGCGTACATTTAAATTACAAAGCTCATTGATTATAAATTAAATTTAAATACACTAGGGTTAGATTTTCAATCTAATAATATCATTTAATAATTAAACATACAACAAACGTATAATTGGTATTTATATAAATATAAGTCATTTTAAGTATCAACCGTTCGAAATAATTTTAGACTTTTACATAATGTTAACGATTACTGTGGTTGGTTTTAGAAGAAAAATTATAACAATCTGTATACTTGTACATCATAAATAAATAATTATATGTGTTACCTACAGTAAAATACGTTAAATTCATATTAACGTTATTATACAGTAACTAACGTTAATAGGTAATAATGAATAATTTGCAAGGTTTTTAACGCTATTTACTAAGAAGTCACGTTAATTTCAAACAATTTAAGTTAATGATGTTAGTTATAATCCAAATATAATTGTATGTTAATTATTGTATATTTGTTAATTAATAAATAAAAAAATGATATTAACATTTGTGTATGATAATTATTTATTTTCATACGACAAAAAAGTGTGGCATTTCGAATTGCATAATTTCCCAACTACTCGACAGGTACAATTATTTGTCTTACACTTCTAACCTTATGTACCCATAAGACATTCTATAATCTTTCACAGATGTTTTTTCCTCTGAAGTTTTCAATACAAATTTTGAATGTTTTAATTGTTCAATACGAATATTGTATTCGTCAAATAGTTAGAAATTAGTTATTTCCACGACGTATTTTATTAATTGTATCAAATATAATATTGTTAAATTTACTTTCTATTTCAAGTTCATCGATATTGGATAAAAATGTACGCAATTTAAAGAAAATTAAAATATACACATTCTAAATAAAATTAATACAGCATTTTATGAATTAGTTCATAACGATACAACGATGCCAAAGCGTTCCGAGAAAAACTAACCTAAATATTTTATTTATCCAAGATGTTTGTGACAAAATCGTTTGTGTCTTATCAAATGTCCGATGAGATTCACTTTAATTTTCGTAATATCAATAATGATGTTTCTGTACTGTTTCTCTACTAAATATTATCTATAATAATTATAAGAAAGTCCCACGCTAATAAGCTCCACTATAATAATTCTGCACCTGTAACATTATCTATAACCATTACGATAACATTTTCCACCGCGTGTTGAAATTATCAATAATCAAACCAAAAAACTAATAAATAATGATATTTACTGGTTTTTTAGGTAACTAACGTCATCTTCTAGAAAATAATGTTATTTTGGTTTATAACATCATTTACTATAACATACGAGTATGCATAGCGCCACAATCAAACGTGTTAAATTAACATGATGAAAATGACGATAACGGGGAGGTAACTGTAGAAATGATACATAAACAATCCCCATATAAGTAACTGAATGTCCGACTCGTGCATTCAAAGGCATTCTAAATTATATCCACTATACAGCTAATAGGGATGTAGTCGATTGGATACGAAATCTGGACAATAATTTATAATCTATAGTTTCAAATATATCCCAGCTATAATAGTGACTAACCTGTCATACTAAGCACATTTTTTTTTTTTACTTCATTTATATTATGTTATTTTATATCTATCTGTTAATATTTACATGTTTAAGTTTGTTGCTCTACTCTATGATACGAAATATATTCGTATATATATTTATAAGACAAAACAAATAACTAAAAATAACATTTAATATTGAATTTTGTAGTGATTTAAGTAATTATAAATTACAGTCAACATCATGTACCTATATCAGTGTTGGGAAAGTTCTTTTTAAAAATGAATCCCATTACTATTTAAAAAGGAACGCATTCTCATTCCTTTAAATGTTTTTATACGATTTAAACAAAATTGTAAAATGTCAAAAAAAATGTCAATAGTGGTTTTTGTGGACAAAATTTTAACCAGAAATAATCGGCTAATTTTTATATTCAATATCTTTTCTAATAAGTAGCTAACTGAACCCAGGTTCATCATTGAAGGTAACATTCTCTGTTATCGGCCCGCCGCCCAAAGGTCCATCTCTTGGTTACATCATTTATAACACAGTTATAGAACTGTGGCTTACATTATCATATTATACCTTATATGCTAATATCGAACTAATTAAGATAAACGATATAGTATACCCACGATATGTCCTAGGTTCGTGGCAATTTATTAGTGACTGACGAAGTGATACCAAATTACCAATAATATTATTATTTTATTAATATATTATATTTTAGAAAATATTATTATTAAAAAATTTTATTTATAGTAATTTGTGAAACGAAAATTTTCGTTCAAGTTCCTCAAAAATAGGAACTCTTTCCCGTTCCTAATTCTGATATTTGAAAAAGAACGAGTCTCAAACTTCGTTCCAATAAAATGAACTTGTTACTTCCCATCGCTGACCTATATAATTCTTCAAAATAGATTATTTTTTATTTGATTTATCCTCATAAATTGAATAATTTTTAATTTCAAATAATTTCAGTGTAATACAAAAATATAAGGAGCTTATGATTATGAGGTTATTAATTTATTCTTATAGTTGGCAAGTATACAGTACAAAATAAGGCTACAAACGAGTTGTGTTCGGTGTATTTTTTCGGATTGAAACTCAATCATTTAGTCAATCGGACTAAAACTCATCATCCAAAAACACGATCCCCAAATTATATGCCTCCAATAAACAAACTTCAAAGAAAACTACACCGCACATCTCAAAAACTACGTAGGATACAGTAAAAACAGAAGAATAGCAGATAGAGCCAGTGGAGAAGTGACAATATACTCAAAATCGAACATCCTAACCAAAGAATTAAAAATAAACAATAACCTCGAAACATTAGATGTATCCAATCAACACAACGGAACATTCACTTTATGCAACATTTACCTACCAAATCAAACCGATTTTTCGTTATCAGAAATGGAAAAGATTATACGTCAACTCCCAAAGCCCTTCATAATATTAGGCGATTTCAACTCTCATAATATAATTTGAGGCTCTAACTACACCAATCCTAGAGGTAAAATGATTGAAAAACTCATACAGAATGAAGACCTTGTACTTTTAAATGACTCAACTCCCACACATATAAACCTTGGGAATGGCAACCTTTCTTGTATAGACCTAAATTTAAGTTCACCATCAATTGCACAAAAGCTCAAATGGGAAGTACTTCCAGAAATCTATAGCAGTGACCACATCCCAATTAAGATCGAAATATCATCAAGGCAAATAAAAAACAAGTACTCAAATAAACAAAGATGGAATTTAAAAAATCCAAATTGGAATTTATTCTCCGACCTACTAGAAGAAGAAACAAAAAAAAAAATACTTGACCACAACATCTACAATATAAAAGAAACTACCCAAACTTTTACAGACCTCATAACTGATAGCGCAAAAAAGACAATAGGCACAACTAATCAAGCAAAAAAAACCTAGAGTGCCCAGGCGGAACGATAAAATAAAAGAAGCGTTATCCAATAAAAATAAAGCACTAATAAACTTCAAAAAAAATAAACCCCGAAAATTTTATCGAACTCAAAAGACTCAGAGCCAAAAGCAAGTATCTTATAAAAAACAGCAAAAAAGATTCATGGAATATATTCACATCCACCATTAATGGAAAAACGAACCCATCTGAAGTATGGAGAAAAATAAAATCATTAAAAGGCTTATCCCGAAACAACGACATATATATAAAACCCATCCAGACCACTTTAACCAATCAAACAGTAATAGCAGATACAATTGGAAACTTCTTTCATGAAAACTTTAGCGACAAACTATACGAAAAAAAATGTATAAAGGATATAAAGACCCCCAATGAGAACATTCAAATTAAGTCAACCATCGATCCAAACAACCCAGACCAGATAAACCTAAATCTCAAAATCACTATAGATGAGCTAGAACTAACACTGAGAAAGTACAAAAGTAAAAGTCCGGGCCCGGACACAATTCCTTATAGCTTCTTACATAATTCAGGAGTATCAACAAAACAACACCTACTCAATATATATAACCACATATGGAAAAAGGGACAGATCCCCAAAGGGTGGAAAACTTCCAATATAATACCTATCTTAAAGCTAAGAAAAAATAAACACTCATCTGAAGGATATAGACCTATATCTCTCCTAAACACCATGGCTAAAATCCTCGAAAAAATAGTTAACTCTCGTCTGATTTGATTCATGGACAAAACAAAAACACTATCTAACCAACAAAGTGGCTTCCGCAACCACAGATCCACAATCGACAACCTCACTATCATCAAGTCAGAAGTAAACAACGCACTCAACTCCAATCAGTACCTCGGTTTAATAAGCATAGACATCTCCAAAGCCTACGATTCGGTATGGAGACACAAAGTGTTACAAATACTATCAAAAATACTGACAGACGGCAACATGTTCAACTACATCAAATGCTTTCTTAACTCAAGACAATTCTCAGTCTCACTCACAAATGCCCAATCAAAAAAAATACATCCAGCAAAATGGAATTCCTCAAGGTTCGTCGTTATCGGTCACCCTCTTTCTTCTAGCAATAAATGACATAACTAATACCATAACATTTCCTGTCAAAGCTAATCTTTACGCAGATGAATTTAATTTCTGGTGCAAAAGTCCGAATCTCAATACAGTACAACACTTCCTATAAAATACAGCAAAAAAAAATCGCACAATAGTCAACACTAACCGGTTTCAAAATCTCTAGCCTAAAATCTCAATGCATTATAATTTCCAATAAGAAAGGTCAAAAACATCTCAACATCCAACTAAATAACAACTTCATTTCAAACAAAAATATAATCAAAATTCTCAGAGTTTATTTCGACCAAAAAATCAACTGGATACAACACCTAAAACACCTCAAAATATCACTGACAAGAAGCCTCAATATCATGAAAATGATAAGTCAAACCACATGGGGAGGCGACGAAAATACTCTCATAAGAATCCACAGACACCTCATCAGAGCAAAAATGGACTACGGTGCACCAATTTACCAATCTGCCAAACCTAACCACCATAAGATAGTAGACACAACCTTCAATTCAAGCATAACGCTATGTCCTACGTGAACGCGGCGAACGTGAATTTGCAAATGATACGAACGAATTCGCATTCGCCGCATTCGCCGCTCACAATCGTGTCCTACTTATTTGCGGCGAACGCGAATTTGCGATTGACAATATTCGTAAATTAATTACGAAAATTATCTCATATCTGTAGGTTTAAATGTTTTTATACTATTCAAACTATTTTGAACTATTAATATAATATTAATATAATATAATAATTATTTAACAGACTTACTATTCATATGTACTGTTCTGGCAACAGCTTCCCATTCTTTCTCAGACACCAATCTGTCCCTATACTTTTTATTAAATTTATTCCAGAGAACATTTCTTTTTTGTACCTCGGATATAAGGAGCTCCATATTGACCATACAACAATTTTAAAACATCCGCTTCGAAATACGTCTACTCGCTTCAACGCGCGACCAAAAACAAAACGATTTGATTTTCAAACCGTGCGGCGAACGCAAACGAATGAATTCGTTCGCGTCGCCCGTGTTTATCACGTACGATGGACAATCTAATCTATTTTTATATGTTTGATAATTTTTTTCGCCACGTCGCTCGCACCGTAACGCGTTTACCGCGTTCGTCGTGTTCACGTAGGACATAGCGTAAGACTTGCTGTAGGAGCGTTCCGTTCAAATCCTATTGAAAGCATCCGAAATCTAGCTTTTGAACCTCCCCCTGAGCTAAGAAAAATCGAGAGAAGCTTAATGTACGCTGCAAACATCACCAGAAACCCAGATAACCCAGCAAACAGGCACATAGGGGATCTCACAGAGTACACCAAAGATTATGAAGTAGATCTCAGCTCACTAATCAAAGTTCAACCATAAACTTTCCCCCCATAGAACACCAACTTCGATATCAACCTATAGTTAACAAAATTCAAGAAAGAAAACACCCCTCCAATAATATATAAAAACCATCTAAACGAAATACTCCAGAGACATAAAAATGACAACCTATATTACACAGACGCTTCCAAAACAGAAGAACGAGTGGGAATAGCAATCATAAGAGAAAATCTATCATCTATTTTCAGACTCCCAGAAAGTTGCTTCATCTACACCCCAGAAGCCATAGCTATCCTAAAGACAGTGGATACTATACTAGATCACGGGAACCCCAACAGAAACAATATAATACTCTCAGACTCACTCAGCACACTCTTAAGTTTAAAAAATAAAACAAACACAACCGACATAACCAAACTCATACAACAAAAAATAAGCCAGTCAACAAGCAAAGGTTTAAACATATCCCTAATCTGGATCCCAGGACACTGCAACATTGAAGGGAATGAAAACGCAGACGCAGAATCTAAAAAAGCAGCGAAATCATCAAACACTCCAAAACTAAACTTGATAACATACGCGGATATAAAAAAACCGTATCCAAGACATTATCCTAACCAAATGGCAGAAACACTGGCTTAGACAACACACAAAACTCAACGAAATCAAAAATACAATATATGCATGGCCCAACCCCAACCTCAAAAGAAGAGAAAAAATAGTCATTAATCGCCTCCGGATAGGCCACACAAGGCCAACCCACAAGTTTCTCATGACCAAAGAAGAACCTCCTGAATGCCTAACCTGCGGCGTCATCTTAACAGTTAAGTACCTTATAACCGAATGCCTTAAATACGAAGAAGACGCAAAAAAATATAACATCGCATCTAACATAGACGCTGCCCAACACAGAGGACATCTACAACATGACCAACTTCCAAAGAAAAACCGACTTGCTTAACCAAATATAGACAAAAACGGCATCGCAACACACCTACACACGGTAGAACTACAAGCAAAATTCTACCCATAAATATACCTGTATTTACCTAAATGTATAATTATATAAAAAAAAAAAAACTGTAACTAATGGCCTTTGCAGCCGATGTAAGGTAAGATCAATAAAAAAAAAAAAAATACATGTATTTATCTTATTTAATTTTATATCATCTTGAATATTACTCCTTGCTTGCGTTTATTCTTTAATAAGTATTTATTATGTGATTTTTAAAAAAATGAAAAAGTAAATATTCAGTTGTTCAAAACCCAAACAAATTAATTAGTCTATATTCCATAATAACTTCTAAAATATGATTATTGTACCAGTGATGGGAATTATTCGAGTATTCGAATATCAGTATTCGATGCTATAATACAATACGTAACAAAAATTATTCGTTTAAGTTTTCGTGCGACACAAAACGTTTAATAATAATAGGTATTGTAGCATCAAATACTGATATTCGAATATTCGAATAATTCAACTATTCGAATATACATTACATCTCTATATTGTACCACATACAAATAATGAAACATGTAACATAATACCTGTATGTGACCGAGCGTGTATCTTCAGATTTTCTGCACGAGTGAACCGTTTTCCACAAATGTAGCATTGATGTGGCCGGTCATTTGTATGAGTACGTATGTGAACTAATATTTTGTACCTATTAAATTAATGTATTGAATAAATAAAACAAAATAAGTATAATGTAAATCAGAGAAAAAAATTACTTGGCATTAAAAGCTCGGTTTCCTCTCGTACAATTTTCCCATTTACAGTAAAATAGTCCTTGAGATTCTGGAACTATGTGACTAATTACATGCTTCGATAGTTCTGTTTTGTTCATGTATAAATCACAATTTTCCCATCTAATGTTTTTATTAACAGGATAAAATTAATTATAATAATATGATAATAATATCTCATGTAGATGTTGCACCATGGTGTGAAGAATTTAAAGTGGGGAACCACATAAAAGAGACAGTTATAAAATACCTGTATATGTCAAACATATATATTTGAATGTTAATGGGTTTAAAAGGGTTGGTAGATACTCTATGATCACAAATTTTTACCTATATTATTATAGCCTGTATGTACTTAGGTTATGTATATATAAATATAATTAAAACTATCATATTTAAATAATTTTATTTACTATAAGATAAACCAAGAGTCTTGCTAAAATTAATTTTAAAAAATCACTTTTTGTCCTCAATCAATTCGCTTCTTCTAATTAATTATTTAACAAATTCTAACGGTTTTACCAGGTTGGTATTATAAGTCATAATTAATAATAGAACATTTGTTCCAACGTTATTTAAATCTGTAAAAAGTTGTAGATGTGTATATATATACATAATGAATACCTACGTGATGTCAATACTAAGCACCATTGCATCGTATATAATAGCAGATCTAAACAATTAAAAACTTATTCCACTTATCACCTATTAATAACAAAATAAAAATATCAAAAGATTCAGACATAAGTTGTTGAGTATTTGTTTCAATTTAAAGTTATTGAAGTTCTCGAAAGTTGAGATACAGCAGTTAAAAAAAAATGGATATGTTATCTAATTTATGATAAGGAAAAATTCAATAAGAAAATTGCAAATTACATTAATTTATTTTAACAAAACTGTATTAAAATGAAAGTATTAATAACTATTAATATTTGTTTAATTTAATTTATGTATACCTAAAAATATTAATGATTATAAAATAAGTTTTTATACATTATAACTTATAATGAATAAATAATTCAAAATTACTATATTATGCTAATAAATAATAATAATAATAATAATGAAAGAATAATAACCTTGCAATAATCTGACATATGATACAGATATATGATTTCACTATTTGATGTTTGGAAACAATATTTAAAATCTTAATATATATATATATATATATAGCAAAGCGTGTTAGTAAATATTTTATTAAAATAAAATAACGTTAACAATCTGTAAATGTATTTATTTCTGTACAGTAAGCAAATCAACGGAAATATGTAATTATGAATAACGAAGAATGAAAATCATCTATTGATAGGATCCTAAGAACTTTAAATTGAAATATTATTCTTATGAGAAAAATTAAAATTATGTGGATTTTTCTTGCGTATTAAAAAAATTTTTTATCAACAATTTAAATTAAATTTGTTATGTACATTAATACGTTATATTATATTAATAAAAAAATAATAATTTACGATTTATTGACATACTTTATTTATCGAATAATTAATACATAACAATATTACGAAACGACATAGTCATTATTTTCTTAATTTCTAATATACCTACTTAAATACTCAAGAGGTCCTATCAAATTTTATGATTAAAATATTTAAATAATTTAAGAATAATTATTTAATATTAAAAAGTAATTTACGATGCATTTGATTTAATTATACATTCGTTACCATAATTATGGAGTTTAGATTATTACTTGCATGAGCACGAAGTATCTTCATCGACGTTGTCCAGCATTTTATTGCCATTAAACATATGTTTCATTGTATAAAATAGAAGTTGTAGTATAAATATGTACCATTTGCAATCTCGCTGGATTTAGATATGATTGTCTTCGTCCAAACCTTAGCAAACACATCCACGATATGTTTGTAGGTCCATTAGTAAATTAATACTAACACTTGTCTAGTAAATATCATAACAGTGAACAGATAATAATAATACTTCTCATTTTGTTTTTAAATAACGTTTATGCGAGTACATTGCCATATGGACTCAATGTGGTCTCCTAGCTGGAGGTCTTTCGTTAATACTATACATTTTATATCTTGACAGGGGGTAAGTTTACAATATACAGACGTCATCATAATTACCTTTCATAAGGTAAAAATATAATTTAAAATTTAACATACTTTAATTCACAAAAACAATATATTAACTTACATTTATACTGCATAGTTTGAGTAATACCAAATTCTAGTATGAGTCCATCAATTCAATGAATTATAATTTTTAACATTTTAATAATTTGTAATATATTGTATAATTAGTATAGTTATAATTATTATAATGTTTGAGTTCATTATTTATTATTTTTCTTGATACTAGACTCAAGAATTATACACTTCAAATTATTAACAATTTTAGAAAACACTATTGTACCTTCAAAGTAATTATACAAATATTTATGAGGGTCTTGGGTTTTTAATATTTGATACAAACTATTTCAGTTATTTGTTTAACTGAATTATTTTATTGCATAAATATAATAAAAGAAAAAAAATGTAGGTATAGTCAATGAAAATTTTGACACTAAGAAAGCTTAATGAATGATATAAATTTAATATATTTGCAAGAGTAATTGGAGTATGTACCATTTTTTTACTCTTTACCTAGATAAGCTACGAATAGTAGTTACAAGAAACTTCAGAAAATTGAAATTCTTTTATTTGAAACAGAGCTAGTGCTAACAAATATTGATGAAGGGGTTATATACTTATATATATATATATATATATATAAATTTGCTATTTTTTTTAACTAGGTACTTTCTAAAACAAAATTCTACAAAATTAATATTACTTAATTTTTTGATGATTGCAAATTATATAAATAGGTCATTCAGAGGTGGGGATAATGCACCCTCTCTCCTAATATTGGCTCTGAAGGGGAATGATTTGCATGTAAAAATTATATTATATAATATTGCAAATAAAAATACCTACATATATATTGGTGTATAATATTTTTATATAATCTATGCATCAAATTTTGAACATGAATGAGTACATACATACGTTTTATAATTATTTTTGAGAAAACTTTCTTACTTTTAGTAGACCAGCTGTTATTTGATCATGTACCTACTATGTACAAACAATATTACATCCTTCTACAACAATGTTTAAACTTGTGTAGCTTATTTATTTTACTTTTCTTGTTATTAATATTCAGGTCCACCAATGGGAATTCATATAACAAGGTATTCAGATAATTAAATACTTATGTAAGTAGTAAATATTTTAAATAAAATAATGATAATACAAATCTATTCAGGCAAGTATAAAGGAAGTCTTAGGAATTCAAACCCCCTTCCTCGATATTTAGGAAAAAAATTAAATATGATTTTATACAGTAAAAGTGGAATATAAATTATGTAAGTATGAAAATGTATGACTTAAAACCCCCAAAATATTTTTTTGTATGTATGCTTGTATCTATTTCAATCAGTATTACGATAATTTTTTGATTAGTAACGGTTAAAAAAAAATCTAATTATTGTATTATATTTATATACTTGATCATTTTGTGTAGCATATTATAGTGAAAATAATTTAATGCAAAGTAAAATTATTGAGAATATTTTGGAATAAATGAATCAACAAAATGTTTAGACAACAATGTTAATCTTAAACATGGCAAAATATTGAGGTATCATTGAAATTGTATTTAAAAAATCTAAAAATTCCATCAAGATACTAAGTATTTTTATTAAACTAACAATATCATATTTGTAATAATATGGATTTTTGAAATGCTTTTATTGTTTAATCAAATTAAAGACTTATAAGTAACAAAGAAAAAAATAGTATAATTTTATAGATATGTAGTTATATTACAATTAAATTTTAATTAAAACTAAATTAAGATCTTAATCTCATTATAGATATTAGATAAATATGTAACATACTAAACATTTACATTAGAAATTAATGTTTACAAACAAAAAACTAATTACATACTCAATATAAAATATTTATTTTTATCTTGTTATCTTTAAAATCATTAATACATGTGTACATTTTTAAATTTAAAATAACAAACATATTGTATTTTGCATACTGAAATGGAATTAATTATAAAAAGTTAACTTAAAATATATAAAATATTCTTTATAAAATATAAGTTTTAGTTAGTTTTAACATTTTTAAACTTTCCAACTTTTTATCTGACTAACAAAGTTTGAAAATGCAGGAATTCGGTTAAATGAATATTTAAAACGGTTAAGAGCAAGACCAAATAAGCAAACTATACTTACTGTTGTAATAATGGATATTGTACTTCTTATTTTTTTAATCTAAAATAAATAAAACAATTGATAAGTAAGAAAATTTAATTGTATACATAGTATGATTTTTATAGCTTTTAAATGTTGAGCAAGTAAAATATGCAATCTTATAAAAATAATTTATTTTATATCTAAAAATTGTAATAATAATAATAATTTTTTATCCTATTCAATATCTTATATGCAACATTCATAACATTATACTTATTAAAAAAAAGGAATCCACGAGAAAAAATAATTAATACATCAATATTTTAATTATAAAATAAACTAGGTACCTTAAATACAGTTTTTAATGTTTTTTCAATTTCTTTTTCTTCTGCTCTTAAATAAGGTTTTACCATCAAAGCAGCGTCAACTGATGATAAATAGTTATCTATTAACACATCATTGAAATGCTTTGAATTACTAGCCATTAAATAATGAATATGCTTTAAGGCTATAACAATTGATCCAAGTTGTCCACAAATACTAGACTGTAATTTTTGAATCTCATCATTTCTATAAAAATAAACAAATAATATTTAAGTTTTAGTTTTATAATAAGATTTACACTTTAATAAAAATATGATAAATTTCAAAAAACATAATACAGTTCTAAAAATAAATATAAAACGGTGTATCAATATACCATTATAATAACAAATCGTCATCTGCAGAAATAAGTCTCCTATGTGGAAAAAACGCTACTTTTCAGTAGAGACAAAACAGTTATTTATTTATCTATCCCCACACGAAACTAACCTAAACACAAAAGACAGTACCTCCAATGTTATTGTCTATCATATTTTTATTCACATAGGAGGTATTTATAAATTTTTCTAAAACGTCATACACATAAGAGCTAAAGTATTTATATTAAAGATATTTCAGAAACGTTTATGATTAGCCCTACACAAGGAAGATTAATTAATTTATATTTCATTAAATATGGAAGAAAAATATCGCCCTAGAAGGCGATTTATTCATATCAAAGATAATTTTTTCTGAATTTGATAATACCAAAACTTAAATTTGGTAATTTTTCACATAGGATATTTGTTCCCATGGACAACAAAATGTTAGATGTACTGTACTTTTATATTAACATTTTACTTACGATAATTGTGTTTCACTTAAATTTAGAGTTTTGTTAAGCACATCTACTGCAGTAAGTATTGCTTGTATATCTTTATCCTCAACGTTTAGGTATTTCAGATCACTTGCTGTCAAATGAAGCATTGTATGTTCGTTTATCCCATGTTTTTCAAACACAAATTTATATTTTTCACAGTTAATTGATTTCAAAATAAGATCCATTCCTTGTATCTTAAAACTAAAAAAAATATTGTTATTTCAACACGAATAACAATAATATGTTTTAAATTTTTAATTTTGATGTAGTTTTCTTACAGAGTATTGTTTTCATAAATCTCTTCATTTTGTTCATCATTGTTTTGATTATCTCCTTCCATTTTATCGACAGCACAAGTATAATTTCGGTCAAAAAGTAGAACTTTAAGTATATAAATAGTAAAAGTATAAGGATTCAAAATGTAATAATTTATTTAACATTTAATTGTAGAGAAATAATTAATAATTATTTGATTTACTGATACAGTACCAATTAAATAAGAAAAATTTATACTGCACACTATTTTCAATGAACACGGCAAAAAAAGTTTTCTATTTTTATAAAAATATGGAAATATTCAAACTTTTAAACTGAAAATTATAGTTATTATGAACTATGATAACATCGCACGTGTAATGATAACATGAATAAAAGTAACATAACGGAATAGAATTCGGTACTTCATAAATTATCCTGTGATAACATCGCAAGACACGGGAGTTAATTGTAGTTGCCTATTTTATTTCCCATATCTTAAAATTCAAAGATTTTTATGCTGTTCGTAATTAAATCAAAAATTGCCAATACGTTAGTCCTTGAAATAATCCTTTGCTACGATCCTTTTTGCCCTTCATGATTTACATAGCAGCCAGCAGATATATGAGATCAAATTGACCTACAAATTATTAATTAGACAAGGGTTACATTTAAGTATGTAACTAACTAATAAGTAGATATGTTCCATATAGATATTTTTCTACTAGGTATACAATATAATAGAAGAAACCACGGTTTTGAAAAACAAATTATTGAAGGATACCTAATTATTTTTTAAATTTGCGGCGCAGTCAAATTAGAGTTATAAAATATTTATGTACGTGTGGAGTGAGTTTCGAAGTTCAAAGAGATCCTAGAATTACTTGATTCACCTTCTTCTGTATAGCTGTTACAGACTATGTTGTGACTCTAAACAAGATTCCGGACACAAATAAAACGTGAGAAATATTTTATACTTAAAAAAAAAAGAAAAAAAATCTTAATTTATTAAAAGGTTACTTGATACTGTGTACAATACTATAAATATTCAGATAATAAACGTATGGAAATAACGTATGGAAGGTTTTATGTCAATTGTGGACTGCTCGTCAACGCTTATGTATTTTTCTCGGTCAGCAAATTGCAACCAACCTTGCGAATTATTTATGGTAATTTATATTTACCAATACAAACAATTATGTCTTAATATTATATTATTTGGTTATTAATAGCTTAATATATAAAAAAAAATTTGTATCGCTTTAAATATAAATACAAATTATTGAATATGAATAGGTAAAAATAAGTACAAATAGGTACAAATCCAATTTCATTAGATTCATAAAATATAAATTTAACGTGTACTCATTTATAAGTAAATTGTATTTGTAAAATAAAAAATATGTGTTTAAAGATTTTAACTGACGGAATTTGATTAATAATAGCAGAAAATAAACTAAATGGAAAATGTGGCATGAAAAGGCAAAAAATGACTTGAAAATTAAAAACGTCAAAAAAAATGGGAAATCTAAGTTTCGTAAATTAATTTATTGTTACATAATTCAAATTATGTATTTAAAAAGCTACGCTTCACAATCGGCACTTTTCTACTAATTCATAGCCCTACATATAATACACAGTTACAGTTAGTGCTTATTTTATGATTGTTGAACATTGGCTTAAACTAACTACATTGAATGTACACATGTGCGATACAGAATTATTTATTTGCCGAATAATATTCTATTTTTTATTGATATATTGGTAATACATATATTTCTACGTCACGTATATAACTAATGACGTTAATGAAAGTAACATGTTTTTGAAATATAAATAGACAACCTAATTTTAATCAACAATAGATGGTTTCTTATCAACTTTTAATCGAAAATGTACGTTTTATACAATCAATAAATGTTGTCATTAATTAAAATGTTTTCTTATCTATTCGAATGAGTGAGAGATTATACAATGATGACATCAGGGCGTATTTATGGGATGAGCAGAGGGAGCCTTCGTCCCACCCTGAAAAAAATGTTAAGTCTGATTTTACCCTATAATATTTGTAGAAGCTCATAATATCATTTTTTTATGGAATTATTGGTTTCAAATTGTTCATGTTATGTAGTGTACCTATTCATATTCTATTATCATTTAGGTATTTTATTTCATTAATATTGCAAATAATTATAACTATGTAGGTATTTCATTCATCACTTAATTTTATTAATTTAAAAAAAAAAACTTATGATAACACAATTACAATTAAAATTGTTTACTAAAATTATCATTTTTTGTTTTTTATTAATTGAATTACAAAATTTTGAAAATTGAAAATTCCCAGCTACCCAAAAAAAAAATCTTAATACACCCCTGAATATATATTTAACTTTAAATCAGGTATGTGCAGTGCTAGAAAGAGATGGTATAGGATTAAGACTTCTGGTAGGTATTATAGTTGTAAGTTATATGTTTATTATGTAATTACGTCACAAAAATTGTAAAATAGGTACGCAAAAAAAAGTTACGATCAGTAATTTTCAAATTTCGTGTGAATTATCAGGGATGTATGAAAACAATTTGTATCTTATTTAGAATATTTTAGTAACTAATATTGAGTTTTTAAATTTTAAATTTTTTTAATTTTGTATGGAATTGATCATATGCCCCCTTTTGTATTCATGGATATAATATATATTTAAATAAACAATATGTATTACAAACTGTTTATATATATTCCTTCAGGATGTCAATTAAATAATACTGTATAAGAAATTAAAGAATGTTATCAATTACAAAAAATAAAAAAAACCCAGTAAAAAAAAATGTATACTATTATATAATTTTATCGATAGCTGAGTGCAAAATCTAAAATGCGTATGTGATCGCATAATAACCATCTAATGTAGTTGAATGAACTATTTTATTTCGAATTATTTCTAAACATCTAGAATGAAATCATATTATTTGTATGAAACTTGAAATTATATGTGTGTATATAATATATACTATATATATATATATATTATATTTATACTTAAATAGGTATTGGTATATGTGTTACTAAAACGTATGAATAATACCATAGAATTATATCGTAACACATATACATAAAAGATTGTTCTATCTTATATAATATATTATATTTTGTATATATATGTCCTAGTGTTGTATTTACCAAAGGTTAGTTCAAAAAGAAATTTCATAAACATTATTACATGTAAACGTATAATGATAAACGGTTGCCAATAATAGTACCGTTTTATTGAGTCCTTCATTCCCACGGAGTCGTTAGCCTAAATTTATTAGTTAATAGATAAATAATTGCTAGAAAAAATATATAAGATGATAATATTATTGCTTCATTTGTTAACAGTGGCGTATTTAAATACAAGTACAATAGGCACATGTTTACAGCGGACAATTTGAATTATGCATTTTGTTATTAGTTATTAATAAAAATGGTTTAATTTTTAAAAAATTATGTACTAGTATTTAAATAAAAAATTGTTTGCTATTTATCTAATTTATATATATATATATAATAGTAGATATTAAATGGTAATTCAGTTAGTGTAGTATATTATTTTAGTAATTTAAAGCAATAATTTTCCATAGGCTTACAAACGGGAAAATGATAAATCCGCCTCTGTTTGTAACTACTCATAATTATCTAATTCTTAATACTATCTTTATTTATCAGCAAAATGTTGTGTTAATCAATCGTAATAGAAATAAACATAACAAAAAAACCTCATCAGTAAAAAAAAAAAAATCCATTAATACCCTAAACAGATTATTATATTATGTCATATTATGTTGATTTTATATTATAATTATAAAGTTTTTTATCAGTGAATATTCCGTGAAAGATGATATTTTATTATAACCGCTCTTATCATCTAGCATTTTACTAAAATAAAAATAAAATTAAAAATTTAAAAGATTATAACTTTAATTTCATATAACTAAGGTTATATTTTATAATAAACTATACTATTGATTTACAGACTGTACTAATGGAGTGTTAATTAGAGATTTTTCTTAATATATATATATATTTTCATTTGTGCTTAATTAAGACATTTATGTATTGATATGAAAAAGTGGGCTTCAACTAGTTAATGAATTATTTTTAATCTTAACTGGTTAATAACTTAATTTACTAATTATTAATGATATATATGTAAATAGTAAAAAACAAAGTCATCCCGCGTCTGTCCCTATGTATGCTTCGATCTTAAAAACTTCTCAACGGATTTTAATGTAAATTTTTTTAATTGATAGAGTAATTCAACAAGAAGGTTTTTTTGTAAAAAAAAAAAAGAGAAGACTGAAGACTGTATTATTGTACTATGTGTGTGATGTGTAACCATGACAGTAAGATTCGATTATTATTATTATTTATTGAACTGAAAATAGTACTTACTTTGTACAGGAATTATAAAGTCATATCTAGACGACGTCGTCGTTTGAACATAGGTCGTAATACAGTGAATGCCAAAAGAGCACGTTTAGCTAGATATGAAGAATTTTCAATGGAACTTGAAGCTCGCTTCAGCCAGTTTCGGGATAGATTTAGAGTTCAGAGAGTCAGAGAATCGTCTGTAAAGCATAAGGCTCGCATAGACTATATGAGACCCGATAATCATAAATTTTTGCAAATTTGTTTTATTGCATATCCAAATAATACTCATGCGGAGCCAGCATGGATCGCTAGTATATATATATATATATATATATATATATTTGTAAATAAAGTCCGTATTGTAAAATTTAATGTGTAGTAATAAATAACACATAAATAATTCTTATATTACAATCTTGGTAAATCCAATTTATGATCTTAAAGGTTTGAGTTCATATTATAAATTTATGTATGGTATCCTCTATTTGAAACGTGTCGAATTAAACGAATTTTTTTCGATGAAATTACTTATTGTATCAAGATTTACCTAAACAGATTGTAAATAAATAATAAATATAAATACAAATATAATTTATGCGATCTAAATATTTTCAAAATGCACAGATAAATTAAATTTGTGTATAATGAAATAATATATTAAATAAAATAAATAATTGACTTTGATATTTTTGCCAATTTTAGATATTAAAACAACATTAAAATACAAAATATGCCCATTGCTTTAAGATTTAAGTTTCTAATTGCTTATTTATATTTAATATCATACTTTTATATGACAAAAATCATTTTACTAAAGCATGCCTACATGCTAATCATCAATTTATTTATCTTAAGATAAAACTCATGACGATATATATCATGATACAATATTTTATCTAAATTAGTGATTGGATTATATTGTTAATCATAAAACAATACATCAAAATAGTTTATTGCGCCAATGGAACTGTTTTTGGAAATTATTAACGATGTCTGACGTACAGATCAATCTATAGGTTAACAAAACATTTTTAATCTTTAACTGTTTATCAAAACTAATAGTTAAACTTAAAACACCTAGAGTTACAATAATGTTATTCTATTTTAAATTAAAATAATGAAAAATAAAATCTTATCGTGCGTCAGTTACCAATGCCTAAATAATATTTAGTTCATTTAGTTATCATAACATATTATTGTTACTTAAATGAAGGAACAACACCCTTGTTTATCCCATAATGATTTTATGATGGTTTGTATTTTAAGATTATTATTTATTTTATCGAGATAAATTTTTTATTTTCATGATATTAACATAAAAATGTCTAAATATTTCTTAGGATTTATGACATTTTGGTAATAAATAAAAAAAAATACTTAGAAAGCCAACTAAATGGTGAAAATCATTTATGAATAAGTTTTAAATTAATAATATATTCAAAATATTTCACGTAATTTTTTTCATATGTTAAAGTATTATTCTAAACCAGAATTCAAAAACTAAATCAGAAATTTCTTTAAGCTTACAAAATAGATTAAAATTTTAAAAGTTGTCCGGTGAGATACAGAAATTAACCGGACAACTATGAACCGAAATTGTTGTTATTCATCATTAAACTCTTTAGTTAGAATTCTGTGGGAGAGTAAACAAGGAAATGTAAATAAAATTATTGATGTATTGGACAATATTGCATGACTAATACGTTTTATTAAATTTATAAAACTGATTTTGAAAGTAGTAATGAATCTTTTTATGATAACGATAATAAGCCAAATATTAAAGTGATGAATATGCTATATAATTAAGCTTAAAATGAGATTCGTGATAAAAACGTTTCAATAATTCTACGTTTGTATTGAAATTATCAGTTAAAAAACAGAGTATTTAAGATTAAAATAAAAGTTTTTCTTTTATTAAAAAAAAAAAAGAAAAAAAAATCATGGAAACGACAAGTATAAAAATTATAGTTCTAATTTATAACATATAGAATTAAGCTTAATGTGTTTAGGTATTAAATATGAAAGTGAAATTTATGTGATTTGGTTATAAAAAAACTGAATAATTTTATAACATAAAATATCAACCGTGTCGTAATTCAACTTTTGAATCTTTATGAAAAATCTTCCTTTTACCTCATAGGTTAACGTATAATATGGAATAAATATTTACCATAAAGCTCAAAAATACAGATATTTTACTGTATTATATTATTATTTAAAATGAGAAAAATTACTAAAAAAAATCTAAAAATCACTTCTTTTAAGCAAACTTTTTGCAATTCACGATCTAATAAAAAACGACATACAACCCTTACTACCGATTGACTTTTTTAAAAATATATAACACAATAAAATAATGAAATATATAATTTCAAGTGAAAATCCTAGTACTGAAATTGAGTTATTTTTTATGTTAAAATTAATGGTTATTTATTCACAATATTTACAAAAAATTATAAGGAACAATGCTTCATTTATTATGCCTATATTATATATATATATAAATTTTAAGAGCTCAATTTTTTTATAGCCCATGACATTCTAGACATTTTAAATGTGCTTAAATTAACCTTGTATGAAACTTACAAAATCTATTTACAGACGTCTATAAATAACGTCGCGGTAACATTTAAAAGAGTCGCCATTATTTAAAGTATTAAACGCTGATAAAAAATTATATTTTATAAGTTTAAAATATTTATACTATTGTTAGATAAAATAATAATAATAACTAACCCAAGTTAGAGAGATTAAAAAAATGCAATTAAAATTGTCAATAATCAATAATTGTGTAATTGCTAATAAAATAGTGAGTGCACTAGTTTAATAATTTATTTTCTTTTAAATATTTTTACAGTCAGTTTATTTGCATCGATAGTTTCGTACAGTCTAAACATTATATACAAAAATAAATCATAAAAGATTTTCTAGATTATGGTTATTTTACAATTTCTTAAGTGTAAAGAAAAGTTAAAAATAAGGTTTTTACAATCATGTAAATTAATTATACTAAAATCATCTATTGTGAATTTATTAACTTGAAACGAAATATTGTGAACAAAAATATACACTCAACTTTATTCTATATAGGTAAGTACTAGTGATGGAAATTATTCAAATATTCGAATAATTCCCATCACTAGTAAGTACACTATAAAACTAATAAAGTACTAACAATTGTAGTTTAAGCTTTTTGGATTAAAAAATAAAAATTAAATTAAATTCCTCCTGGTGGTTATTAAACTATTTTGGCAAAATTCTCTTAAAAGATATTTTAACTCTGAAGTGTCCTTAAATCCACTTAAATCAACATTAAATTCAAATTTTAATATAATTTAACTGCGAATACTACAAAAAAATATATATAATTAATACCATTGTTCAATAAAAATAGTGACGTAGTTAGATAAGAAAGGGCCCTAGTACAGTAAATAAACTGGACCTTCTAACATTATTTTCATATAAAAATTCAAAATATGCACGTCATAATGTTCTTTCCAATGTTAATTCTTATTATGAAACGATAAATGAAAATAAATAACAGATAATTAATAAACATACAAATTAAAAAGAAAATCCAGTTTAATACTAAAATTATTTAAAATATTACTATTATTAAATTATTTAATACTACTTGGTAAAACAAATTTTCCCCCATAATTATTTTTCGAATATACTGATGTATGTATTTTATTATTCAAATTTAAAATTATAAATTCGTAAATAGGCTTATCAATTATAATACATATTTTAAATATTATATTATTTTTGAAAATTAAAATAAAACAAACATTAATTAATTAAATAAGTTATTTAAAAATAATCACCATCGAAAAAATACTTTTTTTTCTTCTAAGTAAAATGTAAACATTTTCTTGTACAAAATTAAAAATTAAAATCATATTTAGATTTTAAGCAAAGTATAAATGATCACCTAGATTTGTTGAAAATATTCGAAAAAATAAAATTTGAATTATAAATATTGTAAGATATTTTTTTTCATTTTTTATTATAACTTTAGAGATTACGACATGAATTTATCTTAATTCTGATTTAGAATATATGTTATGTAAACAAATAGTTAAATGCACACACTGGTTATTTACAGTGTTTAACTAGTCAATGATCTGTCATCTTATATTAGTATTTAGATAATATGCACTCATCTATAACTATATTTATTTTTTAGAAATATTCAACAAAAATTACAACCATACGAAATTTTAATCAATAAAATAAGATACTTAAATCTTAAATGTTGATTATATTTAACGACCTATACATACATACACTATATTGTATATACTATAGGTGTGATACTATAATGAATTATATTTAAAAAATAAATAGTATAACTAGATATCTGAATACAATTGTTGGCCAATTAAAAAAAAATAACGAACGTATAGAGACGGGTAATGGTCAATGTCAATGCCACCTGATTTCATTAATATATATCGCTCACCGCGCGCAAGTCAACTAAATATAAGACGATCTATCAGCCACTAGTTCAGTTTTCGTTGGCAGAGTACACTCACCGTACGAAAAACGTTTTAAATTTTAAAAAGTGTTTTATCATTTTAAGTCTAAACATGTGTGGAATCTGGGCACTTTTCGGTGTCGACGTGCATTCTATTTCTAAGTACGACAAAACTTTTTCCAAGATTCAACACAGAGGACCAGATGCATGGAGATTGGAATATGATTTAAAAGTTAAAGTAATATTAAAAAAAAAACACTTCATTTCAAATATATAATAAATATATATATTATTGAGACTGGAATTCATTTTTCAGAATGTTTGTCTTGGATTCCATCGTCTTGCGATTATTGATAGTCTTTATGGAATGCAACCAATGAAATTACACAAATTTCCTTTAGTAACTATGATTTGCAATGGAGAAATTTTCAATTGGAAAGAAGTAAATTCATATAAATGTTTTGAATATAGTTAAATAGTTTAATAAAAATATAAAAGTTGTTTAAACAATTAAGCTTTAACTTAAAATTTAATGAACTCTTACCGATTTTAATTTTAATTAAATCATATTAATAATAATAGTATATAAATAATTATTTATAATATTCATATTAATATTAATATTAACTTATTTCAAAGTATTATTACATTTTTCAAATATACGTTGTTGTTAAATTAAGTAACTATAGTAACTTTACAACATAAATAATAAGTTATTATTGAGCTTACATTTTTTTGGTAAACACTTATTTGTATATAAATGCTCTGAATTATTGAGGAGACATATAATTCGAATAAAAATTCATCAAATATTATAGTTAGAAAAAATAAAAACTGTAATTGAATACAAATCTTTTTTTACATTTTTACCACTTTTATCTGACCAATGTTAACTTGAAATTAAATTTTTTGGTTACTCATTTTCAATTCATAAATACTTAAATATTTGTTTAAAATATTTGATAATTTTTTTATAAAATTCGTTATTGAAACTATTTTAATTTAATAACTAATTGAAATAGTGCTAAAAAATATCTTTTTTTATCAATAAAATTTTACAAGTTTTTGAAACACTTTATTAAAACTAACCTACAATACCTACTGTATTTTATATTGTCATTATTAATTATATGAGAAAAAAAAAATAATATATACTTATAAATTAATTTTTATTCAAAAATAACATTTTTAATAGCTAATAGACAGTTTCGATTGAGCCGCTCGTCCGATAATAATATTAGGATGAGCGACTATTCGAGTATTTAGCAATTCAGCATACATACAATTGTGTTTTGAAAAATAATAGCTTTAATCTAAAATCTAACATAAGAGAAAAGCTGATTGATCAATTATAATTTTCGTGTATAATTTTATTAGCTTGGAGTCAAACATAATTTCAACTACGAGACTCAATGTGATGTAGAAAGTGTACTTCAACTTTATGGAACATTCGGTATTGATGAAACATTAAAACAATTGGATGCAGAATATGCCTTCAGTCTGATTGATGCACTAAAGAAAAAAGTATACATAGCTAGAGATCCTTACGGTGTAAGACCATTATTTTGCCTAACGTCAAGTAATGGTATTTTGGGACTTTGTTCCGAATCAAAAGGTATTGACATTGGTTCATTGGTTTTATACATTTTATTTTTTTTTAAATTTTTTTTTTACTTTTATATCTGATTATATAATCATCATAAATTAACATTATATAAATTACATATCATCATAGTATTATATTCTCTGCACATAAATGACACTTAAATTACAACTTTTATAAAAATAAATTTTTATTATTTAAATATTTAATATATAGTTTGCATAGATGCCTAAGGTATAATAAATATTTTACGAAATTTCCTATAGAAGTATTGAATACAAAAATTAGAATACAAATACTCATTTGATTTTGACAAAATAAGTGTATTATTAGTTTCGATTTGAAAATAATGATAAATTATTATAAAGTAATAACTGTTACAATATTTTTTTTGTCAGAGATCAGCTTACCCGAAACGATTTATTTAGGCAAAAATTAACATCTTTTATTTCATTATCAATGACTATTTTAAATTTTTTTTTTAGAAATGCCAATCTTTTATTTCTTTTTTAATTTATATAAAACACATTATCGTTGTTTTTATGTTAATTTTGCCTAAATTTAATACAAAACTGCTCTGGTCAGCTTATAAAAATGTTAGGAAATATTTTATGCGTTGAAGTACTCAAATAGAACAGTAGAAACTTATTAAACTAAATAAGTATATAAGTTATAATATACATTTGTATATATTAGTTATTTTTATATAAGTTAATAAAAATAAAGAAAAAAAATATCTTTAAAGGGTGATTTTAATTACTTTGTACTTCTTAAGAGAATACTTCCAATTTGGGATTTATTTGAATCTTCAACGATTTCTATCATTTTTCCCAGTAATTAAATAGTGTTATGCTAACCACTGCATTCGTTAGAACGATAATCATTTAAATTTTTTAAAAAACAATCTATAATTTTAAATTCGCAAGATTATACTCCAGTTATACTTCGAAATATTTCGATGCAAAGAGATAAATCTAATTTAAACTCACTGATTTATAAATCTTCTAAATTTTTGACTGAAGAAATTATAATGGATACCAATTTATTTCCAAAATAATTTTAGCTTAATCTTATTTACTTCTTTAATTCAAACTTTAACAAATATAATCGACTGTTGGTCCAATTTCAGTTATAACTTAAATCTCTTAAAAATAAAATTGTATGGGTAGTTTAAACTGTAAGATTCTAATTATTTTTATTATAAATTACAATCTTGCATTTCTTACGGTAGTTTTATTTATACTCATTGTATATCTCTATGCTTATGTAAAACCTTGATATCTAAACTAACAATATAAATAAAAATATAAGTTATTAATTATGATTTTTAATATGTTTAAAAATATTAGTTATTACTAAGAATCTTTCATAATTTTTTTTCGTTGGAAACGGAAATAAGTACCTATAATTTTGTAGATAATTCATATTTACAAAGAGTTACATTGCTTTAATCAATATTTATTTTAATAAGACCTCAAGAGTTATTGTAAATCGATCTTGAAATTAATTATTCTGGTATGATATCACTACGTTTATTAGTTTAACCTATACAATTTAGAAGTTAATAAATCATGCTCATTCAATCCACTTTCTCGTGTATGATTTTTTCTTTATAATGATTTTAAATAATTATCCGATTATACTAGAAATATTACAAAATAATTAAAAAATCATAAATTTTTTGTATATTTACTTATTTTATATCAAATTAGTATTTAAGACTAACTTTTAATAAAATATCCTTTAATTCTAACCAACATCTAAATATAGTATAATTATAATTAGGGATGGGCAAGAAATTCAAAGAAGATTTGAATTTTCCGAATAACCTTAAATTTGGATTTGTATCAGTGCAGTTTTTAACTACGTAGTTAACTAGGCAAGGCAAATGTCGCCCAGTGATTTTACTCTGTCGACAATATTTTAAAAGATTGAGCGAAATAATGCGAAATAAACGTGTAATACTATAATTGTACTATGGTATTATACATTGACTATTTTGAGAAAAACATTTTTTGTCGCCCAGTGAAAATTCCTTATAAAATGCACTAATTTGATCAAATTTTTATTCGAATTTTCCGAATTTTCCGAATTATTCACATTTATGGATTTGCTTTCTATGTAAATTATAATTATTTTTAATTTCTAGTAAAATAAATTATTTTTTTTTATTGTAATTAAAAATTTAACAACAAATCAATATTGTGTTTTATGAATTATAGTACACCATTGGCGCATCTAGGTCTAAAATATTGGGGGAGGGGCTGACTGAAGCCCTACAATTAAATTTAATCAATGTGAGCCCCCCCATATCCCCCATTGCCGCAGACACGGAACAATAATTATTAATTGAAATAAAAACAATCATAAAATATTAATACCATACTATATTATTAAAAATCATGTACCTACTTCTATGTAGTATGTTATACATAAATATGACATAACACCATCGCTATATTCCATCGTCGTCCGTCACATATATTAGATAACAATATTACTATTAATTATGTAGGATTGTAGGAATTACAAAATAAACTATAATAATATTTTATATTTATACAATTTACTTTTGAATAATTCTCTGCGTCATATACTCATATTATTAAGTATATATCGCACTATCCCATGCTTAAATTATCATTAAATTTTAAATAATTAAAAAAATTTGGGGGGCTATAATACATTTTAGGGGGCTAAGCTCCCTAAGTCCCCTCCTAGTTGCGCCAATGCAGTACACTTATCTTGACATAACTTTTTATAATTTATTTTTAATTACCAAAACAATTTATTAAATGTTGAGTTAATTATTTACCACTATGACATTTAGTGATATTATTATTGAATACCCAATTCATTTATCTTTACTACATAACCTCAATTAATTGTATGTGAATATAATGATATGTCATTGAAAAGCAAAATTGAAGTGAATAATCTGGATAATACATGAAATCCCCAAAATTATAAAATAAATAATTCATATTTGTCAAACCTTAATATGCCTATCACTAGTTATAACATATAATTACAATACAATAATATGGTGTAATTTTAATTAATATATAAAATAAAAAAATAATAAAATAAAATATTATATTACATAAAAATAATATGAAAATGTAGATGTATTTACTTCTAATCACTTATTAGTCATAATTTTATCATATTTATTAATAGTTGAATAATAATTTTCACCAAAATTGTGATTTTAAAATTGCAAAAATATTTAATTTCAATTTTTACGCTTCATAATTTTCACTATACTTTTTTTTTCATTTTTTTGGTGAGTAAATATGTAATTCATTAATTGTGCACACATTGGTGTATTTGTAATATTAAATTGAATACATTTTTATTTATATTAATTGAAATTTTCTATATAGGGGTTTATATATTTATTAGGTATTTATACCTTATATATTTATATATATATTATTATTAGGTTGATATAAATCTTTCTATTTATTCGAGTTTACATTAAATACATTTACTATTGATATAGGTTTGACATGTTTAATTGAAGAGCTCGAGCTTACCGATTGGGAATTGAAGCCTTTCCCACCGGGTCATGTAGCTGAGTATAATATTTTACCAGATGGTAAACTGTCTTTGGTTTCACTGAAACGGTTTTTCGAAATCGAAAAACCTATTTTGCCACCTGTGGCATTGCAAGAAGGTACGTTTAGTTATACTTAACTGATGATTGTTACGACGTAACCCATTAATATAAGTGCATATAATATATGCATATAATGTGTGCATATAATATATATTAAAATTATTAACTAGGTCTAACTGAAGAAATTGTTCATGCCAATATTCGAAATTTATTGACACAAGCTGTTGAGAAGAGAATGATGTCAAATCGTCGTATTGGTTGTCTATTGTCTGGAGGACTAGACTCAAGTTTAATAGCTGCTATATTAGTAAAATTGTCTAAAGAAATGTGTCTCCCCTACCCAATTCAGGTAAATGAAAATGAAACTAAAAATACTGACCAATATTGTTATATTACATTTTATGTACGTAGACGTTTTCGATCGGAATGGAAGACAGTCCAGATATATTGGCAGCGAGACAAGTAGCCAAGCATATCGGTTCCGAACATCATGAAGTCATTTTTACCGCCGACGACGTATTGAATATATTAAACAAAGTGATTTACACCTTAGAAACTGCAGACATTACTACAATAAGAGCATCATGTGGTAGGAAATCAAATTAATTCGTCGTACAATCGTCTGAAATTGTATTGAACGTACACTCATATTTGAAAATGTAATGTTTCTATTGTAATATGCTCAACGATTTTACAGGAATGTACCTAGTTGCAGAGTACATAAATAAAAATACGGATACGGTAGTGCTGTGTAGTGGTGAAGGTGCTGATGAAGTTGCACAAGGTTATATTTATTTTAGAGACGCGCCCACACCAGATGATGCACACAATGAAAGCTTAAGGCTTTTGGGTGATATTTATATGTACGATGGCCTACGTGCTGACAGAACTACAGCTGCTCACGGGTTCGTTTTAAATAAAAAATGCTGAATATGCGATGTATGTGTATTTATAATTATTTTTTTTATTTTTAGGCTCGAGTTAAGAGTACCTTTTCTAGACATACGTTTTACTCAGTATTTCCTCAGTCTTCCCAAGACGATGAGACAACCACAAAACAAAGTTGAAAAATACCTACTTCGTTCGGCATTTGACGGTTTTGGTCTTTTGCCCAATGATGTATTATGGCGGCATAAAGAAGCTTTTAGGTGATAATCAGCTTAAATATGAGCATTTAAATAATACTATAATATAAATATATAAATTCAGAATAAGAAAATAAATTTGGATGATTTATGTCATTAATATATATCATGGTTAAAATATTAAAACTATCTAAATATATATCAAATTAATCTTTTTTTTTTAAATGCTCTAGGGCTGTATTATTTAAACGACCCAAACGTATTTATAAATATGTCAAAGTAATCTTAAGCGTTCAATTGGCGCTACTCCTTGTAAAATTGTAATAATGAACAATTTAAGCTTTTGTTGTATAATGCAGTTTTTCTTCTTCTTCTTCTTATCAGCTTAGTGGTCCATTCAGGACTAACGCTGCCATCAAAATGTATGATACAGTTAACTACACAATCTTTAGGGTATAAGAGTGTACATTTTACCTATTTGATTTTGGCAAATATTAATTTAATTTTTTTTTAATTTAAAATGTATTAGTATACATCACATATCCGCATTATTTCGTTTTTATCATAAGTTGAATAATACAAATTACATGTTGTTTAAATATAGTTTTCAAATGAATCAGATCTCGTACAAAGATTGTATACTCATTTACTACATATGATAATAATTACTATTAAACTTTTATTGTAATTTAGCGATGGTGTTACAACTGCCAAAAAATCATTGTTCAATATTATCCAAGATTGGATTGATCCAAAATACACAGACGACGATTTAAAATTAGCAGCAGTAAAATATCAGCACTGCCCTCCAAATTCGAAAGAATCATTGTATTACAGGTATTTTGCATTATTTAAAACGTTTAATTAATCAAACCATTAATTATGTTTTTATAAGAGTTTATTTATTTATGACGAAGTACTAAGATAAAAGCGAAAAGATTATAGTTATTAAATTATATTAATGGTTTATAGGGATGAGTTTGAAAAACACTACAAAGGATTATCTTCTAAATTTATGCCTTACTTCTGGATGCCCCAGTGGACTCAAGTTAAAGATCCATCCGCAAGATTTATTCAACATTATGCAGCTAAATAGTGCTTATCTTTTAAATCATTTAATATTAAGTTTTAGTGTATTAATTTAAATTTTAATTAAAATTCATATCTGTCTGATACTGTATTATTCTGATGTAATATATTTAAGTTTTAAAATATATTTGAAGTCATATTATTTTATCATTTAAATCTATAGATCTATTACAAAGTAAATTAAAAAAAAAAACTTCGCATTATAAATTACGAGTTACTCATATAATTTCCCTATGTATTTGTCAGAATGTATTAGCATTAAATGTTTATAATCAGACTTTTATTTGAACCATTACGTGACTTACGTCGGAATGCTTATTATTACAATATTTTTAAACGTATTCAATAATTATTTTTTCTAATTTAATTATATGTTTGAATATATTGCGGTATATTATAAATGTATAACATAGTAAATCATAATAATCTATAATCATTAAGCAAAACAACAATACCTACATAATATCATAAGAGTTATGGTAATTCGTTGAACAATTGAAAACCTATAAGGACATGTTATATTTATATGTATGTATACTATAATAATAAATAACCATAATAATTTTTATAATCTCGTAATGGTAAATAAAATGTTACTAAAAATATTATACGAGTAGTATTTTAAATTTTAACATATGGCTAGTGTTCAGATGTGTCAACACAACTAAGAATGAAAAACTAAATAATTAATTGAATTGGATATTTAAACTAGACAATAGCTACCTATCATATTGAGTTGACTGTATTCGGTTCTGAAATGTATCAAATAGTGAATAAAAAATATATCACAATTAATGTTCATGGTTTTATTAATAATAAAATCTTATTAAAAATTCATAAAAAAAAGTAAGAAATAAAGTATACACTTGATTACACTAACTTTTTTTTACAAATACATGGACCCAACTAAGAGAAATCCCTTATTATAATTAATATTGATTAAATGTGTGATTTTTTTTTGTTATTTTATTTAAATCTTAGTCAATCTAAATGAATTGTATAACTTTTCGATATAAATCAATATAACACAGAATTTGAATCATCTATAATCATAAATTCATTAGTTCTCATTTTATTACTTTGTAGATAGATCATACAGTTTAATAATATCTTAATATTTTTTAATAATAATATCATAACTTATTTTTCAGAATTAAATCACCTAAAATAAAAGGTATTGCAAATGAAACATGTTACAGATCTGGGATGGCAAACCTTTTGAACACTGCGTGCCCAATATTACCTTTTTTTTTTTTATAAAGCGTGCCATGAAAAAAATATTAAAAATATTATAATTTGATTGTATAATTAATGTATTAGTATAAAAAGGTTAGTTTAGGTACATAATAATAATAATAATATATAATAAATAATTATAATAATATTGCTTTGTTAATTATTTATATTATATTATAGATCCTATAATATTATATATTATATAATATATAATAGTAAAACTTTTTGCGTGCCATCTCGGGCACGCATGCCATGGATTTGCCATGATATATCCCTGTTATAGATTATAGATTAATTACAATTTTAAAATTTCAGTGTAATAACAACTTTTTTTTCTGGATTATTTTGTAAAATGTATGCTGTGAATTAAGATTAATTAATTTGTGCGCCTTAAGATTGGGTGTAAAATCGGAGTAAGGAATTTTGATCGGAGAGGGGACATTGAAATAACATGAAGTTGCAAGAGCGTCTGCGATTTCGATGCCTAAAATAATTTTTTTAATTTATATAACTAAAAACACCTGTTTGGAAAGTATTTTGAATACATATTAGTATTCTAAATAATGTATTAGAAATACTATTTTCATTTAGTACCTATTTGAATATAGATTCGGAATAATATTTTTGATAAGTATTTGCGTATTTATTCTAAATAATTGTAAAAAGTCTTTCACAAAAATGTGGAGCTGGCATGCATGTCGCATACTATATTGTAAATGTCAACCACTAAGATAATAGTAATAAAAGATAATATTATTTTAGTCAGTGATGTCAACAATACGGGTAAATGTAAAATTATTTTGTAAGTATTTGTGATTTGATTTTACTAAGAACTAACTGATCATACGAATTATGTGAAATAATTTCATACATATATAATAGATCCCTATAAAGAATACAAATTTATAGAATTTAATATTGAAAATTCTGCGGTTTATTTGTGTGTTCAAAATCAAAGATTTTTTTTAGGCACAGGGCGACAAATCAATTACACATAAGGGCGGATAATCGTTATATATATCAGTCAAAACGGATTTAAGAACGATTTGTTATTTTGTAAATTTTATAACATCGACGTAGGTAATAATAATTCACAGGTGGGTAAAAAACAAAATCTATAATAGCGAATGGTAGGTACATATCTTGTACTTATCGATCAGATTGGCCAACGGTGGATAAATCTCTGTCGAAACGATAGTACACGGTATTCGGCGCGTTCGTTATGGTTATACTGTCCGGGTAGTTTTAACTTTAACCTTAAAAATATTTGTCAATGTATGTAAATTTGTTTGACAATTCAATATTAATTATTATTCAATATTTCAGTTCGATGAGTTCCTAAACGTTGCCGTCATCGTTCGATACGATGCGCTTTGTACTAGCTGCACCGTTTATTTTGTAACACGATTTTCTACCGTTCTGCTCGAATATGTCGTAGTGACGCGTTTGACGCAGTGACCGTCACCGTTGTCGTATTTACTTGCACATCGACGTGAAATATCCAACGCACGGGGCCACACAATGGTGTCTCGCATCCGTCTGTGGGACACCTAACCGCTGAGATGGAGCTGCACCGCTAGACCGAGGCCCGGCAACCCGGCGAGCCCTCGGGCCCTGGACCCGAAGAACCAATTGCCTGCGTCATGTCGTTCGACTTCGAGGAGATCACCTCGCTGCGCAACGAGTTGCAGAACGTCCGGGAAGTGATGCGCCTGACCAAATGCAATATCCAAGCGCTGAACGGCACGTTCGCCACCTTTGACCATCCTCCGCCTATCTACCTGACCGAGTACCGCGAGCTCACTGTCAAATTGCATGATCTCGAAGCCAAGGAACAGGAACTTCTCGATCAGGTTGACCATCCCCGGGAACACCGCAAGACCAGGAGCGATAAACCTTCTACGCCGCTCGTGCGTACCATCCGTGCATTTTTACCAAACAAACAACGCACCACCATTGAGGTGAAACACGGCGAAACATTACACATGGCCCTAGAGAAACGTTTGCAACACCGCAAGATCCCGTTAAATGCCTGTGTCGTTTACAGAAATCGCACGGATCATCAGATACCATGGGATACACAGACATCAGCTATCGAATATGATGAAATCCAAGTGAAAATGTGTTGGTTACCTATTCAAGCTTCTTTTACGCACGATTTTTCAAAACGTACATCATTTACAACTTGTGATCATTGTCGTCAATTGCTTTTTCAGGTAAACATAATATTTTCTTTATCACTATCAATCTTTCTCTGTCTGATCATTGTTCGTTTTTATTTATGTATAATTCTTATGTTTAAGGGTTACCACTGTCGGTCGTGCGGATTCAAATTTCATGAACGGTGTTCTATGGGAGTGCCTGTCCTGTGTATTCCTACTAGAGATTTAAATAACAGCAACGATGGTACTCATACCATTTACCAAAATTCAGCTGGTATTCTACAGTTAACGTCTGACTATCAGTCTTCAAGACGTCGAGTTCTTGGTCATGGTGAAAGGTCGAGTTCAGAACCTAATGTATGCCGCAATATGGTTAATATGAATTGGGATGATTTAGCTGAGTTGAAACGTAGATCACAAGCACCATCTAGTGTACCTCATGGCTTTTTACCTCATAGTCAAAGTGCCCAAGCTTCTCCTACCAATGTATTGAGGCCAAGGCCTCGAGCTAAAAGTGCTGATGAAAGTGCTACCAAGAAATTACTCAGAGATACTGGTCCTCAAGAATCATTAGAAGATTGGGAAATACCAGAAACAGATATACAAATGGGTGATTGCATTGGATCAGGATCATTTGGTACTGTATATAAGGCCAATTGGCATGGTCCAGTGGCAATTAAAGCCCTCAAAGTCAAACAACCAACTGCTGCACAGTTGCAAGCATTTAAAAATGAAGTATCTGTATTGAAGAAAACTAGGCATGTTAATGTCTTATTATTTATGGGTGTTATACGAAAACCAAATTTAGCTATTGTAACACAGTGGTGTGAAGGATCAAGTTTATATCGCTGTTTACATGTATTAGAAAAAAAGTAAGTTTATTTTTTTTATTTGTTATTGTAAGTAGGCAGTACTGTTATAGCCAGGTGTGTTGTGTATATGAAACATATGGGCTCATGACCTCAGCCTATATTAGGGCCCAATAATATTTGAAAAATATGTAGAAAGCAAGGAAATTAATTCTTTTTGTAATTATAATTATTAATGGAGATTGATCAATAATTTATCGATTTTATTCTGTATACATTATCGTACATCAACGTTTCTTTTGCGACCTGTATAATAGAAATTCAAAATAATTTGGTTGCAGTTCTGTTTCTCTGCAAAGTCCGAATGAGATGGGGAGATTATTAATTTTATATACACACGGGCCCAAATTAGTGTAGTTGCGGCATTATAAATAGGTGTATTATACACTAGTATAATACTAGATTGGTGCATGGAAATGGTGAACCGGGCTCGTGTCTAGGGCCTCACTAAATTGAAAATATTGATTATTCATTCCTGTAGAATTGTTAATGTTACTTATTATTTTTGTTAAGAATTAAAAAATTGAATACACAAATTATGAACCATGTTTATTATTTAAATGGTATTTACCAATAATTAAATTATTTATTATACTAAAATATTACAAAAAATAAAACGAGTGTAGGAATTAATTTATGTCTATCTTTTTACTTCACAAATATGTCCTTTGTTAAAAAGCTCGAAAACTTTACATAGGACATAAATTTTAATCATAAAATATAACACCACCCTGGGTATGTTTTTTCAAAAACAATTTTACTATAATGCCCATTAATTTTTTAATTTCTTGACAGCATTAAAATGTTTAAATCTTTATTAATTATTTCTATACATTATTATTGATTTTTTTTTTTTATGATAACTCATGAAGCTTATTTAAAATTAGTAACTGTATTATCTTAATATCAAGGCTTTAATAAAATAAAATAAATACTTGTTGGATAATCAAGTAACTTGATTATCATTTTATTTTACAGTATTATAAAAACTTAAACCAAGGGAATTAAGTAAATTTTTTTGTCAAAAAACATTTATTTAACATGATAATTTATATTGTGTTATATGTTTTATGAATAATGTAACATAAATGTTATATGAATATTTAATAAATTATTTAAGATAAAAAATTGTTGAGGATTAACAATATTGGTATTTATGGTTTAAGCCTGTATAATATGATATAATATTTGGCATTTCATAGATATTGAGTTCTTCATAAAAATAACATTATTAGTTATAACTAGGGAACGGATTTATATGTAATAAAAATACATAAATATGTACATATGTATATAAGTATAATTTATAAAATATGTACTAAAACCATCCAAATATGTAGGAAAAAAATTAAAAAAAAAAAAAAATTATAATTATTAAATTATCAAAATGATTTGTTGCATTGAATTATTACAATATATTTTAAATTATCAAATATTAAATGTCGCCTATTAAATCTGAAAATATTTTTAAAACGGCTAAATGATCGTTCCACATCAACCTACATCGGTTGATTTAAGCATATTTGAAGGGCATAATATTAGAAGGCGATAATTCCAAATTTTTAGAAGGGTGTCTGCCACTAATTATGTCATTAATTGATTTAAAATCAATATGGCCTGAAATTTTTTCTGTAAAAACATGAATTTTCTTTTTTACTACTTCTCCTATTGGTCCGTTTACGAGTTTTCATTTTGCAATCTTTGATTCGACAATTTGCATACTTTCATTCAAGGACATATTTTTGTTTCTAATTTTGTAATTGTATGTGCAATAAAACTAAAATTCACTAAGATGAAAATTAAATTTGTTTTCAATGTTTCATTTTGCATAATATTTTGAGCTTTTCTAATAGCGATAAAAGTTCTGGATCTAAATTTGAAATAATTTTTTGTATTTTTGTACGAAGAAGACGTATGAATGATGAAATAATAAAATATGTTTAAAAATATTTACAAATTAGTGAAATATGTAAAAATATGTAATTATACCAAAATATGTAAAATAAAAGTAGCATCATATTAATAGGAATGATTTAAATCATGAACATTTCTTATCAAATTTTAAATATCTCGTTTTAATAAAAATATGTGTTTACATATAAATCCGTTCCCTAGTTATAACAAATTGTATTTAAAATGCATGTTAAAAAATATTGTTACAATTACTTCTTCGCCTTTTTCCCAACTATTTTGGGTCGTCCACTCTTATGAATATATTTTTATAAACTATGTTAATAAATAATAAATAATTCATAATACAAGTTATATAAAGTAGTGTTTTAAGTTTTATGCAAGTAGTATAAACACAAATATTAAAATGAAAAATATACAAATTATTCTATTAATATTTAATTCTCTTTATGCAATAATTCTGAAATAAAAGGTATTTGGGTTGGATCAGATGACTACACCCCTAGTTTGTTACATGTGGCCCTGTGTACAATAAGGATTCTTTACTTAAGTTAAACATAAAATATTAAATGTATCCTCAATAGTAATTTTATGCTTAAAATCAATTTTTATTTTTTAGATTTGAAGCCATGCAGTTGATATCTATTACGGGTCAAACGGCAATTGGTATGAATTATCTCCATTCTAAAAGCATTATACATAGGGATTTGAAAAGTAACAATATATTTTTTAATGATTCTGTTGTGAAAATTGGTGATTTTGGTTTGGCTACCATCAAATCAAAATGGTCTGGTGGTCAGCAGTACCATCAACCATCTGGATCAATACTGTGGATGGCACCTGAAGTAATTCGTATGCAAGTGGACAATCCTTACAGTTTTCAATCAGATGTATATGCTTATGGAATTGTGTTGTATGAGTTACTTTCTGGTCAATTGCCTTACACCGAAATTAATAACAAAGATCAGATCATATTCATGGTTGGCAGGGGCTATTTGCGACCGGATTTGAAAAAAGTCAGGTCAGACGCTCCAGCCGAGCTGCGTAAACTGATGGAAAACTGTATAAAATTTGATAGAGAAGATAGGCCGAAATTCAAAGACATTGCTATATCTATACAGAGCATAATACATGCTATGCCTAAACTGCAACGGACAACATCTGAGCCTACATTATCCCGGTCTAATTGGAACGATGACTATTTGTACCCGTCCGAAGCAAATAATTATAGAGGAGCTGCTGGCTTCATTTAAAATAATGAAATTGTATAAAAAAAAAATCACAATTTATTTTTTTTATTTTAATGATTTATTATTATAATTGAATTTTGTTGAATATTATTATGTACGACCAAAGGACGATATATGCGTATATGTACATATACATGTATATAATATGATATCTATATATGTGTGTGTGTATATTTGTTTGTTCTTTTCTTTTATTATTTTTTTTTTATATATATAATTTGTTGAATTCAACATTATTTTACTTGTGTTTTTGTTTCTAAAAACAAACCAAACATTTTACCTATATTTCATCTCATATTTCTTCTTTTTCTATTGTTTGAATGTTACCTATAAACATAATGCATAATATGTACCGTACAGTAAGTGTTTCACATTTTTTTTTTTTTTTAAATTGTAACGAAAATTTCTCTCTTTGAATTTATTGTTATGATATTTTGGCGTTAAATAATTGCTTTTGTTTATAAACTATAAGAGTACAATAAGTGTTTTCATCTATTTTATGATCAAATTGATGCAAATAAAATAGGTACTATTGATAATATATTAATATAGGTACTCATAAAATACCTATGACTGAGCACTTGCTTCTTTTTGAACTAACTCGTATTAAAATAAAATAAAAATTATATTCTAGAATCAATCTTAAAAATGTACAACTTAAAATATTTGCTATTGAATTTTTTTTTAAATTATGAACGATGCTTAGTAAATAAGTTTTTTTTTTTCAGAAAATGTTTCATTCTTCTTGATTCTCTAGTCTGGGGCATCGCATCGTTGTTGGCATTTTTAGCAATCCTTAATGTAGATACGTGGTAAAATCTAGAATTTTAAACATCAAAATAAGTTTTTCGGAGGAGAGAAATAAATAAACGTTGCTATTACATTGTTAAACGAACCGTATAAAATGTCCTTGAAAAACATTTTGGATTCTATTAACTTAGGTAATACGAGAGCCTGATTTTTATATAAACGGCATAATTCATGAATATAAGATGAAAAATCTAGGCCACCGATTCTTAAGTCTCCGTAGAATTTGTATGCAGAAAATTTACAATCGTGATAGACTCGAAGTGCATTATAAAACAAAAAATATAAGCGACCCAAAATTACTAATTGTCAACTTACTGAATATCTATCGTTATGTACACAGCAAAGATGGAGGATCCAGCACACGGGCGTCATTCGAGGGGGGCAGACAGGCAAATGCCCCATTCAAAGAAATTTTAAAAAGTCGGTAATTCTTTGTCCGATAATCAAATGCTAAAATCAGTAAAAAGTAAATTTTTATTTACTATTTTGTACTCAGAAATCAGATAATATTCTTTTTTAAATACACGTTCACGGTTTATTAAAAGTTGGGAAATACTGGCTCCTCCCCGGTTTATGACAATCGTTATTACGCGAACCTTATAAACTTTATTTTTGGTATATTATATATTTCTATATATGTGATCTTTATAAAACAGTTTTCGTAATATCGATAACTTAAAAATTGAGCTCATAATCTATAAAAAAAAAACCGTTAAAATCGTTTCTATTCACCTCAAAGTATGGTAGATACATTATATTTGAGATACAATTTTATGTTTTTATAAATAAATTTTGTAAAGTATTAAATATACAAATAATAAGTATTTATTTAATTAGATTTATATTATTATTCCATAAACCTATTGATAGGTAATTTGTAACCTTTAGGATAAGTAAATAAATTAATGTTTTACATCTTTAATTATTTATCTTTAACATTATTAATTGGGTAAATTGAAAGTTTCATGTTCTTTGTTTATCATCATGACATCATAATTCATTACTAATCCTTACATGTTTTGTTCCGAAAAAATATTTTATTGATAGTCCATGGTCCATAAATATTTAAATATATAAGTAGGTAATACTTATATATATATATACTAGCTGTCCCGACACGGTGTTGCCCGCATATTAGTTGGTTTTTTGGCATTTTCGTAGGCCATGTATTAGTGTTATTATGTATGAGAAAATTTAAAAGTAATAGGTAAAGTATCTAAATGTTGAAATTAAGTACAAACCAACATATATATTTTCTGAATTCACGTCGTACCGAACTTCGCATTTTATACCTTTGAACATTTCTCGAAAATTCTATAACTTTCTTCATTACAACAATTGCAATGCAAAAAATAATGAGATAAAAACCATAGGTTAGGTTAGTTATATAATTCTCGGAACAATTCATATCTACACGCCGCCGACGATAAAACACACACAATAGAAAAAAGGTCAGATTACAGGTAGCTATATAGATACTGTAGCGGTCGGTCACGGGAAAACCCGAAATACACCATGCAATTATACACATTTATTAAAAAGTTAATTAAAATATTTAAAATATTAAAAAATTTGAAAAAAAAACTATCCTATATTTTAAGTTGGACCAAATTACACACGGTGTAAAAAATTTCATCAAAATCGGTCCAGTAGTTTCGGAGATTATCGCGAACATACATCGTGACACGAAATTTTTATATATACAGATAAGTATATTTTTTAAATATTATGAAATCGACAAATTTAAACAGTTGCCACACCCTTACAAAAATTGAAATGACGCCCAAACCAGCATTTGTTTACAACCAGAGCATTTTATAGAAATGATAAAATATAGCCGATTATAGGCGTATGTAAGGAGAGCTTAGACCCAGTGCCTCAACTTCACTAACTTGAACCCGCGTGTAAATAAAATTAATGATCCCCTTCGCGTCCGGACTCTACAGAGAAACTGAATTGCAACCAAAATATTTTTAATTTCAATTATATAGGTCGCAAAAGAAACGTTGATGTACGATAATGTGTACAAAATAAAATCGATCAATTATTGTTCAATCTCCATTAAAAATTATTATTATAAAATGGATTTATTTTCTTACTATCTACATATTTTTAAAATATAATCATTGGAGCCATGAAAAAAGTCTGATGGGAGTATATCCCACGTCCCCATCATGTTATGTAATTTTGAGTTTAGGTAGGTAGAACATAGAACATTTTTAAGGGGTTTAGCCCCCCCTCCCACCAATAAACGCTAATGTGCTGAGTGTAAACCCTAGAAAAAAATTACGAATACACCACTGGCTATTCCAAAGTCGATACATCATCAAAATATAAGTACATCTTTTATAAAACCATTGGCATATAAATCAAAATAATGAGACGTATACTATATGGATAATTATATGCAAAATACAAATTATAATATTGTTGGACTGGTTTTAAGTTTCCCCCCCCCCCACGTTAATTGGCACTTTGGTAAAATGAGCCGAGACGGCAATTTAATAAGAGTATGCCGACTGCACGAGTTATTTAAAAAAAAAAACTGAAATGACGACATTTATCTATTAAAAATGTACAAAAAAAGTTTAAGTTAAGAAATTACTTTTTAACTTACCTATAATACAATTATTATAAATATAAGTTTTTTTACACAAGACTTGACATTTTTAAGAATTGTTTCTCAGCCAGATATACTTAAAAATATTTTAAGGAAAATGGGAATATCTGTAACAGGTAGAATATAAGTGTATGCAATAGCGTATTTTCGGGAAAGGAGGTTCCTAATTCTTTGCCCCCAGAAAATAAAGATTAATTTATAAATGTTATATAAAATTTTAGAACAATTTAAAATTCCACAACAATTAGAAAATACGCCACTGAGTGTATGATATACATACAAATATAATTAAAAAATTAATACATTTTTGTTTCTAAATTACAAGCGTTATAATTTTGTTTTCATTAGAAACTGTACAATATTTATTCATAATATTTTATTACCTAATACAGCCCCTAATTAATAATTATACATATTATATAATATAGGCGTCTAATGTATTAAAACCAAACAAAATCTGAATCCGTGGTCAAATATTTAAATATTTTTACTTTATAAAAAGTAAATCGTATACAAAAGTAATATATATATATATATATTTATAAAATTGATTATACTAAGAACAAATGTGTGCAAAACATAAAAGGTTATAAGACTCAAATACATTTTTAAACAAATACCTGATTCTATTGGTCACATTTATCAAAATTATGACATAAGTCGTTCATTCATCATAATGTATAAATACAGTAAAACCATTTTTTATTTAGAGCATTTGGCGAGAACTTTAAGTAAATTAAGTGGTATTAAATGGTATATTGTTGGTAGCATAGATATAAAAATATTTGTTGTTTTCAGTATTTTGACTATTGAGAAGTTTGTAAATAATGGATTTACTATATTTATATATATACACAATTACAAAAGAATATTTTTTTAGAGTATGACAACAAATTAATAATACATTCCCACAGATCTTCCAATGTGTAGTCTAAATGAAAAATCATATTATAACACACAAACATACATATACCTAATACATGTATAGTAACTATTAAACACCTATATGTATATAAATGTATATATTGGGACTTGACAATATGAATAAAAATAAAATATTATCTTAAATAGGAGTTGGAAAACAAAATTCTATTCTACTGGATATAATACAAAAATTTACCATCAGAATTACATTTAAATATTACAAGTACTAATTTTATATAAAATAATAATACAGTATGTCTAGGTGGTATAGTTTACAAGACGTACAAAAAAAAAAAATAGTATATATATATATATATAAAACATTCGAGCAATACTGAAATCAACACACTATACTGTGTAAGTGTGTAGATAATTTAATAACATGAAAGGTATACATAATGTCTTAACAAAGGTGACTATGAATTGACAGAAAAATAACAAAATTGTAAGTTGTTATATTTTATTAGTTTAGAATAGAATGTATTGCACAGGTATTTTGATTATAAAAATGTAAAATTTTGAATGTAACAAGCACAAGACTAGTTATTTATTGAAGATTTCATTTTTTTTTAAATCAATTTCATAGGCACACAATGTTGTTTTTCCTCACTAACAATAATCGTTTTATAATAGTATGAAATAAGAAGAGGAGTAGAATACTTTAATAATAGGTTTTTATGTTTTACTATTAATATTTATGATAAAAAGCATACAAATATAGCATAAAAAATAAAGAGGAAAAAATGCACAGTTCACAGACAACAATAAATAACCTTACAAATATCGTATACATTTAACTGTAATATGTTTATTTTTATTTTTTAAAAAAAAAAGCATTAAAAATGTAAGGGTTACTAGTCATGGTGCCTTAAAAAATACACTACTTATTTATTTAATACAATATTTATTAAACAATTATTAACAAAACTCGTTTTATATTTAAAATGTGTATTTTTAAATATCATGAAAAATAATAATATTACCGTGTGTATATCGTATACTTGGTGAAAAAGGAAATAAACACTGGACATGATTGTACTTGAATTTGATGCACGTGTTGATTTTCCTTTGAGATCACAGATAGTAGAAAAAATGTGTGAGTAAACATAATCAACAATATTATTATCATATTTTTTTCTATAAAAATTACTAATAATCTGGTGATGTGCACAATATACGTATACCAAAGTTACATTATGAACGATTAACGTTCAAAAAGCTCAAGTTAATATTATCATTTAATTATACAATAATAATAATAATAATAATAATAATAATAATAATAATAATAAGATACTAAAAATAGTTTCATAATAAAACTGTCTACTAAATTTCAGTATGGTAATCTCAAATATTAGGTTAACGTTATTTATACATAATACACTTCCTTATATGTGATGTGTATTAAAGTTAGAACACACCCATTCAAAGGCCTAAGTCTTTCGTTTTCGTCATTACAGTAGATTCATAATATTTATTAGTTAGAGTGAGATGAGTTTTTTAAAACATACATAATGTAGTAGACATACAGAAAGTATAAAGGCTGATTACTCTCACTTACGTAGGTCTAAAGATTAAGTTAAGCAATTGTTTTATGTACGTAAAAAATGAACAAATTTAGTAATTAAGAATAAAAATGCTTAAGACATTTTTGGGCGTTTTATATCGACATCATCTGACGAGTCTTCGCTATCATCATGCATACCATGTGATTGATATTCGTGACTGGAGTTCCATCCAGTAGATGGTGATCCAGAATTTTTAGGCATTGTCTGTAATATAATAAAAAAATAATTGTATTATTAATTTTTTAAATTTATTATTTATTTTTCTAGTTAGATAACAGTAAAGATTTTCAACGATTAGAAATATAAAAATAACAGAGTACAAGAAAGCTAAATTGTTTACTTTAAATTTTTTTTATATTACTATGGACTCAAAAGAAATATTCATGTTTTGTTACATTAAATTAATCATTTTATACAAGTTGGTCTGAAGATAGCTTTATATCACTTGTAATTTCATCATTTATCATTATATTAACCTGTTATTCACAGTCGCTCACCTGGTGTCCCATTGGATCATATCCTAAACTTCCATCAGAATATTGTGCCTAAAAAATTAATATTTTTGATTAGAAAAAATATACAATAACATTTTTTAACCAATATGACGCACACAAACCTGTGATCCAGACATAGGAGAACTATATTCAGCCCCATTTAAACTAAGACTGTAACCCATGCTGTCTTGCGGACCACCACCAGGAGCTGGAGATAGTAAAGGAGTTGGTGTTCCTTGTGAAGCAGGACCCATACTATAGGGTGAAGCACCTACAAAAAGTAAATAATCCTTATACTAGTTAATTCAACAACGACTATTATTATTTATATTAAATTAGTATTAAACAAAGTAATTTATAAATGAATCTGATTTAGTATCACACAATAAAGAATTAAATAAGTTGTATTCAACTAACATTTGTATATATTTAAAGTGATCACGTGCATATTTAAGTAAATAAGTATCTGTCATCATTAGCGCTCACAGAGATTTTTCTAAGGGGTCAACGTTAAGATTTGAGGATAAATTTCAAAATTTTACTATTTTAAAAGAAGAACCTTTTTTTTATCAAATTTTCCAGTTTAAAAAATATTTTGGAAAATCTAAGGAGACAAATGCCCCTGCTTGCCCCTTCCAGGCGCTTATGTCTATTATATTTTAAATTGATAAAATATTATAATATTTAAATATAATAACAAATCAATGAATTAATATAAAATATGTATAATATATATATATATATAGTCAATTAATTAAATTTTATGAGGAGGCTTTTAATTCATAGAACTTTTTCTATTAATATTGAATTTTTAGATACTGAAAATACAAAACAATAAATAATAAAAATAGGCAATATTTATTTTTAAGTTCCTAATTCAGTGATTCTATGATCACTGGGATCACTATTTATAAACGATAGAAAACCTAAAATTAGTTTAATAATTTATATTTTTAGAATTCTTAATTTTAGTTAATTTAAATTCATGATAAAAAAAAAATTTAATTCATGATTATTTTTGTGTTTAGCCGTTTTAGTGTTGAGAAGATAAAATATAGGTATTACAGATATTTTTAATCTAGAGTTCTAAAAAAATATTATTTATACTTTATTTTAATGATGACGTCATTAGTGTCTTTATATCTCGTATGTAAAATATTATATAATATTGATATTATTCCATGCCAATCGTCGATCAGCAGTAATCTAATCATTTACTCGTTCCTTATCCGTCAACTACCTCTTTTTTTTGTTATTGCGACCAAAATTCTTTGTCAACGGAAATTATTAGATAGTTAGTTAGCAGTCACTATATTATATTTTAATAAACGATTACGTTTACAAATAATAACAACAATAATACAATATGAATTTAAGATTGTTATCATCGAAAACAGTTAAACCATGAATAAATTAATATATTTAAAAAAAAAAATAATAATAATAATTTATTTTAAAGCAAAATATACTATGTATCTAATAGGTACTATAAATTATTTGAATTAAATTTTGCATACAATTAAAATACATTAAATTGTTAAAAATATTCATGTTTCATATTTAAACATAACATAAATTGTAATTTGAGGTTTAAGTCCTAACTGTAACTATTGGCAGGTGACACACCTTTGCATAAAAGAAACCATAAACACGCTCGTGTGGAGCATGCGCTCATATACACACGCGCTCACTTCAAAAAAATAATAATAATAAAAATAATAATAATAATAATAATAATAATAATAATAATGTACACACACATACACACACATTTAGTGTTATATAGAGGGTGTAGAATGGGACAATGAGGAAACCAGGAAAAACCATTCGAGCTGTCAAGCTCAAAACCAGGGTCCCAGTGATATATTACTTCCATTTGGAGCTTACACCGCCAACGTATATATATCACTATCCAAATCCCTATAGTAAACTTCACCCTTTCCCTATTTATATGTTTTTCTCTTTATGTTTTAAACACCAATAAGGACTACAATCTGTGAAAATATCTTCGGTAAGAATAAAATTTTGAACACGTCAATTTTAATGATAATTGTAGTGATATTTATTATTTTTAAAAGTATATTCATAGTAAATTTAAAAAAAAAATTATTAAAACTAAAATGGATTAAGATATCTATTTGACTTACCGGCAGCTTTTTTGGCGGCATAGAGATTTGCTTCTTCTTGAGCCTTTCCTATATTCTTCTTGTATCGAATTCTTTTATTTCCAAACCAATTAGACACCTTAATAGTTTTAATACAAGTATTTTAAACACTGTTTCATTTGTTATAATTTATACTAGCAAAAAATATATACTTGAGACACAGTGATGCTACATTTTCTAGCTAACTCTTCTTTTGCTTCTTCGGAAGGGTATGGATTACTTAGATGCGAATAAAAGTATTCATTTAGTATTTCAGAAGCTTGTTTACTAAAATTACGCCTTTTTCTTCTATAAATAACAAGATAGAAGAAACCATAGTATAACTTTATATTGAAGTGTTGATTTAAGTATAAATTAAATTGTATAACACAAACCTAGCGTCTAAAAACCTAGATCTGAGTATCATGACTGCTTCACAAGTACTTTGCTTCAGTTGCATTTGTATAGAAGAGAATTTCTTATGTATTATTTGCACCATTCGTTCGATCTCTTTTGGAGTGATCGGTCGCGTTCTAGATTGTTCTCGTAAGAGATTCATTACGTGGGTAGTAAATTCATTACAAGCCTAAAAAGTGAAAATAAAAAAGTAAATTTTAAGAAGCAAATAAGGTGATCACTTCAATGATATTGTGTTTGGAATATAGTATGGAAATTAAATTTTAAACACCTTCAAATAATTATTTAATTATACACATAAAAATCAACATATTTTAACATATAATTTTGTAAATTTAAGTGTTAAACTTAAAATGTATTTTCATACATTGAAATATAATATTTTTCGAAAAACATTGAATTTTAAATTTAACTGATTTTACTATTTTAAAATTAAAAGTTGATTATTTTAATACCAGAATTTCAAAATTATTCAACCTTAAAAATTCTTTTATTCAAAAATAAAATATCAAGCAAATATAATATATTACCATAAACCCTAAGATTTGATTACCAATATATCAATAAATATTTTTTCTGATTCTATTTTACATCTTAATAATAGCTCAAATCTATTCTAAAGTTAAATCGCAAATAGCATTAAGTAAAATATTATATTTATTGTAGGTTTAAATTACCATAACTAACCAATCACTATGAATATATCAATCCAAAAAATATAATTAATCATTTTTGTGGTATTTGTTTGATCACACGCCGTTTGTGGCATACCACGATGTAAAAATAAATGTTTTTAAATGTCAAGCAAAACACAAGACAAAGCACAGGTTCAAGGATATCTACTTTATTACCATTAACATAATATGCATCTCGTAGATTATTTTTCAGGCAATTTGTCCTGCGAGGCCAACAAATACGAGTACATATTTAAATGTGATTTCGAAATGTTTAAGAGAAAGCATAAAAATACGACCATACCTGGAACCCGAAATTATATCTTATTTCAATAAGTATTTATAAAACTCATCTTTGTATTCAACAATAAAATCGCAAATTATTGCGTGCAGATCTGGTTGTTAGGTCGATTAATCTCTGTAATATTATGTGTATTCTCCCTTCTCTGCACTGTCAGTAATCAAAAAGAGTTCTTTATACAAATAAAATAATTGAATGCTTTAGTAATATTCTCTTAGTTAATTCAAACTACAGTAATTTTTACATTTTATTTTGATTGCCTTCCAAATTGATTACATCCAAAACGAATTATATAGAAAAAATATCTATTATATATATACAATGATTTAATTGAATTCAATGCTATTAAGTATTTCATAAGACTTGTTATTTTTTAAATAAACAATTATTAAAAATTCAAATAACTTAGTTGTATTGATAGTATGTATAAAATTAGTTATTTTAGGGATCAACTTCTTAAAATGAAATCTAACCTTTAAGTTTCGATAGTAATTAATTACAATAAGGATAAATAAATTAAATACCTGCATGTTAAAAACGAACTGTGTGATAAGTATTAACTACAGTAATATTTAGTTTCACTATAAATACATTTAATATTTCATGGTGATTGATATACGGTACTTATTTTGATAAAGCTCATACATGGAAAATTATCACTTTTAATTGTCATACAAGAAGTAATTTTCCTCCGCATAGACATAAATTAGTACATTTATATTGAAACTTTTAAAATTATTATATTAACGTAATTTAATTTTATACTTTACAGCTCGTCTTACTAAATTGTATGCAATTAATGATTGAATAAGTAACCAATTGTTCGAAAATTAAATCATATATAACCAAATAATATAACTTTAAAAACACTAATAAATTTAAATTAGGTGAAAATAAAAAAATCATTATTGATTCAGAAATATTTTCTATTTTAAGTTAATTGCTTTATGTTTATACCCAATATTCTAAGATAAGAAAAGTATATTGAATTTAATTTATAGGTATACATGTAACTAAATTTATTAAATGAAACGTACCTAAGAAAAATTCAATAACTTTTACCTGTTCGTATTTTTCGAGTTCTTGATGATAGATTTGCCTGATTTGAGCTAATTTTGCTCTATAGTCCGAATGCTCAATGGCGTTATCTGGTTGCCCAGGACCACCTGAAGCTGCGGCCGAGGCACTAGCTGCGGCTCCTGCACCACCTCCTTTTTCAGGACCAGCCACTCCTTCGGCAATTAACATGTTATCTAATCTCATTAACTGAGGGTCTGGTGGTTCTTCTTCTTGTGTATTCCTTAAACTTAGCACTGCAATCAAAAAAACATTAACCCATATTAATTATTTGTAAGAAAATATATTTTCGATATTCTTAACTAATCGAGTAATTTTTATAATTTAAATAAAGCATAACATAGCACAAACAATTAACATATTCGTTTAAAACTGAAAAAATCAATTTTTGTTATAATACAAAAGATTTGTAAGAGATTATAGAACATTGTGTTTATGTAGTATTCCTATATACAATTATGTTTTTAGTGTTTAGTGTAACTAGCGAAACGAATAACTTCGGAACAAAAACCCTTAATATTTACACAAGCATTATGTATTATGAATGAAATTATTTTAGGTAGACGAATAAAATTAATTTATATTACAAGGAATAAAGTTAAATACGATTTAAATTATACTTGGAGTTTTCATAAATAATTTTTATTAAAATAAAATAAATGTTTATGTATATTCTTTGCATTACGTAGACAAATGATAGTATCCAGCAAAATCAGATAATAAAATATGTAATCTGTTATGACGCGACATCTAGAAGAATAATAGTAGAATAATAATAAAAATAATAGTAGAATTATATTTGTATAAATTTATACAATAACATAAATACATTGTCATTGTTTACTAATTACAATACAATTATTTTAACAGCAAATTTAACTATATTTGTATAAAAAACTTGTTACTAAGAAATTGTAAGTTTATTAGATTTTTATCTACATTAAATAATGCATTTTACATGATACATACATTTACTCGATTGTTATATCCTAGTTGTATCATACATAATATGCTTATCAATTAAAAAATATATATATTAAATAATGGTTGAACATATTTAATTATATTACGTCTAAAATAGAGAATATCTACATAATATGTAAAAAATTAATTAATACAATTATATACATAACATTTAAAAATATAATAATTATAAATTATTATTTTATTGTAACTGAAACTTATTAAAATTATGATAATTAATCATTGATTTTGTTTAATATAGAGAATGTTTTTGTTATATTAACAACACACTCAGAAAACTTTGAAGGAGGAAAGTTCGGTCGAAAAAGGGTTAAGTGCTACATTTGGCATATGAATAATTAAAAATTAAGCGGGCGTTCTCTATTGCACATTTAAAGGGTTGTACATTTACAACTTTGAATTTGCATCTTCGAATAAAACAAAGTATTTATAGCTCGCTGTTATTTATTATTTTATTTACTTTTAACAAATACGTTATGTAGGCCAGTGACGTATCCAGGGGGGGTCAGAACCCCACCCCATGAACCTGAGTTGGTAAATTAACTTTTACATGAAACATGGTTTTTTCTTTAACATTTTTATATTTAAGAATTTTGACTCGGAAATCATATTAATAGTTTGTATAAACACTATAAACATAATATATACACGCTGCACACACACACACACACGTCATAATATTATGATTAAAACCAAATATACAAAATATGCATTTTAAAATTAATATTTTTGAACATAAAATAAGAATTTTTCTGTAGGTACTTATTATAACGAATAAATTTTATTTACAACTTTATTTAACAACTTACAAGTCACAATTAATTAATTGGGTTTATTTTAAGGGGTTTTCTTATCTGGATACTAACTTTAGACATTTTTTATAATAAATAGTAAATAGAACGTGTTTGGACTGTCAACCGTTGAGAAACACAGCGATTATTGAAATATGAATACGTCCGATGTCGGCGACAGGCGTCCCCGTGGCCAGTATCAATATTTTGTGCGTTGAACAATATTATCTCATCTGTTTATAAATGAAATTAATAATCCGACAACAATCTAATCAACTACTCTCGAGACGTGTTTTTAGAAAAACTATGATGGGCCTGGGAGAAATCAAAAACCATATTAATATTATCATCAAAATTTAAAATAATTTTAAATTTTACTTTATTTTGTTTGTATAACTAAATAAATAAAAACGTCGACGAAAAAATATTGATAAAATAATAAATTATTTAAAATATGCATCTAAAAGTATAAAATGGAAGAAATATGCCCTAAAAACCAAAAAAACGCAAAATATGCATTTATATGCACAATAAAATTCCCAAACTAGCTTTGTGGAAGCATGAAACGTTTTTGTTTCGCACTCTGCTATTTTTGTGACTGTGCAAAAAAAATATGCAAATGCTACAAGTCCTCTGCTCTAATTATAATCATATTTAGATACTTTACTACTACTTTGATAATTTTTGCTTGGGAACATATTCAGGTTTTCTACAACGGTTTTCTATATCGGTCGTCTGGTTCCGATAAATGAGATAAAAGCGATATCATTGTCTGTATTCAAAGTTTATTTTGGGTATACCTATTGTATTCGTGGCTCGCCGATAATTTAACACAAGCACCTTATTGAGTAAAACTAATAGTTATTAGCAGGGCTCGTAAGTTCACGCATTTGCATATTAATCTTGCAAAGTTTTATTTAATGCTAGATGACATAGAAATTCATTTCAAGGTACGACGATTGAATATGTGAAATCTTATTTTGCATGTTTTTGCATATCAGGCATGTTTTTGTATATTTGGTATATTTATGCATATTTCTATTTTATCGGGCATATTATACAACATTATATTAGAATCTATCAAATGATGGAATATATATATAAAATTAAAAATAAAAATTATATTATATTTTCTTTTCTTATCTTCTTGATAAATACATACTTTCTTAATACATTTATTTCAAAAGTTTCAGATTTGAAATTAATAACTGACAAAAAAGTACATGAGTACGCAGTTCATGAAGGCTCTAGAATAGTATTAAATAGTATTTAAAATCTATTTTTTTTTTAACTGTGACAAAAAATAAAATATAACTATAAAAAAAATGAATGGATAATTCATGTAATTTCAAATATTATTTATGATTTTTTTAAGTGCATATAATGCATATTTTTGAACTTTTTAAGGCATATTTCAAAGCATATTTTGTCAATTTTAAGTGCATAAATACATGCTTATTTAGGCATTTTTTAGGGCATGAACTTACGAACCCTGGTTATTAGTAAATAGTTGGTCGTTGCCCGTGTTGGTATCTCACTGTTTTACTTACTACTCGTTTATTAGTTTATATTTGACATTTGTATTCCATTATATTTGTTTTATTTTAATTTGACATCATTCTAAGACATCTAAATATTCCATTATGGTAAGATATTTTTAAAATTTAATTTTTAGTATACCTAAGTAATTGGACAGAAAATATTCTAATATCTAAAATTTATGTTCCTATATTAGTTCCTAGTTCTTAATTTTACTGTAGAAGTATTTTACATACAAACAAAAAAAACAATACAAAAATAAAAAATATGTTGAAAATAGACAAATATAGAAATTAAGAATAGAAAAATTGTAAAAAAACCCAAGTAAATGATTAAGTGAGGGCAATGCATCATCGCGTGCTATAGCAGAGAAGGAATAGTGGTTGTGCATAAAGGAAACGACAAAAATGCAATCACCCTATTAAGAATAATAAAGTTATACACGAAACATAATATAGAAGAACATTAATAAAAAACTAAACACCAATAATAAGACAGCTATATTCTATAATATTTTATTATGGATATTAAGATATTTTTTAGCTAAAGCAACATTAAACGTTTGACTTTATTTTAACCTAAACTCAACGATTATACGTAAGTAAAATTACTATAATATTTATAAATTAATATAATCGAACATTCATACATAAATAGAGGGACTGAAGCCAACAGTTCTTCACAACTGTCACTATTTATAAACTAGTTATTTCTGGTGAAAACATGTGTTCCTCCAAAGCAAAACACATTTTTGTTCAGATCACATAAATTATATACACACTACACACATACACTCCTGTGTACGCACGCACATGCACACACAAGTATTAACCCTCATATCTCATAACATCATCATACAACTTATCAGTTTTCTACACACATGTATACATGTATACAGTTTTCCACACACCCGAGTAAACAATATCAGCAATGCAACATAACCTTCTCAAAACATAATAAATAATCAGATAAGGACGGAAAGATCTTTCATCGGCCACTTTAAATATATTAGAGCACAAGTATGGGAAATATGGTATATGCAAAAAAATGTCATTGATTTTATTTTATATTTACTTAACTTTGCACTTAAAATATTGTTTAAATAAGATTATTACAATACATTTAAAGTATTATGTTAGGATTTAAACTATAAAACAACTTTAAAATATTGCAATATATTGTAAATATAAATTTTAGTAAAATATATTAATATACTAAATCTATTAATTCAAGTTTATATTTTTTAGTAAAATTAGTATAGAAACAAAGTAATCATATTTAAATTTATCAAAATATTTTGAATAATTTAAAGATCATTTGCAATTTTTTTCATTATAGAAAGAAAAAAATATTTTATTTTTTATTTCAAAAACTATTCAGTAAAATAAGTTTCGGTTGTTGAGCCATTTTGAGTAAATTACAGCACAGTACATCGCAGCGGGAGAAATAACAGTATAACTGCGGGATATCTGAACTATTTGTGGTGGTATCTTATAGATCAACGATGGATTGAACAAGACTTAAAAGTCACTTGAGAAAATCATGAAGTTGAATAACGTAACAAAAAAAAATTAATTTTATAACATAAATATGATAATGATGTTTCTAATAAATACTAGAATAATAGTAAAATAAAATGAATAATTATTTTACGTATTAAAAATTACATAATTCGAAAAAAGTATCTTTTAAATAATAATAAAAAAAATGTATAGTAGAAGCTTGAAACATTTACAAAACTATTTGTTTAACACAAAGCAAACAAAAACCGTTTTATGTTCGACACTAAACATTTTTCAAAGTATGTAAAACATTCAACCAGAAAAAACCAAAAGTATTTTTATCTTTAACAGATCCAAATAAAATGCATACCTATTTTAAATTATTTTGGCTTAAATAGATTTTTTAAATACAATTACATC